CGCCGTGCTCGTCTCGTTCTCTCCACCGTTTACCACACTCGCGTGTCTGGTGGAGGTAAGAACCATCCGCATACATTCACACATACATGTATTAACTAGATGACCTGTAGCCTAACACGTGGCTACAGGTAAATAAGACCGTTTACCACACTTGCGTGTCTGGTGTTGAACTTTGTATATCGTACAAATATGGAAATATCACATGCTCGTTACCTATTATGTACAGATTCTCTCACATGTTCTATTATTGTGTTCTTCTTTGTGATCTTCTATCTTTCCTGATTGATATTACCGCTTTAGGCACATTCTTTTGTTCCCTTTATGGAAATGCTTCCCTCGAGCTCCCTCACATATACCAGGAGCTCTCCCTCCGCATCTCCTCAGTCTTTTCCCTTATACTTGACTGAGGAGTGAGTCTGCCATGTCCCTTCATGTCCCTCATGTCCTAATGTACTTATGATGCCTCTGTAGTCATATATTAGGTACTACATGTGTAACTCAGTCTTTTCCCTTATACTTGACTGAGGATCATATATTAGGGAATTATTGCTCTTGCCTTCAGATCCAGAAGTTCATCATCCGGTGGAGCCTAACACGCGGCTACAGGTCTTAACAAGTAACACGTACTGTTCGCTTGCTAATCAATATAGCACCGCTGTGGCACGCTCAGACAAAAAGGCAGCTATGGGCCTAATGACAAAGGCCCAGAATTCTGTGCATCAGACAAACAATGCACCCTACATCCCAGCGGACAGACTATCTAGTCATACCAGGCTCTTTGACCCTGCAGCACCCCAGTTACGGCTGCCATTACGTGTGGGTGAAACTTTGATGGGTATGTCACAAAGTTGGAATTATCATATCACTAGTGAGCGTCTGCCTCTCTTCTAGCAAGCATCCTCTGACTCATACTAGCCATCAATACACTCCGAGCTCGTTGTGAATAGCACGATTGATTACCCAGATGTCTGGAAATATCTTCCATCAGGGCCATTCAACTCTGTGGAGGCGTTCACAGAGTATTTCATGCTTCTCATAGCGCGCGATCCCAAATGGATGCTCTATGCGGTATATGACAAAGGATCGTCGTCAAATGCCGAAGGAGGTCCATTTTCGTCAAGCACGCATGGAAGACGTGGTCTGATACACACTGATCTTAAGGCGCTGCTGAAACGTTTGCTGGGACCATCGGCTTTCTGCAAATAAATATTCCATGCAAATAACACGCCATTGGCGTCTTGGGGTCCCTCGGAAGCTCCGCCACCGGCATCAGCCTCGGCACATGCCGGCACGTGGTTATCTGAGCGCGACCATATCGGTCTTCATACAAACACGACAGGTGTCCAGGCCGAGGCCGATCTATGGTAGAGATACATAATGATGAAGGACGTGTGCTGAAGACGGTGATGCAAATAATGCGAGGTATAATATAGAACAATCCGCGATGCAAAGAGGGAAAAAGCAAGCAAGTCCAGTAGAAGTCAAGGGAAGGTGTATGCATGAGGTGCAGAAGCAGGTTTTTGTTCTGCGATAGTGATGAGACGTATGCGGCCGCGTTATGCGGGAAGGGAGCCCCGGTGATGAGGGGTGCCGCGATATGATGGAAGGACGGCCAACATGCACATCTCCTATTGGAGATTGAGGTCGTTGAAGAGGATCCTCGATGCGTATGCCCAAATCGTCATTGGCGATGTCACCGTGATGCGGACGCGATATCGATACGTCGATCGCCGGTGGGGATCGGGTTACCGCGTCCAGCGATATGATCGATTTTGACGGCGCTGTGGCGACAAACGTTCAAGATGATGGGGATGCAGGATATCTATGAGCAAGGTCAATCGACGTTGAGACGCATATATTCAGCTGTTCACGTACCTGGCATGCCAGTTGGCCGTCCAGGGTACAGCGCTGGAGTGTAACAGCGAAAGAGATATAGACAATGTTCAGGCCTTCAGCACCGTTGCTAGCTCTTGCCGGGCTTCATGACCTCCTCCCAAGCTTCGCACAACCTCTCGACCAAGCTCTTCTCCTTCTCCTGATCGCGCGCCTTCTGCAGCTCCTCCATGCGCCGCTCGCGGTTCCACTTCATCTCGCGCAAGCATCCCCGCGGATACGGCAGACGCAAGGGCGACTTGGGTCGCTCGTTCTCCTTCTCCTCGTTGTTCTTTACCTCGTCGGCGTCGCTGGACGCGGCGGACGGATCCTTCGCGGAGACCTTGCCGAACGGCGTCGACGGGAAGTAGGCGTGCACGGGCGACAGGCAGTTCCGGATGATCATCGCGTCCAGCGACGAGGGCGCAGGAGGGCGCGGTGCTCCTTATAGGTCGAGCCGGGTGCGGTGGTGGAGGCCGTCAAGCAGGAGCGGTGGGCATGTCAGCCGGCAGACGGATTACAGGCAGGGGCGACGAGTAGGTGCGGCTGGGAGCGTCCGGCCGGACATGGTAAGTGCGATGCCGAGAGGGGATCGCGACATGGCGCCGGGGCGCACACGTATGCAGCATTGTCGTCTGTGAGCGAATGACCGACCGCCGTTTCGTAAGGCGCCGCAGCAAGCGCCCGCACAGCCATCCCCACACCTCGTACGATTTTATTCCTCAGGCAGGAACACCAGTACATACACCCCAGAGTACACTGTCAAACGGGAAGATACATCGTGGCGTCGTCATCAGGAATCATAAGGCCACGAGCTGTGTGCCTTCGCGATGCCACTGAACTTGGCGGTCTCAGATCGTTACCGTTACCTTCCAGGCGATGGCTCACCTCCGTAAATATGCTCATACCGAACAGCCGAATCGGAAGCTTCCTACTCCAGCAGGTCCAGCTGGGAAATCGGAGAAGGTCGCACAGCCGCCGCCAACGGCTCCAACCTCGGCGCCCCCGCTGGTACCACAGGTCGTATCGTTGAAGAACGGCACCGAGCATGGCACCCCAAAGCTGGACGCAATCGAGACCGACGCGCCGCTCACTGTGACGCATTGTTGGGGTCCGCCGCATGTGCCGCCGTTGAAGAAGGGTGCCCCACTGCAGCCCGCCCCGGAAAACTCTTGCCAGATGCCAGCCTCAGCTACCTGAGCAAGGGAAGCGGCCAGTACCGCGCCCACCAACATGTACGTTTTCATAATGTAGCCTAACACAGAGACGTGCTGTGGTCAGCATCAACTGCTCGGCGGAAGGTAGTACGAACTTGCCTGGCAAGTGATGGCTGGAACGATGGTTCTACAGAGGGTGCGTGCGGCCGACTTTATATCTTAGGGGCCTATAGTATAATCATCTTGCGACAAAGCGCCGACCGGGTCGGAATTGTCGGGAATTCAGAAAGGGACTTAAATCGGCCTTGAGCTGCTCGGACAGCGAAGGGCACGGGCTTTTTCCTAATGGACCTAAGGATGTTCGCGTTAGTGACAGTGGAGAACCTCCAGATAGATGCCAAAATACCTTCATTCCCGCTGTAGTTCGCAGACGGCCAGGATCCCCGCATCTCGAGTTGCAGTCCATCGGAGAGGTTCAACTATGATCTACGTCATGGCTGCAAGGTGAATTACCTGAGGAAGATGGTCAAGTTCAAGCGCTCAAGTACGAGTCTCGAGGTGACCATTGGGAAGGTACTGTTTTACAAATGAAGGAATACATGGCAGCTGTCGCTCAGGCTGCGTTCACAACGAGTAATGCACACTTCTCCATGTGATGGCGAATCTGAGTTCAATACATTCAGGGACTTCCAATACTCAAACGGTAACACGCATTGTCTGCTCACGTATTCAGGTGGAGCAGGCGAACAGGAAACTGCCTGTGCCGGATGGCAAATCGGAGAAGTCGATGCACCCGGCTCCAAAGCGGTCGATGATGGATCCTCCACTGGTACCGCACGTAGTGTCGTTAAAGAACGGCACGGAGCACGGCACTCCAAAGCTCGTTTGGATCGCAACGGACTCGCCACCAAGTGTGACGCATTGCTGGGGACCACCGCACGAGCCGCCGTTGAAGAACGGGGCACCGGAGCAGCCCGCGCCAGAAAACTCTTGCCAGAATGCTGCTGAAGCGACTTGAGCGAGGCAGACGGCGGTGACTGTATTGATAACGGAGAAGTACATGATGGGATCGGGTTGGTCTGGTCGCAAAAATCAACTCATATGAGGTCCTGTTTTGATTGATGGACTAACCTCAGTAGAAGGACTCCCAGAGTGAGCTCCTCTGTCTCAGGGTACGCGTACGGGTTTTTATACCTTCAGTTAGATGAAACCATGTGCCCTTCTTGTTGCCGTAGAAAAATCCTGACGCAGAGAGTGGCGTCGTGCATTTCAATAGGCGCAGTCAGACGACGATGATCCGGCGAGGCTGGTATCTCCTGTTGCCCCAGATGCACGGATGCCCGTCCTCAACAGCAAATCATTGCGCTCAGGCCACGCCCGCGAAACTCATGTTCCCGCCTGGATTTTCAAAGAGCCAAATTCAGGCGCGTTCAGATAGGCCAAGCGTTGATGCATCCTCCTTTGCCGTCGGATGCGCTCGCAAAGTGGTCTAGAATCGTCGTTGTCTGTGAGTTCGGTGGATTTGGGTGGATCCGTCAGCCCCTACCATTCCATATGGGTCCTTTCTATGTTGCTGAACGCAGAGAATCGGAACGATGGCATGGCGTCCGATCAGGAATTGAAGCCAGGGATGAATGAACTGAACTTTCGCGATACTGCTGATGACGGGGTAGCGCAGACTGGAACAATGTCAAGCCCTCCTAGCTCGCATACAACCAAGAGTCGTGCCCGACAGTCTGGGGCGTTGTCAGTTGAACGTGGCGCAAGTCGAGGCTCAAGTCAAGTCACCAACGCCAGCCCGTCAACGCCACTCGTCAACTGCAGCTGCCATGTTGAGCATTCCTGAAACCGTTGACCGGTCTTGTTCATCTCAGATCGAAGATACTCCTTTGGTCAACGAGAGCCTGCTCCCGACCGACGGCTAACTCCAAGTATGTCCGAGCAGGGTTTGTCTTTCGTGTACTACTGCTCTGGACATGGTGCGTGAATTCGCGTTACCCGATGGCCTCCCGATGGCTCATCTCACTCGATTTCCGAAGGATACGGACATGCTACCCGCGTTTCTGCGTTTGCGGGTCATCTGCTGTCTCTGAATCCGCAACCCACGGTGTACATTGTCTCTTCCGCACCGAGGCACGTCTTTGCGGACAGCATCGCACAGGGCGCGACATATCGCTACGCAGATATCGACCCTGTTGTGGTCCAACCCCTTGCGTGAGTGAACGATATCATGCTCCGCCAACGATGTACTCATGTCCGTCCCTCCAGGTATAGAGTCGATCGTCGCAAAAGTGTAGATGTCCTCAAGTCCTTCTTAGCGAAGAAAGACGCCAAATTGGAGGAGGAGATCGAGTTTCTGAAAGATGTCGAAGCCGATTGTGTCCTCAGTGACGCTGCATTCCTCGGCTGGTAAGCAGTACAATACATACATCGCTCTCCATCCCTTCCTCACCTAGCCTACCCGCAGTTTAGCCGCGCACGCGTGCCGCATTCCATCCGTTCTTGTCACCAACTTCAGCTTTGACTCTGTGTACTCCTACCTATCCACCACCGACGTTGATCAGAACGTCCAGGATTCCCATCCCCGCGACATCCTCCAGGCACCCTCCGCCCCAGATGACATCTCGCCCGACGTTCCCATCCCACCATCCGAACTCGAGCCCCTCGTAGCGCAGATACACGTAGGGTATCGCTGTGCCGACTTACTACTGCTCCTTCCCGGCGCGATCCCCATGCCCTCGTTTGCGGCTCTGCCAACTCTGCCGAGCCCGGCCTGGATAGACCCCGTTACGATGTCATTCAAACCGGAAATTCTCGACTACCTCGCCAGAATATCGTCTGACATCACGATGCTGCCCTCCGTTCCATTCAGCATCTCGCCTGATTGTCCTGACCAAGACGCGAGTCCAACAACGCCTGATCGCATCCGCACCATTCGTGAAGCACCACTTCTAGTTCGCCCAACCAACGCCTCAATATACACCCCGCTTGGTCGTTCTGCACTTCTTAGCTCTATAGGAGTACCTGAACATCTACACGATGAATCTCGGACGAAGATACTCATCGTGTCCTTCGGCGGCCAGTCTTTCCGCCGACCGCATAGCCGCGCGCCCAGCCGCGCCGGCTCTTCAGTGGACCTCACCGACCTCACCAGCAGGATGCATCTTCACTCCAACGTTCATAGTCGTTCACCGCCGTCCTTCGGCGCGCATAATCTCACCCCGATCTCGAGTTCCGACTCGGGGGAAACCGCTGCCAGCTTATTACTTCCTTCGCGTTGGTCCTCGTCATCTTGCACGACACCTGATCCTGTGCCATCACCGCAGTATCCACCGCCAGCAGTACCCTCAGTGCCCTCCCGACCAGGACTTCCGCGCCTAGCATCTGCATCGCATATATTCATTCCTGGTGCGCCACCAGCAGCCAAGACGCCCGCCACGCCGACGATGGGGAGCTTTCCGACGTTCTGTAGCATCACTCCCGCGTCACCTATCCCTACCCTAATATCCGAGGACAGTAACGCTTGGGGTTCACAGACGTCTACTGAGGCGGGCGCGAATGACGAAAGCGCCCTGGAAGAAGACCCTTTCTTGCTGCCGGACGAGTCGTGGATTGCGATTGTATGCGGGGTGCCTAAGGAATGGGGTCGTGAACACGGCGAGGAGTTGCCGGCTGGATTCTACGTGGCGCCTAAAGATGTGTACATGCCAGGTACCAGTTCCAAACCTTTGCCGGTACATTGGCTGATCTCGCTGCAGATTTAACAGCAGCGGCCGACGTTCTTCTCGGTAAACTCGTAAGCACGGACAGTTTCCACGTCCTGGCCCCCCTCATAACAATCATTTGTAGGGATACGGCACGGTATCGGAGTGTGTCGATGCATGCACGCCTTTTGTATACGGTACGTCGTCGCTATCTGTTACACATATAGCTGAAACTGATGTTGATCCCAGTCCCCCGCCCACTGTTCATTGAAGAACACGGCCTCCGGCTCCTTTTGGAGCGCGAAGGAGCCGGTGTCGTGCTCCCGCGCGCGAAGTACGAAGCTGGCGACTGGGCCCGCGCTGTCAGTGAAGCGTATGCAAAGGGGAAGGATAGGAAGGTTAGAAAGAGGCAAGAGGGTGAAACGGGGCTGAGGAAGAGGCAAGGGGTAGAGATAGCACAAGGACTGGTGAAATGGGTAGAGGAGTGGTTGACCCACAACTGACGGTATGGCATCACCAATGGAAATCACGTTTCACATGAGCATGACCGTCTAACGGTGCTCTAGCTTCAGGACTAGATTGTGTAACATGTGATTGTCAGCATGCTATGGACGGTCACTACTTCGTATTCTTCGGACAATAAACCACGCTATTCAATTTCGACTATACAATTCAGATACCGAAAAGTTCCAATTTAGCTCCATGACGTTTGTGCTACTCGATGGTGCTTGGTGATGAATATCGCCCTACCCGAAGAATTGTGTCGAGTGAGGAATATCATCGGTTCGTCGCATACGCATGGTGTATCGTCACAAAGGCTTCTGATGTTGCGGTATTGTTGACAAATTCGGCAGCTTTTATGAACTTTTGTGCAACCCCTCAGAATATTTGCAGGGAACCCTAGTGGTGGCAACCTCTTCGGTTGAGCATCTACCGGGGCATGCTAACGCCCATAAGACGACAGCTTTGATCACGGACGAACCTTATTCACAGCTCGGAATGCTGTGAACACTCACCACTGTTCGGTTCGCTGGACATCCTCGCTGGACATCCTTACTCAGCTTCACCCGTGAACATGTCGTCGAAAGACACATACATCGTCATTGGCGGGAGTGGAATGGTTGGACGCCACATTGTGGAGGCTCTCCTGGCAAGGGGCGACGTTGTCTTCTGTTTTGATGTCGTGCAACGTCATTACGACGTTCCATTTTACATGGGCGACATTTCCGAGGAAGGGTCATTCCTGGATGCTTTGCGCAAGGTGAGATTCTTCCGTCAGCGCATCAGCACCTACAGGTTAACCTTACCCCCTTCCCCCTCCCCGCGGATAGAGCGGCGCGACGTGCATATTTCATACGGCATCTCCTCGTCAGGTAGGCCCTTTACAGTGCGCGATTCCTATCTCTCATCACAAACTCCAGGGCGCAAAGCCCGATGGAATCTATCAGAAAGTCAACGTAGATGGTACAAAAGCTGTAATAGCTGCCGCCATTACGTGTGGCGTCAAGAAGCTTGTATGGACAAGCTCGTCGGGGATCGTATTCGACGGGCACCATTTGGCTAACGTTGACGAAACTCAACCCATTCCTAAGAAACCGGTCGACCCGTACAATGGTTCGAAGGCGGAGGCAGAGTGCATCGTACTCAACGCTAACGGCCAGAACGGACTCCTCACCGTTGCTCTAAGGCCGTCTACAGTATTCGGGTGAGAGGTCGCGCTTACCAAGATGATGAGGGACCTGCCTTTGATACAGCCTCCCAGCCCCGGCGACACTCAATTCATGCGCGCCTTTCAAGAAACCTTTGACTCCGGTTGGTCTCATATCCAGATCGGCGATAACACCAACCTTACGGATTGGACCTACGTCGACAACGTCGCGGACGCACACTTACTTGCTGCTGATAAACTGGCGCCCGAGAACCCCGACGTCGCAGGTCAGGCCTTCTTCATCACCAACGGAGAACCGATCCCGTTCTGGGACTTTAGTCGTAAAGTCTATGAGCGTCTGCGCGAAGTGGATCCCGCTTCCGCCGCATGCTCTCAGCGTCCAATCTGCAGTGTACCAAAGACGTTCGGGTACCTCATCGGGTTACTGTCGGAATGGTGGAATTGGTTCAGGGGAACGGAGCCAATCATGACTCGCTATAGGGTCATGTACTTCTCAGCCGTTCGCTATCACAACATTGGCAAGGCGCGTGCGGTATTAGGCTACGATCCCAAAGTTTCCGTCGATGAAGGCATCAATCGCATGGTAGACGTACGCTTCCCGCATCAAACCATGGGAAATCGAGTGCTAATTTCCTATCAGTGGTGGATCGCCTTTGGGCGCCCTAGACTAACCCTGTCGGTGCTGCCTGGTGTAACGCGGGCATTGGCTTCCACTTGGACAGCCGATGATGGCGTGCAAGCGTAATTGCCACATCACCTGCTTTCACCTCAAGTACATGACATACAAACAATCAGAGCATGAGGTCACATAGATCACAACGTAGATATTCTATGTTCATCACTTCAGATATTTCTTCATGGTCTATGTGGCATGATGAGTGAAGCAAGACGGCCCAATCCATGTTGATGAACACACCTCTTCCATCTCGTCCAAATCATTCGTCTCAATACGGATAATCTGCCGTCCAAGCGCCTTCTCGATCTGCTCCATCTGCTTCCACGTCGTTTGGTCGTGTACGAAGTTTACCGAGATTCCCTTGCGTCCAAACCGACCGGTACGGCCTGGTGGGAGACTTTGATACTAGCACGCACTATTACATATGGCGAACTCACCGATCCTGTGAATATACGTCTCCAAGTCTGGTCGCATGTCCGACTTCGATATTGACTTGTCGCGTTCGTTCAGAAGAGGTAGATCGTAGTTGACCACCATATTGACTTGCAAGACGTCGATTCCTCGAGCCATGACGTTGGTTGTGATGAGCACCTTCTCCAGACCCTCGCGGAACCTGTCGATGATCGAGTCTCGCTCCGACGTGTCTTTGGCGCCGTGAAGAGAAGCGACTTTGTGCCCTTCGCTAGACATACGCTGGGCTACCCTATCGGCTGTATGTTTCCTCTTGACGGTGATTAGATGCATTAGCAATGGTGGACATGCGGATAATAAGATAAAATACCTCGCAGAAGATGATGCTTTGACCGATCGTGAGCAAGGAGTAAAGGCTGACAAGAATATCGTATTTGTGTTCTTCGTTTTTGCAATCCATGTAGAACTGTCGGATAGCGTCCACGGACAGTTCATTCTGCTTCAGCTCGATCTTGTTGGCATTCGGAGCAAATTTGCTCGCAAAGTTCCGGACGTGGTCGGGGAAGGTGGCGGAGAACAAGATGATCTGTACAGGCTTCCCCCGCGGAAGCGAGCTGAGTAGACCGCGCGTCAGCTTGATCGACTGTCAACAAGAGTCGTGAAATATGCACTTCTTGACACGAAGAGTCTGATCGCCAAGACCATCTTGATCCAACATGTTATCGGCCTCATCCAACACGAACACCTTGACGTCGCTGGTGTCGAGAATTCTCTTCCGCATCAAGTCAATCATTGTCCCAGGAGTTCCGACAACAATATGGGCAGTGATTCGTGACGCGCCCTTCGGCAGACTATCCTTGATTGCGTATTCGGTCTGCACCGGGGTGAACTTGCCCATGGCGACGATGACCGACATGATTTGACGAGCTAACTCACGCGTAGGCGCGAGGCAAAGTGCCTAATGGTTGATTAAGGTGAATGTATGGGGATGGACACGACTGCTTGGCACGGTGCGTACCTGGGTCTTGTTCAGGTTGAAGTCGACTCGACTAAGCATCGTGAGGACGAAGGCGGCCGTCTTCCCTGTGCCGGATTGCGACTGCCCGATCATATTCTGCGGGCTGGTGCACGATATGATGGGATGTTCGACAGATACGAGGAGAACACGTACGGATCCTTGAGCAACAACGGCAACGCGCGCTCTTGAATCTTCGACGGCTTCGAGAAACCCATGTCGTACAGACCCTTGAGAAGATCCGCGTGTCTGAATGGATCATCAACATCGCTCACGCGTTTTTTAAGCTGCACGTACAAGCCTAGCTCCTCGAAAGTCTTCGCGCTGTACAAGGGTGAGTTGACATCAGCCTGTTGATCGGCCAGAGTAACCTGTATAAGAAGCCCGGTTCAATATAAATCTTGCACCCAGAGCTACTAATGCACGCACGGTAACATCGAAGGTCGATTTGATCAGATCTGTGGCCTGCCCTACGCATGTTCACTGAGATCGTAGTCAACAACGAATAACGCTGGGTTGCTAACCGGGTTTTGATCCTTCGGCCGTTGGCGCGTCTTTCGGAGGCTCAGGCGCAGGCTCCTCGGTTGCTTTCGGTTCTGGTCCAACAATAAGTTACATGAACTATTGGAAACTGTGCATAAGACACACTCGCGGCGGGTGCAGGGCCAGTGTAGAAGCCATCAGCGTCCTTCTCCATGCTGAATTGCGTTGCTCAGGGCGTAGTCCAAGTATAATAAAAGTCAGGCGCGAGTTATTCGAGTTTTATAGATCCACAGTACAAGAGCGTACAAAATGGAGATGACAGGGAACAAACTGCCGCAGACCGCAGATCGCAGAAAACGCGTGGGCGAGATAGGCGCTGGCATAGCCACACATCCCGCCGGCTTCCATTCAAGTTACCGATGCAGGATCTGGCTTGCAACCTGAGCTTCCAGTGAGACAGTAAGACATATGCATGCACCACTGTCCATCGAAGTTCAAATCTCGTATATATATTGCACGATGTGGTAACGTTGAAAGTAGATGGTTAGATGCGAGAGGAAATTTGAGTCATGAATAGAGACAGTCCGGGTATCGGCACATTCTTGCGGTGTCTGCAAGCATGTAAGAGATTGCATGGAAAGGAGACAACGGGGTGTTCTTACAGCTCGCGGACTATGGCACATGTCAGGAATACATTAACGTGAAGAGTATCACGGATAACTCACCTCGCATGATGAAATTGGTAAGGACAGCAAAGAACAACAAGGCGCTGATCACTACTGGACCAACAATCTCATCTAATGGTACATGAATGATGAGAGGAGTGGTTCACAGGTATTCTGAACCGTACTGAAGTGCCCAGGATCTCGCCGGCGAATCATGGTAATCCGGTGTTGGTAAATGGCATAACCGTACACCTGGTTCATGGTTTAGCCATGTTGGACCGACGGAAGACTTGCTGAAAATACGAACCAAAACGGCAACGCTGATGAACGCATACACATATGCAAAGTCTCGCGCTATCTGATCCTGAGATGCATTGAAGAGCGCGATTGACAGCGTTCCAATGAGAAGCGCAACGTTGAGGTAGGAGACCCAAGCTACGATATTATCAGTTACGGCATTCAAGATGGCATGCAAAGTTCCCAGCTCACTGCGCTCGTTAGCAAACCATACTTTTGCCTCTACCTTGATAGGCGTAGGTATCTTCTTGGGAACGCGAACCTGCTCGGGAACGGAATTGATGGCATGGTAGTCCCGGACGGTTGGTCTGCGGCCTTCTTCGTCCTCATCGGCATCCGGTATGGCATCCGCCCGGGTATATCGAGCCGCGCGATAGGGATTCTTGGGCAGTAAAGCTAGTGCGGGGCCAGAGAAAGGCGACATCCATCGTCGGATAGTAGATTCATGAGCGTCTGCGCCGTTCTGTCCATGACTGGTGTTTTGGCCGTTGGCCTGGTCGGTTTGGAGGGGGCTTGAGGATGCCATAACGCACGACAAGAAGGCGTTGGCCGCCGTCCAGCATGGTCTGCAGTGTCTTCATCGTGAGGAGGCCCGCACGTGCCTCGCACGGTGGCGCGGAATTTGCCAGGTGTCGCCAAACGCAGACTTGGCGGGGTCCGGAAGGGTCCGGACGAGTCCGGCCGATTTGACGTCAGACCGGGGCTTTCTCGCAGGTTCTGGTACCTACCACCGCCCGATGGTGCCTTCCCGGGACGCTACGACCTATAATTCTCAAATGACGCAGGCCGACATGTCACACGCGAACCCTCTCTATATACCCCCTCATTCGGTTTCTTACTCCTTGGCTTAATTATCACCAACCATGGGTCAAGATTATTACAAGTTACTCGGCGTTGATCGCAACGCTAGCGAGGATGACATCAAGAAGGCCTACAAGAAAATGGTAACGTGTTGGCATAGTCACTGCTCGGGCGACCCTCATCACTGACCGACATCTGCACAGGCCCTGAAATGGCATCCAGACCGTAACAAGGGCTCGGAGGATGCTTCAGCGAAGTTCAAGCAGGTGAGTTCGCACGTTTAAGCACCTCGGAAGACCCCGTATTGACGTCGTCGCTGCAGATATCCGAAGCCTTCGAAGTCCTCAGTGACAAGCAGAAGCGAACGATCTACGATCAGTTCGGTGAAGAGGGTTTGAAGGGCGGTGGCGGACCACCGCCAGGTGCAGGGGCCGGTGGATTCCCTGGAGGAGGTTTCAGCGGTTTCCCGGGGGGTGGAGGAGCTCAGACCTTCACGTTCACCAGCGGGCCTGGAGGTTTTGGTAGCAGCGGCGGCGGTCGGGGTGGTTTCTCACCGGGAGACCCCTTCTCGATCTTCGAGTGAGTATATCTCGGCCCTAGTGCGCTCCGAACGCAAGCTGACCATATTATTTCAGGCAATTCATGGGCGGCATGGGTGGTATGGGCGGTGGTGGCATGGGCGGCGGTAGGAGTAGCATGTTCACCACCGATGACGATGACGTACCTGGCTCCTTCTTCACGTCACGGTCAGGTGGCATGCCCGGCGGCTTCTCCAGCGGCGGTCGCCCAAGACCGCAACGACGGCCATCGTCACCACCACCGCAATCTGCAGGCCCGTCGGAGATCACGAAACCTCTCAAGGTCTCCCTTGATGACTTATACAACGGCGCCACGAAGCACCTCAAAGTCGGACGGAAGCTGCTGGGCGGCGGCACGGAAGACAAGGTGCTGGAGATCCAGGTTCTTCCCGGGTGGAAGGAGGGCACGAAGATTCGTTTCCCGCGCGCTGGAAACGAGCAACCCACCGGCGAGTCGCAGGACCTCGTCTTCGTCGTCGAGGAGAAGCCGCACGACCGGTTCACGAGAGAAGGCAACGACCTCGTATGCAAGGTCAAGATACCGCTCGTCGAGGCCTTGACGGGCGGATCGTCGAAGAAGACGATAGAGGCATTGGACGGCCGCAAGCTGCAAGTCACCGTACCCTCTGGGGTTGTCAAGCCCGGTCAAGAGACAAGAATAGCTGGGGAAGGCATGCCCATCAGGAAAGCGGGGAAGAAGGGCGACCTTATCGTGAGATGGGATGTCGTCTTCCCGGATCGGTTGACTGAAGCGCAGAAGGAGGGAGTACGGAAGGTGCTAGGATAGACGTATAACGTTACTCCACGGATCCAGTCGATGTAATCAGCATTGTATCATTATAACATCCAGGAATCTCTATAGCTTTCACTATCTATCTCGGGCACACGAAGGAACGCACGCCAGCCTTGGACCCCTTTCTCGCGCGAATTTGAGCTGACGCGTGACGATATGTAAGTGAAGACTGAAGTACGTGGCGGAAGCTCGTTCATCTCCTGTTTCGTCCGCTGGAATGTCTGTAGCACGGTACACTTCGGCGCACACTGCCTTCGCGATCCGTTCATCTGATTGATGTAGATCCCAGATACTCCAACGCGCTATACGTCTGGTGCCAATTCATGGCTTCACCCGACAAGCCCTGTCGCTCGCGGCTTTTCGAGAATCGGCTGCATCTGAACCGCTCAACACTCAATCTCAGAACGCGTCAGGAGGTCGACTGTCGGAAGCAGCTCTAGACGCTCTCTTCGGGCCGGGCGACGAGGCACGTCGGACGTTGATCGACGCGTGGTTGGACGCTGGAAGAACGGAGATGAGGTCAACCGTATCCGCCTCCGGCAGTACCCCGACTGTCAAAGATGTGCTAGAGAGGCGTCTGAACTATAATGTCCCGGCTCTGCGATACCTACCCGAGGTGCGCACATACACATTCGTTTTGTCTGGTTGGTCCGCTAACTCGATACCTAGGCGTTCACATTCCTCTCGACACCGCCCACTCCTTTACTGAATCTGCGTTTGCCTCCTCTGGATCCTACCCCCGCACTCTCGCATGCTTTTAAGGTCGCAGATGAGGCATGTCATATCACGCATGACCCAGCGACGGGAACGGAATGGTATGCGCGTCGAGCGACTTTGGCGGCAGTATACAGTGCGGCAGGTGCGCCTTGTGATCTAGCCATTGCCTCGCATTTCATGCTCACATGCACGTCTGTGTTCTACAGAGCTCCATCAACTCACTTCGCCCCATGGTACGAACGAACTATTGGACTCTTTGCTGACATCCTCGTCGCGATTGCATAACACGGTCACTGACATCGGCGAGTTCGCCAACTACGTTGGTCGGAGCTGGGCGGGTATCCTGCGGAGTCGCGGAATGTTGTGATGTTCTGGCTTTGGTGGAAGGTAGAATGCTGGTCTTGTTCTACTCCACGCATTTCGCTGAGAGGTTGCATAGATCGAGCGCTCCTGTTTTATCGTATGCTCCGTGGCAATCTGTGAAGGCGGAATCTTACGTGCCGGCTGCAATACTATATATCAACTTTCGGATGGATGACCTCCGAAAGCGATGCAAGACCAGCTGTTCCATCAATCAATGTGGGGCCCTTCTTCGGCTTGCTTTATCAACGCGTGCAGTGACCGCCGCGACCCTAGTTGTAACTGGTGCTGTGCGGAGTCGCCGAGTACTTGAACACTAACATATTGATATCGCAGCTCATGCCCGATGATGCTATACGCGAAAAGTGCGGCGGGTTTACCCTGAAATCGTCGAATCTCCTGGTACTGTAATGATCGTCCATAGTGGGACACCACGGACTTCAACTCCGGCTGCAATCCGGCTGAGTAGCTTCATACTAATAGCAGTGCTTAGGAATCGGACGCCAGCGCACGAGGCGCTGCTACGACTGCTGCACACTGCGGGGCCATACCGGAGGCACATTATCGTTGAATAGCAGACTCCGCGAGGTTTTACTTGCAGATATGCTTGAGAGCTGTGCCCGGGCCAGTTTTCGTACCTGCTCAGTTGTCCGTACACATCGGAGTCCCACGGCTTCACTAAGCGCCCGATACTACTGTCATGACGGTAATCACTGTTTGGAAACCCCGGCATCCAGGTGTCTGCGATCACGATGTCCTTAGGAGATGCTGCCACTATTTTCCAGGTCGTAAATAGGGTGAAAGAACACGTCGAGTTGGTACGATCGTCGTGTGAAGAGTGATCTAGCTATAGAGCACTTTGATGACTTGAATCTTCATCCTGCAGGTTTCCAGCAACGAGGAAGAGCTCACCAGAATCGCCAATATCTTGAATGAAATTGCAGAGGCCGTCTCACACTCTCGAATCGACTCCAACTCCAGCGATACGCAGGCATTCAACGATGCCCTGAGCGAAGTCCAAGAGTGAGCATGTCGCCTATCTTAACCGTCTTCCTCTCAGCTGAGAAAATTATATCTGCAGCTGCGTCTTGCATCTGAACAACATAGTACGAAGGCAGGCAAAGCGGAGCTGGCTTGCACAGCAATGGAAAGCCAAGGAGACAGCCGCCGATCTCGACGCCCTGTATCAACAGCTTCAGATATGTCACAACAAGTTTCAGGTATGTAATGATGCTGTATATCATTGATGTCCCTTAACGATTGACATATCAGCTTCGAGCGGCTGGGTCTATCGCCGGGTGAGTAACTCACTCTTCCATCGCGTCCGTATGCTCATGCCGGCCGAAGCGTGGTGCATGGTGTACGGGACGGCGTTACTACCTTGCAACAGGATCTTAGACGGGCGGTCCAGATGCTGGAAAGATTGCAGATCCAAGCAGAACGTAGTGATGGTCCACGCCAGGCGCAATTCCGACCCCTGTAAGTGTCTTATTATGTTGACCAACGGACTTCGCAAGTACCCAAGTCATATACAGAGTTCACGCACCTGGCCATGGGGAACGGCGACCTACACAAACAAAAAACCATCCTCAGCCCTCTTCTCAAACCGCAGGGCCGGCACCTAGTGAACCTTCGTAAGTCACTAAAATCAGAACGATCACAGCCTGTCGAATATTTCGTGAAAACAGGTGCAAGCGGACCGGCAATTTGATCATGAACATCGTCGAGGAGTTCCTCGAACATGGTGCTAAACTGGAGGTGGATCAATCCGTCGTCGTGGTGGGAATCCGGCGGAATCCACGACGCGTGAGTAGTACGAGCATGTCGTAAGGAGAACCCGATGGTGATTACTGTCACTTCCAGCCTCTATCCGTTCGGCAGAGCCCAGAGCTGAAGGTGACCGTCATGGACAACTGGACTCATACTGTAGAGAGCCCTAAGTCGTATCATGGGGAAAGTATGATACGTTTCTAACGGCATGGTAGGGATATTCGCTGCGAATACGTGGATGCAGGGTATCAGACTACGATCACTTTTCTGGAAGACGAAGAGACAGCGCTCCGTCTTTCACGGAAGTGGTACAGCTGTATCTTGATGCTTCACAGAGGAGGTAAAGAGGGCTGCGGAATGTTCTGGCGAACGCTGATACATGCCGTATCAGCACGAAATACAACCTTTCCCCGGGCGACGTCAGTTGATCGGCTTCTGGTCAGGCCCGTGCAGTTTCGAATACGGGGGGGGGCGCTTTACAGACGGTAGGTATCCCGTCGAATCGTGCGATCGAGTAAATGACATATGTGTTACAGCGAGAAGCAAACTACGCCGATCCAGAGCATGGCTGGTATCAGAAGTGGACCCACAAAATGAATAAGTACGTCGCGAGGATGAGCGAGGTGCGGAGTCCTAGTCCGGAGATCAAGTTCGATTATGGGCCGCAGGCCCCTGCGAACAACTGGTGCACCATAACGCTCGCCGGCAGCTCCGTGCTGCGTGCGGGAGGGTACCTAAGAAGTGACGATTCACGATGGGAATGCACCGACCGGCACTTGACAGAGCGCGATGCCGAGCGGGCTTTCTATGCAGAGGTGGTCGCAGTGCGTAGCCGTATGGCATAATCACCTCTGTAATGATCCGTTCCGGGCTATTATCGGTTGGACGACGTACGTATCTCTTAGGCTATGTCGCAAAGCATTTTATAAATTGCTAGAACCATCACCGGAGTCACCTGCGCACATTGTGTATCGTGATACATGAGAGAATGCGGAGTTCCGCTATGTCCTGCAGAAGAGAGGCGATGAGGGAGCACCGACTTGAGTCTATCTTTGCGATGACTGCGACCATGCGCGATGGTGAGTGTGAAAGGGTTTCGGAAATCGACTGCAAACCATAGACCTCTGTGGAAGCGGCGCCTGGGACGACCAACGCGCTGCTGAAACGCACTCTGGTTTTCGGTGTACCATCGATACCGGAAGTTGCTGGCTGCGATCCACCCAGGCTTTCCGAGTGTGTGTTGGCCCAGAGTCGGTAAAGCTGGACTTGCAAGCGAATACTCTAAGGCTTGATGGTCAGTCATTCATACGTCACAATCAAGCTGTATGCATTTGCAGACTCAGTGAGATGCGCGGTTGTGTGCTGAACGCTATCCCGCAATAGAGTGAGTGGATCAAGGACCTGAGAGAGCCAGCTACGAAGCCTCGATTGAACATCGTGTGATGGGCCGTGGTTCTGTGAGTTGCTATGCGAAGTCGACCGTGTGCGCGGACCACATCGAACCATTGCTCCTCCAGTTTTAGGCTTAGGACGTGAAGTGAAGATAGACGTGTGACGCGCGCAGCACCATGGCGATGCAACTGAGTTCGGTTCCAATGGTTCGCCGTCAAGGGTACGGTCCGGAGCAAGGCACGATGCTGCGCCTGCAGGATATCGCATTTTTTCCGCATCTGCGGGATACACAGAGAAATACGGGGACGTTAGAAGCAGGGATCCTGGTCTTGTGGTTGAGGTCGACTGGTAACCACGACGTGGTTCTTGCCTGGAGATGACGTTTCGAGCGATTTGAGCTCAGGCATGATAGGACGTCATTTTATGCACATCTGACTTACTGCACGGAGCGCATCACGATCAGAGAACGAGAACCCTTGATCAGTCACGAACATATCCGCCGTTGCAAGTAGTCACGAAGACTTCCGTGATAGTTTGCGCTCCGAAACGCAAGACACATCGGGAGGACTCAACAGCCATCGTGGGTCACGTGATCGAAAGGGTACGCGGCCATCCCCACCTTCTTTTCATATAAACGCGTCGTTATCACGCGTGTCTGGCGAGAAAAGGGCGGTCAGAGTAGTTCACACATCCGTGAAGACCGCGGATACTAAGATGAAACGCGTGTTTTGACTGCCCAGGCCGATGGCAAGCAACGGCCCGGGAGGACTCCTCGGAGGCGTCAGCATGCGGCGCGGCAAGGAACCTTCGTCTTAACCCACCTGGAAGATGATAGAGAGGCCGCCGTTATATATTATGGGGCCAATTGCCCCACAGCCTTGAGCCAGGCAATGCGGTGGTGCCAGACTCGGCGGGTGGAACAGGGGGACGAGCGGGAGAATCGCTCGTATATAGCATAAAGTTCCATTGTGTGACGCACTGCAGCTTTGTGACTACCGAATCAGCGGCGATATATAGCGTCTTAACTAGGAAGAAAAGGAGCTAACCATGGGGCACCGGATATACGTAGCGCCTTCTGTTTGGTGAGCGATCTGAATGGCACGGTGGAAGCGTGGTTATCAGTCGATTCTCCGAGACGAACAAGTCCCTTGACATCGACACCTCGAGGGCTGTCCGATGTGAACGCGAGGTGACCACCAGTTTGACTGCAAGTCAACGAGCGCCTTTTCTGCTGGGCGCTATGCCAGTGTTAGTTTGCTTAGCGCCAGGCTCGAACCGAAGCACGTCAATTTGACGAAGCTTCGGAAGCCTGTCACTGGCCAATCGCGAGGCAGATATAGGCAGCTGCGCCTTCTCCCATACTTGTACAGCTTTCACACTGTATCGAGACGGGCGCTGTGGACCCGCGTTGCCCGTTACGGTACATGTTCGTCAAGGTCCGTGGAGCCGCTCAGCGGAAAGCCCGGGATCGTGAGCAGCAATCGCGCATAGCTTGCAGGCACAGTGATCTGGGCAGGGCAACATTGCTAGGGGTTAAGTAGGAGCGTCGGTGCCGGTGAACAGCGTGCAGTATGCATATCGCAGTTCTGTGCGACCTACGGGCCGAGTGCATATCCGTCGGTCATAGTTATCTCCTGAAGGTGACGCTAAAGGTGACGCAGTGGTGCCGAACCTTGACGCGGGACGTTCTGTACAGAAGGTTGACCCTAACTCCATCGGCCAAGATAGGATAGGCTCCGGGCTCCGACGCGCAGACCCTCTGGAGTGTCGACCAGCGTTAGACAGCCAATTATGCACCCAGCAATTATCCAGAGCCGCATCAGCATCGTGATATGGCAAAATTCTCGAGGTCGTTAGCGTGGTCTGCAGTCCAAGATTATTGCCATGAGAAATTGATATTAAAGGGTGAGGCAGGTCCGGCGGTATCTCTCTCGGGCAAGCGCCACGCCACGCGACTCGATGGCTGTTGAGCCAAGTGGCTGATCAACAAGTGACGCTCATGCGGGTGCTGCCCACGGGGCTGCTGAGGTGACTGGACAGGCTCGGCAGAAGAAAATGGAGCGAGCACAAGGCCAGGCTGAGGGGACAGGAAAGGAGGAAGGCTTGGCCGGCCACGGCGCGTCGCGGCGCACCTGAAGCCTTGGCGATGCGCACGGGTTGCCTAATCGGGAGAGGCGGTGGTTGGGGCCGTGTTCAAAACGAGAGGGGTGTTCTTTTGGACTTCATCTACGCCGTCCACCTCAACGAATGCACGTTTCCTACACGCCGCTCCTCCCGTGCACGTTTGTCTCCCCAGCGCTCCCTACGTGCAACGATGCCCTCGCCCGTAATCCCCTCCATCGTGTTCGACGACCATTCCACCCCTGAAGTCCAGGTCGAACATGTCCCTGAGGAGCCCGCTGCGACGGCCCCCGACTCTCCCCTCGCGCCCCACTCTCATCGGCGGTCACCCAGCGACCCCACTTTGTTGTCGCCGACGTCGCCGACGTTGAGGCCGCGCGGAGGCCCGGGACGCACATCTCTAGACGCTCCTCGGCTACACTCGCCTATACCATCCGATTCCGCGTCCGGAGACGCGTCGTCGATGTACCCGCCGCCTTCCCCGACCCTCTCCACGCGCTCCTCCGTCCACTTCGCGACCTCCGTCGACCTGCGAGACAACAAACCGGAGACGTCCAACGGGATGTCATCGCTCGGCCTTCTCGTTCCCGGCACCAGCAACGCGCACCGCCGGAGAGGCAGTGGCGCCACGCTCACCACGATCAGCGGCGAGGAAACGGTGGCGGACCACGGCGAACCCGGCCAATATGGCCTTGCGCCGCTGAGCCGCCCCCAGACGGCGGGCGGTGAGGATTCGAGCATGCTCGACTCTCCCACTCACACGCACGTTGAGACGCTCAGCCATCGCTCTGTTTCTCCAGCGCCCACCGGCTACAATCAGTCGCTCTCAAAGTCTACCGGAAAACGCGCCGTGACGGAGGAGAGCGCGACTCTGGGCGGACACGAGGGTCACACGGATGCCCGCTCTCCCGAGGACGATGAAGGCTCCGAGCGGCCACGTCCGGTGTTGGATCTGTCTCAAGACGAAGGCGTCGACCCCGCGCCTTTCCAGTTCAGGCCTTTCAGTCTAGCCAGCCTCGTGGACCCTAAGAGCCTAGAAAAGCTCGAGTCTATAGGCGGCGTGGACGGTCTCCTCAGGGGCCTAGGCACCCATAGAACCAAAGGCCTTCCGTGGAAAGGCGGCGCGTCCTCTCCTTCTCAACCATCGACTGGCCCCGGTAGTCATGGCAAAGGCGCACCCGCTTCGCCCGACATCGCTGTGACGTCACCGGGTGACGACGACGCTCACCACTCTGAGACCGGCGACCGAAACAATACCTGGGACGGAGGAGGGGCGGCCGCGGCCGCCGCGTCCATGGAGGACCGCCGCCGCGTCTACGGTGCGAACACCCTGCCCAGCCACAAGACGAAGTCGCTGCTCGCCCTAGCATGGGCGGCGCTGCAAGACAAAGTCTTGGTACGAGCTTTTTTTAATCTCATGATGTCGACATACTCATGACACTATCTTTTAGATTATATTATCCATCGCGGCTGTCGTATCGCTCGCTCTGGGCCTTTTCCAAGACTTCGGCACACCACGAGACCCAGACGACCCTCCGGTCGACTGGGTGGAAGGTGTTGCCATCATGGTCGCAATCGTCATCGTCGTCATGGTCGGATCCGTCAACGATTGGCAGAAGGAACGGCAATTCAAGGTCCTCAATGAGAAGAAGGAGGAACGCAACGTACTTCTCATTCGCGGCGGCGAGGAACGCCTGGTGGACATCAAGGTACACCCCCTTTTTCTCTGCTGCCCGCGAATTTGGCACTCAATATGCGTTGTCTATAGGACGTCGTTGTCGGCGATATTGCTGTACTGGAACCGGGCGAAATTGTCCCCGTTGACGGCGTTTTCCTTACCGGTCACAACGTCAGGTGCGATGAATCCGGAGCGACCGGCGAGTCCGATGCCATCAAGAAAATTACGTATGAGGAATGTATCGCTGCCCGTGACCGCGTTAGGGATATCAAATCATCGGATGGCCATCATGTGGATGAACACGCTCACACCGACTGCTTCCTGGTCAGCGGTAGCAAGGTTCTCGAAGGCTATGGGCAATACGTGGTTATTGCCGTAGGCCCGAAGAGCTTCAACGGGCGCATCTTGATGGGTGGGTGCAGTCAAAGCTGTACTTTCCCTCTGCAGCATGCTGAGAATTCGTTCATAGGTTTGCAGGGTGCCGCGGAGTCGACTCCATTGCAGTTGAAACTGAACGATCTCGCGGAACTTATCGCCAAGCTCGGCAGCGCTGCGGGTCTTATCTTGTTCACGGCGCTCATGATCCGCTTCTTCGTGCAGCTTGGGCAGGGTGAGCCCGACAGGACAGCCAGCCAGAAGGGTCTCGCTTTCGTTCAGATCCTGATTATCTCCGTAACTTTGGTCGTCGTCGCTGTGCCGGAAGGTTAGTCAGGCTAAGTTTGTCTAAAGTTAAGCCGTCTAACGTGACCAAACTGTTTAGGGCTGCCTCTCGCCGTCACGCTCGCGCTTGCGTTTGCGACCAAGCGCATGACCCAGGAGAACCTTCTCGTCCGTATCCTCGGTTCTTGCGAGACCATGGCGAACGCTTCCGTAGTCTGCACCGATAAGACCGGAACTCTCACGCAGAACGTTATGACGGTCGTCGCAGGCTCCGTCGGTATTCACGCCAAGTTCGTTCGTCATCTGGAGGAGAATGAGGCTCGGACCAATGCTAACGAAGAGAGGGGCGGCGCCGCCGATCGGCGCCATTCCGAGGATTTCTCGCTCGATCTGGCGGACCTCAACAAGGTACTTTCACCTCAGCTCCGCGACTTGTTCAATGCGGCGATTGCCGTCAACTCGACGGCGTTCGAGGACGAGGCCGACGAGACGGGCGAGAAGGTCTTCGTTGGGAGTAAAACCGAGACGGCGCTGCTAAAGATGGCGAAGGAGCTTGGCTGGGCGGACTACCGCAAGACTAGGGAGAGCGCGGACATCATCCAGATGATCCCTTTCTCCTCTTCGCGGAAGGCTATGGGCGTCGTCGTTAAGCTCGGCAATGGCCGCTGGCGCCTGTACATGAAGGGTGCCAGCGAAATCCTGACGAAGAGGTGCTCCAGCCACGTCGTCGTCAGCAAAGAAGGTGGATCGGGTTCCAGCGGAGAGGTTCCTGTTCAGGATATTGGAACGGTTGAGCGGGAGAACATTGATCGGACCATCATCTTCTACGCGAACCAGATGCTGCGGACGATTGCGGTGTGCTACCGGGACTTCGCTGCCTGGCCGCCTCCGGGTGCTCATTACGAGAGCGAGGACGAGGTCGATTACGAGGACCTTGCTCGGGACATGACCCTCATCGGCATCACCGGCTTGGAAGATCCTCTCCGTCCTGGCGTCCGCGAAGCCGTAGCGACGTGTCACCGCGCCGGAGTCCGCATCAAGATGTGCACGGGCGACAACGTACTCACGGCTCGTTCCATCGCTCTGCAATGTGGTATCTACACCGCTGGCGGCATCATCATGGAGGGCCCTGTCTTCCGCGAGCTGGACGATCATGACATGCTCGAGGTCGTTCCACGTCTCCAGGTCCTGGCCCGTTCGTCGCCCGAGGACAAGAAGCTTCTCGTCAACAAGCTCCGGGAGCTCGGGGAAATCGTTGGCGTCACCGGCGATGGGACGAACGACGGACCGGCGCTGAAGACTGCTGACGTCGGCTTTTCCATGGGTATCGCGGGTACGGAGGTGGCCAAGGAGGCGTCGGACATTATCGTTATGGATGACAACTTCGCCTCGATCGTCAAAGCCATCATGTGGGGTCGCTGCGTTAACGACGCGGTGCGCAAGTTCCTCCAGTTCCAGATCGCGGTGAACATCACGGCTGTCATTGTCACGTTCGTTTCGGCCGTTGCTTCCAACGAGGAGGAGTCTGTACTGTCCGCCGTGCAATTGCTCTGGATCAATATCATCATGGACACGTTCGCGGCCTTGGCTTTGGCGACGGATCCGGCCTCGGAGTCTCTTCTCAATCGCCAGCCCGACAAGAAGACGGCGCCGCTGTTCTCTGTCGACATGTACAAACAGATTCTTGGCCAATCGGCGTATCAAACGACCATCATCCTCATTTTCCATTTCCTTGGTTTCAAGATCCTGGGCTTCCAGCATTCCAGCGTCACGAAGACCGAGAATCACCATGACGCCATCGTGCAGACTATGGTTTTCAACGCCTTCGTCTTCGCGCAGATTTTCAACTCCATCAACTCGCGTCGCCTCGACAACCACTTGAACATCTTCGAGGGCATCACAAGGAATTGGTACTTTATGTCTATTACCTTAATCGGTTCGTGCTTTCCTCTTAGCTCGTATTCTGTGATAACCATAGCTCACCATTTGTGTAGAGGTTGCGGTTCAAATTATCATCGTCTTCGTGGGCGGCTCGGCATTCCAGGTCACGCGCATCGGCGGACTCGAGTGGGGTATCTCCATCGCGCTCGGATTCGTCTCTATACCACTCGGCGCGCTCCTTCGCATGATCCCCAACGCTCCCGTTGAGAAACTATTACGGACAGTGCGTCTGCTCCCGAACCCTGAGGTGCTCCCCACGCGGGCCCCCGAGGGCGAATGGAACTCGGCGATTCAACTAGTCCGCGACAACCTAAATACCTTTGCGAATGTTCGGGGAGGTCGTCTCCGCTCATCGTCGTTCGCCATGAAGAGCCGCAAGTCTCAAATCAATGATGAACAGCGACCAACTATGTGCGTTACTTCCCTTCTGCACCCTCGTGCTTGCTTTGTTCATCGACGTTCACAGATCATCACTCATGACCATGGTACCTACCCTGGTTGCGACGACCGTCGGCGCTGGATGGGCACCACAAAAGGGTTCGTTATCGGACCCCGCGCATTCCGATCCATCGAAGTCCACCGCTGCTCTCTGGGAGGACAAGATTCAGGTTCATCCAGACACGAAACAGGATGATTACGCATACCAGCGATGGGGCCGCCGGGGCTCCGCACCGCGATGATCACTTACACCTGTGTATACACGACGACGCTCAACATTACATAGATTATTCACACCTTCCTGGAACTTACGAGAGAGGCTCAGGCGAGGGGCTGGCGTTCAAGATTTGACTGGACGCTGCGCGTACGCACATTGCAAAGAGCTAGCATACATCCTGGACGTACTAAGATACCACGCACACTCATGCCACGATCCGTAATGCATTTCATCTAGATCACCACGCACCGCCGCATAGGCAGACGTTTCTGTAGCATATCTGAATCCAATCAGAATACCCTGATTTTGGCCCATTATGAGAGATGGTTTGGGCCGGCACTCTTGTGCACACGCTACGATGGCTGCTGAATCTACCCCGCACTCTTTCGACCATGAACTGGTTACTCTTCCGTCAGGCCGAACGCTAGAGATGTCATGGACGGTACCTTCAGGTCATGCGTATTCTCAAAATGACCCAGCTCGCCTCGCGGTTTGCTTACACCCATGGTCTTGGCTGGGCGGCAACATGGACGACCCGTGCGTCGGATAGTGGTGTACCCCCACGACGAACCACGACTAAATGCTAGCTATGCTCCGCACTGGCTCAACAGGGTGCTTGCGTTACTCGAAGAACCTCTCGTGAGCAAGCGGTATCATGTCGTGCGCTACAACTCCAGGGGTGTCGGAAGGTCTCGCGGACGATCCTCGTTTACTGGCGCGTCAGAGGCCGAAGACCTTGAAGAGGTCGTTGGATGGGCGATGAGGGTGTTGTCTCACGTTGATTCTGTTGTAGTCGTGGTCAGTCCTGTTTCCTTTCTTACGTGTACGTAACAGGCGCTCATACCGACCTTAGGGCTATTCTCATGGTTCGCTGATTGCCTCCCGTTTGCCCATCCTTCCGCCCCCCACACGCACCCACCACGTCCTTCTGTCCTATCCGCTCGGACCGCGCTCGTGGCTGACGCTATTCCGCGGCAAGGAGTACGACGCCGCGCTGGCTCGGCTCCTGCGCTCGCCAGGTGCGCACGTGTTGGTGGCCTACGGCGACCAAGATGAATTCACGAGTGACGCATCGTACGAGGGGTGGGTCAAGGAGCTGAGGAAGGTGGCAGGTGAGGGCGAGCATGTCCTCAAGGTTGTCAGGATACAAGGCGCGACGCACTTCTGGCGAGGCGAACGAGGCCGCGATATCGGCACCGCTCTTCAAGGATGGATTCCTTAAAATCCAGGCGGACCTTATGCGCCGTTTCAGGGAAGGCCCCGCGCCTATTTCAGGATTCAAGACGCTCGCGTTCAGCAATTGCATTCCCAGAGCCATGCTTTCCTACGAGATGTTCGGACCAGTCATCGGTTTATGCCTGTATCCTCACTCATTCATTGACCTCGTCTCCTTGGCCTCCTCAAACGTACATTGATGCTACCCCACTTCTGCGTAGGATTCCGTCGGGTTATGCGACGTGCGACGTGACGACCTGCTGAGGGCCTGCTCCGCTGCCCGACCGGAACGCATGTTAACGTTCAACCTTCGGGCATTCATGTTCCATGTGCTTATGCTCAACACAGCAATCAACTGGAAGCCCTCTCGCCAAAACTTCGGACAAGGCTCAATCGCAGATGATCATCCTAACGATGCTTCGACTTGACGTCATCCGGCCCGCTTTGCCTCCGCCCAGTGTTTGTATCTCCTTCCCAAAGGTTCCTGCCTCGGTACCGGTTCCTGCGGCAACCACTCCTGCTTTCCCCTATCACCTGATGAACCAGAACTGCTGGTCAGTGTCCGTAGTCGGCAGTTGTCGCGTTTCTCGTCCTACGGAACGGAAATCGCCAAACGGCCCGTCGGAGGACGTTCTGCACAAGACGTGATCGTGAATTGCCTCCGCGAACAGATGCTCATCAGGGGAACGCCTAGCGTTGCTCTCATTCCGCCCTTTCTCTATCACTCAAAGAGCATATCCCGGGTCCACCTGACCCGGCATCGGACTGATGATCTGCCCCGTTCACGCTGCATACTGTCCTTCATGCCTGTTTTTCCGTCAATGGGGGAACCACCTACCGACGCGTGCTACGTAGGAAGTCGGCGGACGTTATTGCATACCGTTCAGCGGCCTCCGATTAATGGGCTCAGGAAGTATAAAGTGCGCTGCCCGCCGTGCGATTGTCATTGTCGGTCGACCCATCATTCGCGCCTCTCAAGCCACTCATGCGTTTCTCCGTCGTCCTCTCGCTCGTCGGCGCCGCGCTCGCCACACCCGTGCTCGAGAAGCGCCTCGACACCTCGACGCATTGCGGGCAGTGGGACACGGTCACCGCGTCCCCGTACAGCCTGCTCCTTGACCAGTTGCGTGAAGCGTGGCTCGGTGATTCATGCAAGCTGACATTGTTTCTATCAGATGGGGCTTGAGCGACGCGACGTCCGGCTCTGACTGCGCGTCTATCACGTCGCTCAGCGGCACGACCATCGCTTGGACGACGACCTTTGACTGGGTCGGTGGTACCAGCGTCAAGAGTTTCACTGACATCGAGGTCGGTTGATCCGCGTCCGTAGGCGCGTTCTCTCCGCTGACACTGAACATCCGAACAGCTCACCTCGGGCGTCAACGTCCCGCTGAGCTCGATTACCAGCGCGCCCTCGACGTGGAAGTGGTCGATCAGCTCCTCAGGCACGGTCGTGGCGGACGTCGCTTACGACCTCTTCACGTCCGCAACATCAGGGGGATCGAACGCATACGAGATCATGATCTGGCTCGCCAACTACAACTCGGGCCCGATCTCGTACACATACAGCTCGTCCGGGTCGGCGGTCGCGATCAAGACGGGCGTGAGTCTCGCGGGCTACACCTGGAGTCTGTACTACGGCTCGAACGGGTCCAACTACGTGTATTCGTTCCTGCCGAGCAGCACGATCACGAGTTTCAGTGGTGATGTCAACTTGTTCCTCAAGGTATGTGTTGGTGAAAATGCGAGGAGAGGGGAGCATGCTCTGACCATACGATTGGCAGTATTTGACGAGCAACGGCTATATCTCTTCCTCGCAATACCTGACCACGGTATGCAATACCCATTCCACAGCATTATTTCGGATTTCTAACTTCAGCGATACTAGGCTCAAGCTGGCGTGGAGGCTACTTCGGGATCTGCGACGATCACGACTTCTGCGTACAGCCTAGTCATCAACTCGTAGTTTATAACCTTGGTCCTACCTCGCTGTTCGACATGTATACCTATGTATTCGACCCTTTGACACCTTCACGAGCGTCAAAACAAACCTAAGCGCCAGCACCGGAATATGTCGGCGACAATGTCTGATCGAGATTAGCGATCACCCTGACAACAAGGATACAGCCTTTTTCGACGGAATCATTGATCCGAGCAGGAGGTTGAGCGAACGTGGAACTCGGCGTCATTTCCGTTGAGACGCTTTGCTCAGACGACCAACACCGAGTTCTGTTCACGCATCCATCTCTTCGCGCCTGTGCTGGCATCGGCGAACTTCTCCCCTCTCTGACTTGAAGTACTTGCCCTACCAACCACCCACATGTACGTATCGCGTCTTCGATCATCGTACTGCATGTCTCACCACACGTTGGTTGGACGTGCAGGCCGCTCCCCGACGAACGACCGCGCCAGAGCGTCGCGAACCTCATCGGCAGGTTCGAACAGCAGACGAAGAAGGCGCCGGCCTCGACCCCGCCTGGCGCGCGCAGCCTCAGTGCCGCCTCCAACACGTCCGCCGGCGGCGACTCGGCCAAGATCGAGGCCAAGGAGCGCCGCGAATGGCCGCCCGTGAACATTTCCAAGCTTGCGGAGCGCGCCGTCGCCGCCGGCGCGTTTTCCCCGCCGCGCGAGGTGCCCACCAAGTCGCCCTCCCCACCCGCGGAAGCGGCGCCTGCCCCGCTGATCCCCGACGCGACGCGTCTGCCGACGCCGCCTCCCGAGGTGTCGCTTCCTCCCCCTGCCCCGGTGTCGGTCGTGATCCCGGAAATCAGGCCGGCGGAAGAGCCGACGCCCAAGCCCACCGCTGCAGCCGCCGCGCCTTCCCCGACGACGCCCAAGCCGAAGACGTCTTCTCCTGCTGCAGCGAAGAAGCCTGCCACGAGTTCCACCAGCACCCCCGCATCCAAGGCGAAGGCTACGCCCACCTCCACGCGCACCCCTGCGAAGGCGGCCGTCAAGTCTCCCCCCTCCGCGTACACCTCCCCGCGTCCACTCAAACCGCAGCACACCGGCGGATCGACCGCCACCACCGCGTCGTCGACGCGCACACCGGCACGCGCCACGGCCAAGTCGCCCGCGCCCACCCCCGCGCGGGCCAAGACACCCTCCCGCCCGAAGACGCCGTCCGCATCCACCGTCTCGCGCCCGAAGACGCCCTCGTCCGGCCTATACGCGCCCACCGCCGCATCCCTCGCCCGCGCGCGTAATTCCGGCCCACCCGTCCCGACGCCGGTCAAGCGCGCGAGCCTCAGCGGCGACGTCGCCGAGCGCTTGAGCAAGCCGACCGCGTCCTCCGTCGCGAAAGCCCGCGCGCCCGTCGCGACGTCCCCGCCCACGACCACCGCCAAGAAGGCCACGGCATCTACGAAATCGGCAACGCCGACGCCGACGAAGCCGGTGCCCAAGACGGGCGTGGCCAAGGGCCCTGCCGCGGCTGCGCAGCGCGGCCTCAAGAACCTGAAGATTGGATACGCGCCCGTGAAGTTCAAGCAGGAACGGGAGAAGAAGGAGAAGGAGGCGAAGGCGGCTGAGGCTCTGGGCGGAGCTGCTGTTGTGGGATCAGGTGCCGTGGCTGCTGCTGAAATTGCTCACGAGGAGGATGTCGAACATGCGGAGGAGCACGAGGAGTTGCATGAAGAGGTTCACGAAGGGGTTGAGGCTCATGAGGAGGCGGACGAGCAGTTTGAGGATGAGGTCCATAACGAAGAACATGCAGTCGAGGAGGATGCTCCGGTGGAACATCATAACGATTCTGTTACTGAACCGGAGCCGCAGGTTGAGGCGGCCGTGGAGGAGGCTGTAGCCGCAAGCGAACATGAGAGCGAACCGAACCCCGAATCCGTCGATCCCGCCTCCGCCCTGCATTACGCTCCCGACGCCGAGCCGTCGCCCACCGCCGAGGCGGAGCACAGCGCCTCTCCGGTTCCAGAGGAGGACGTGCACGCCGCTGTACATGAGGAGGAGGAAGACGCGGCTGTCGGCAAGAGCACCGGCGACGACCTTGAGGACATGGTAAACATGCTCCAGTCCGGCATCCCCAAAGCCCGCCCGGTCAGCGTCTGGAGCATCCCCGACGTGGTCGACGCCGAGATACCCGACGAAGAATGAAGAGAAAAAAGTTATGAATGACACGACATTTGCTCCGTTCTTCTCCAACACACATGTATGTTTATCGGCTTTCCTTCTCTCTTGTCGAATGCCCCCGGATTCCCAATGTATACAGGTACGCTACTCAGGCTCGCTCACATGCGAAGTTTACTGACTGCTAGTTCCGTCGTACACAGATTGCAAAACTTTGACGACTTGACCACGTTCTCTCCTTGCTTTCCTATGCTACAGTTCCCTTTGTCAGTGAATCCCTTTCTTGTGTATACATCTCGGACGATTGGGTACTACACACAGGGCTTCATGGTCCGGGGCACTCCGGTATCTTAGAAGTGGTTTGGCTATATACCCGTGCCTAGACATAATACGACGCGATTGCAATTGGTTCTTGACCGTGAGGAAAGATATGCCGGGCTCCTGTCGTGCATAATGATTCTCTCGATAGGCACTTACAGGTACGCGCGATTGGTCAGATCAAAGGTGTCACAACGATACGCAGTACACCAAAGGATACAGTTTTAGCACCGTCTACTACAGGAAACAAAGCAAAGTCGTACATTAAAGCATCATCATACAGTCGTCAAATCCCGAGTCCGTCATATCGTGAACGTCGCGTCGTAGAACAACAGAACCAAAATAACAAGTCCAACAATGCAAGGCCAATAAGGTGAAGGGCGCGACCACATTACACAGAATCGTATCTTCACCGCGTCAAGTTATCGGAAGAGTGATTTGGAGACGGGTTCGCAACGTAGAGGGGAGCCTTCGGGGCGAGACCGTAGAGCCCGCCGCCCCTGCTGGTTCGTTTCGGCGAGCGCACCTCGCGCTGCCGAGTACTGCGCTCTTCCGGCGGCGGCGGGCTCGTCGGTGCTTGCTCCAGCGACATCCGCCGCTCGTACGCACGCACACGTTCGGCGACGGCCGATGCGCGGCGCGGCGGGTTCGGCCGTTGTCCTGACGCAGTCGAGCTCGAGCTCGCCTCGGACTCGCCGCTGTGGCCGCCTAGGCTGCGCTCATCTGCGGTCATCTCGGCGGGGGAGTCGATCGTCGGAGCGCCGCGCTCCGTCCCGCTACCGCTGCCGTCGGCAGACTCGACGACGGAGAGCGCGAGCGTCGGGCGGGCGTCGCGGCGCCACGGCGTGCGCGCCGACTCGGCGCTGCTCGCCGTGCTCGGGGTCGTCACGTGCGATGAGCTGTCGCGCTTGACGACGTCCATCGTGCCGCCCATACGCTCGATCGCCTCCGAGTCGGCCGTGTGCGCCGTCTGCAGCGAGCTCGCCGACTTGCCGTGCTGCGGGTACGCGTATCCGTGGTGGTGATGGGGCTGATGCTGTTCGTTGGTGGAGGATGCGGCAGAGTCGCTGCGGTGGTGGGAGGATTGGGGCGAATGCTGGGAACCGGAGGACTCCTTGATGGGGATGAGGCGCGGGGGCGGGTTGGGATCGCGGAACTCGAGCGCGGGACGCGAGGAGCCCGACTCGGACGCGGCAGAGCCCGACCGGCGGCGCTCGAGGATCGACCCGGGTGCGAAGCGGCTCCACCAGCTGCCCGACCGGCGCATCCGCGCCGAGGGCGCGTTCGGGCTTGGGTTGGCGTCAAGGATAGACGTCGGCCTAACCTGCGGTGAACGCGAGCTCTCGTGCGACAGGCCGGATAGGAGCGGCGACTCGCGGGACGCGCGGTGAGCAAAGTCCAGCGTCGACGACGACGGATCGGATAGGCTTGCGTGTGCTTCGGAGAGCGCTGCAGAACGGGCGAACGCGCCGCTACCGGACGAGGTATCCACGGACGGCCGCTCCGACACGGGCGAGAGGACATCGACCGAAACGCCGCCGGGCATCATCCCGCCGGGCATCACCGCGCGTATCGCTGGTTTCTCCTCTTTCGGGAGCGCGCCGTACGGCTCGTCGAGATACTCTGTTAGATCCTCCTCGTCGTCGCGCTCGCCCGGGTCAGCGAACGGGTCGTTGTACGACCACGTCGAGCTCTGCGTCGCCTGCCTGCCCGCGCGCGGGCGCTGTGGCCGAGCGGCGCCGATCGGGAGCGGCATCTTCTCGCTCAGGCTGAGGCTCGGCGCATGCCCCCGCCGCGAACTGGCCGCCATGAGCGCCTCCTCGTCGCCGAACGGGTCGTACCCGCCGTAGAGCATGCCCGGATCTTTCTCCCGCCACGCGACCGACCGCGAGCTCCCGCTTCCCTGCCTCCGCGTGCTCGTCGCCACCGCCGTCCCTCCGGCGATCATCGCGCCGACAGATCGTAACGACGCCCAACTGCCTTGCATGATGTTGCCGAATGTCGGCCTCTGCGAGGGCACTCGCCGGCCGGAGGACGTCGTGCTCGAGCTGCCCTGACGCCGCACCCGCGCGCCCGACTCGTCGTAGTACCATCCGTCCGTGCCGTGATAGTAGTCGAACGAGCGTGCGTCCTCGTTCGCGAGCATATCTCGTCGCTCCCTTGCCTGTGTTGCGCCGATACCGGCGCCGAGGATCGAAGATAGGCCGAGAGCCGCAGCGACGCGCCCGAGGGTGTTGGTCGGTGGCCCTCCGCGTGCAAGGGAGCGTACTGCAGCAGCGCCGCCGTCCGCATGCGGTGATTCTTCGTCAAGGTCGCCGTCTTCGCTGCCGCCAAGGCGTGGAGCGCCGCCGCCGCCGCCGATAAGGTGGAACCGGTGCGCGCGGACACGGCGGCGTCGGAGGCAGAAGCCGACGGTGGCCAAACCCGCGAGGAGACCTAGCACGCCAAACGCGAGGCCGAGACCGAGCGCGAGCTTATGAGAGGCGGATGAGGTACCAGAATCGTCACCACCTCCGCCGTCGCCGCCATCTGATCCGGAGGTGGCTGATGGATCGCCGGACTGGGTAGCCGTATGATGTCCTCCTTTCTTGCTCGTCGTCTTCGTCGCGGTCTCGGACGCCGTCCCGGACCCGGATCCCGTTCTTGTGACGCCGGTAATCGTGGATCCGTAAGGGCCGGTGGTAGTGCCGGTGGGTGTGCCGCCGGTGACGATGGTCTGCGAGTAAGGGAGAGTGGTCATGTAGCTTGGCGTTGCGGGCGGTTGCCAGGAGGAAGTCATAGAGCCGCTGCCGACGTCGTAGACTTGCAGGTCGGCGGGAGCGGGGCCGGAGGTGCCAAATCCTGTGAGCGTCGTCAGCCGCGCTTCACATGGGCGAAAAAATATCAGACCATACCGAAGCCGAAGACGACGCTCGATCCGTAGTACGCCGCGAAATGATCGATGCGTTGGCCGACCGAGGATAGCGCGTCGACCTGGGTCCAAACCGCCGGCGACTTGCTGACATCGAGCATCCAACCGTCGCTCATGAGGTTCTGCAGCGTGCCGTCACCGCCGCCTTGTATGAGGATCTTACCGCTTCCGATGTAGGCGTACGCAAAGTTACGCCTCGGGTTGGGCAGCACGGACGTGTCGACGGACAACGTTGACCAGGACAGCGTCGACTGGGTGGTATCGAGGACCCAGATGTCAGACAGGGGAAAGAGGGAAGAGCCGCTGTAGCCTCCGAAGATAAGTATCCTGCCGTCCTCGAGAACGACGGATGCGTGGCCGTATATGGTGCCAGGGGAGTTGTCCGTAGGCAGCTGATGGAAGTCGGGTCCGGAGGGATCGTAGAGCCAGTCATCGCTCAGAGCGCTCGCGCCGTCCACTTTTAATCCACCAAAGATGTACACCACGCCGTCGACGGTAGCCGTGCGATGGTATATTCGCCGGAGCGGCTCTCCGGCCCACGACGCGTCTTCGCACATGAACGACGGCTGGAGTCGGTTCATGATTTCGGCGAGCGCGGCGCTGTCGGACGACTCAGGCAGGGACTGGGAGTTGGGCCCGGGGTCGCCGCCGAAGAGGAGGAGCTCGGTGGTGAGGAAGGCGGAGAGGGAGTGGAAGGCGACGGCGGGGCCCTGGGTGGTGCACGAGTTGGAGGATCCGCCGACGTAGTCCCACGGCGGATCGCTCGGGTCGAACGGGGACGATAATGACAGGAACAGTAGGTCGTTGTTGTTCTGCGCGGAGTGGTATCCGTACTTCCCGATCCGGATGCTCAGCTCGGGTGCGGGTTGTGCGAGAGATAGCTGGGATACGCACTGCGTTGTACTCGTCCGTCTTGCCGCCGTGTATGAACAGCACATCGTTCACCAGCGCCGCGGCCTGTCCCCACCTGGCGCGCATGTGTCAGGATTCATAAGACTGCCGAAACATGTGTCGGAAGTTCAGGGCGGCGTACCTCGGGAGAGGCGAGTAGGCCGAGACAAGATCGAGCACGAGGCCAAGCAGGGAGAGGACCAGAAGAGGGTTGCAGCCAGGCATGGTGGCGGCAAGGGATCGTTTAGGAATCGTTCATGTAACAACGGGTCGTGAAATGTCGTGAAGCGGAGGAGTACAGTAACTAACTTGCAGCAGTGGGGCCTGACGCAACCACTCGCCTGCCCAGATCAGGAAACCAAACCACACGATGCACCGCCACTCGGCTCCGGCACGTCAACTCAGTTGCCGGTCCGAGGCCGTTCGCCGAGGGTTAGGGCGAAGCACGTATATGACTGCATGATCATAGGACGAAGTACTTAGGAGCATTACAAAGTGCATAGTATGACGAATCCAGGCAGTTTCATGATATCGTGGGGGTCGAGCACGGAAAACAGCAGCGACAGGAGAGGAAAGCGCTCAATCCAGCGAACGCCGCTGCAGCAGCTTCGTGATCTCCCGATGCTCCTGCAGCCAGTCCGGGAACTTCACAGGCGGCCACCCCTGCTCTCTCATCTCGAGCAGATAGTTGGCGAGTACGATCAGCGTTCCGTAGCGGTACCTGGTTCATCACCGTCAGCTAGTCACTCCCGTGTGAGAAGGCCTCCGACACGCACAAGTAGTTCACACCGAGGTCGAACAGCTTGCGCTGCTTCGGGCTCCCCTTCGGCGCGGCTTCCACCTTGAGCTTGTAACTGCAGTCACGCGCATCAACCGACGCCCTCATATTCAATCAAACCAGCGGTCACTCACTCGTAGACCGCCTTGCGTAGGTTCTGCACGTCCTGCATCAGGTCGATCGCCCGGTCCGTGAGCCGTTTCGCGACCTTGCCATGCGACAGCACGCCGACGAGCTGCAGGATAATCTTGTACTCTCCTGATCACGGACGATCCGTCAGCACTAATCTCCCACTCTGATAGCGGGAAAGGTGTACCTTGGAGGTACGCCTGTTCCTCCGAGAAGCCATCCACCGCGTCGTACGCTTCCCCGCCCTCCGCCTCAGGAAGCGGTGATTGGCCTGAGTCCAACCTCTGTTGCTCCCAGCGCGCCGTGCTCGCGATCAGGCACGCTACGACCATCCCGGACGTCGTGCGTCCGCGTCCCATCTGGCAGTTGAATATGAAGTCGCCTGCCTTATCCAGTCCAGCGCGCACGCGGTCCACCAGGAGCGACAGCGCGTCGGGTAGGGGCGCCTGCTCGTCCGTGATCGCCACCCGGCCGTAATCGACCTGTTTCCAGATCAGTGGAGGGAGCTGCAATAGAGGACGCAACACCAGACCTTGTACCCCTCCGCCGAGACGAGGTTGAACACGTCCCGCGGCGTCATGATGTCCGCCTCGGACACGTTCTCCCAGATTGGCACGATCGCGAAAACGTTCGGCCGCTCCTCCACCTCGTCGTGCAGTAGGATCCGGCCACTGCCCGCCTTCACCTCTCGCAGTACGTCCCGCTTCAGGCTCTCTTCCATCGACTCCACCATCGCCGTCGTTACACCCGTCGCTCTGGATGAACTCCGGTCAGAACTCGGTCGTTCTTTTAGATAACTTAGCGGGCTTACTCGACGTTTTCGAGCGGCTTTTCTATTAGGCGCAGGACATGCGGTCGTCCCGCGACGTAGATCACAGGTTCCTCTCGAAGAGACGTCCAAATAACGTGGTTCCGACCTTGCGGGCCCGCGTCCACGCGAGCCAACGCGGCCTTCAACCTACAACACTGATTGAGCGACGTATTCTGCTGCGCGGAGACAATACGTTTACCCCTGAACGGTCGGCATACCGGTGCCGCAGACCATCTTCGCCTCGTCCGAAAAGCTGGGCACAAAGTCTGCCCGGTCAGACGGTGATGACGAGCCGGACGTCGACGACGACGCGAGCTTGAGTATCAACGGTATACGCCGGAAGTTGGGCGAGCCCTCGATGCGTCTATAATGACCGTGAGCCCTGCCCATCGTCTATGTTTGACAGTAAATAGACGGACTCGGGTAACGACATCTTTTGCAGGTTGGAGAAGAAGTCGCTCTTGAGAATCGTCGACGCAGACAGGATCACTCCCGACCGGTTGGCTACGACCTGCTTCACTTCGTCCGGGAATGCTTCCCCCTCGGCGAGCTCGACGCGCTCGAGCGGCTGAAGGGCTTGCAAGCCGTCCGAAAGCAGCTCCTTCTCGAATGTCTTGAGGACTGAGATTAAGCACATGATTTAGTCTGCGAAACACGTGGAAACGTGCGCTGGCGTGCTGACCTGGCCTGTGGTTCACAAAGGACTCGAAGGACTCAAAACTCTCCCTCGTGTCAGGCTCGATGGATTGAAGATAGGCCTGGAAAACGATCAGTGCGAAGTATCTCCGCAGGTTCTGCAGGCCTGACGAGGTGAAAAAGAGCATATCAGACTCCGAATTTGCTTTTTGGCAGCATGGCGCACCTTTCTGTGCCCAGGCACGCTTCTGCCCCTCGTCGGCCGTCTGTTCCGCGCAAATGCGCGCTTCTTCTATCGCGTCGCGCAAGTTCTCCACCTCGCCGCACTGGTCGATGGCGGCGTCGACGGCGTTCTTGACCGCTCGTCCACGGCGTATCACCCGGAGGAGATCTGATATGAACTGGTTAGAGCAATCGTCTTGAAACCGCGAACCGCAGTGCTTACTGTTGATGACCTGGTACGAGTGTCGAGGTACTACCTGCAAATCCGCAAGGTCATCCATAGCATTCATGGACATGATTGACATCGAGCGGTGCAATCTCGGGTCCGAAGGTCGACTAGCGTCTAGCCATTGCTGTATTAGCAGCAATATGACCTGAAGTGCGCGGTCCGTGAGCCATGACTCCATTCAGGGACGAAACATGTCACCCACCGATGTCAATGTGCTCCTTCCACGTCCAAGCTGGCAGTTCACAACGATGGGGGTATCGGCCGTCTCCGTCCGGATCGCGACTTCAATCAGATCGCTGAGGTCCGAGAAGTCCGGGGGCCTCTCTGCTGTCATTGGTATGCGGCTGGCGGGGACGTGAAGATCAGTCTAGTACTTCGCGAGAGGAGAAGCATTGACTTACACATGCACCAGCTCTATGTCGTCTTCCTTGGCCGATCTGGCTGCCATCACTTCTTTGAGCACAACTACGCCGTCCGGCGAGACATCTTCCCATACAGGAATCACTGCGCCATCTGCGGCTTCAGTGTGAAGCAAAAGCCTGAGGCGTGCATCAGTCTGCATGTTAGGATGACTCAAAAAAGGGGCTCACCTTCCGCCAAATGTCGACAGCTCTCCCAGCACGTCTTCCCGGAGACGGTCTTCTAGCACCTCTAAACGAGACGCGGATATCCCACTGTAGTCTACACATGAATCTTTTTAGCATTTGAAGCGGCGCATCGTAGACCAACACACACCCTTCAGGTTCCGAAGCGCGAATCGCTCCCGTCTCAAGCAGTACGGAGCGCCGTTCACGTACACGATGGGCTCCTCTCTGAGAGTGATCCAGACGATTTTCCACGTCTTCGGGTGGTCGGCGCGTATGCGGTCGATGACCTCGTCCACAGCATCGACAGTCGGCTGTCCAAGGGCGTAGATCCGCGTCCCGGGAATGTTGCGGAAGTTGATCGCCCCACGAACCCCACGTTCCACCCGTTGGGATTCGCCCAACCAAAGGTCGGATTTGAGCAGAGTCCTACGGTGAGAATTCATCAGTCACTCTTATTTGGAGCGCTTCAAATGTGACTCGCCCTTCGCGGAGGATGATGCCGCTGCGATTCTGCGGAACAGTGGCATGAATAACGCGAATCCTATATGACAATAGTTGAGGATCGCGCACCCTAAGGATATGTTCCGAATATTCGTCTCCGAGGATCCGACCTCCGGAAATCTCTACGTCGTTGCTCTGCCCAGGAGCAATGGCGCGGCTCTCCGAACCCGTTCTTGATAACGCAGACAGATCGTTCACGGGAGCGAAGATGTTTAACCTCGATCCATAGACTTTGCGCAAAAAAGTGACCTGGTTCCAAATTTCGGTGCGCGCCTAAAAGGAAACTTCAACTTCCCGCAGAAGGGGGCTGTACTTGCGATAGCACACCTTGAGCCATGACGAGAACGATGTGCCGAAATCCAACTGCTCATCGATGTAGTTTGCGAACGCGATCAAGAAGAAGCTGAGAACCCGCGGTTAATTTTTTCTCATGCAGAATCACGGACGAAAAATACGAACTATTTCTCCAGCGATCTTACAGCTCGGTTCAGAATGTCTTCACGCTTTGCGTCATCCAGCTCATCCATAGAGGTTGTCAAGGAATACTGTATTCTCTGCGAGAAGATCGCCTCTCGGAGGTTCGTGACATGGTCGCCTGCCAACATACCGTGTTATCAGCTTTCATCAGAGACATATGATCCGCTATTGTCCTTACACGAGTCGATTACGCGATCGACGAGCTTCTTCGCCTTTAATCCATGGTCTAGTACACCCAAAAGACTCAGGATGATACCATAATTACCCATGTGAGCCCGCCGCAGGTTATCCAGGAGCAGAGGCTGAGTAAGCAGTAGTTCAATCGCAGATGCTGACTGTGATTTGTCGTCGGCAAGGACTGAATACAAAGTCGGGTCGCTGATCAGCTTTTCCTACGAGGTAAGTCAATGTTCTCACTTTGTTGCAAAACATAGGTCAAGCGCAGGAGGGCCCGATTACTGTCCTGTTGCGCGTTTGCCTGTTCGACGATTTGGGCAATCCGGGCCTCTGGCTACGAACTGACGTCAGGATGCGCAATTGAATGAGGTTTGCAAAACGATGGCATTACCGGGCTCGGCTGGAGACACACACAAGTCAATGAGGCACCTTTTGAATCGCTGCTGAAATGCTCACAGTTGCGATCCCAGAGTCGGTCCCAGATTTCGCGTTGGGATCAATATACGGGTCTGGCAGCCCCCGTTGTATCACTGCGAAGGGACGATTAACACACACCAAACCTACGTCCAGCAGCGCCGCAGCTCACATTGTCGCCTCCTCGTGATGATTGCAGCACACATTGCAAACGTGGTCCGGACAGCACCCATACCGCAGGAGAATACGAGTGCTGACCGCAGTGGGTCTGTGTTTGAGATGACGCGCACATACGCGTCGAGGTAATTGTCCTGTGATGGTGATGGATACGGTCAGGACGTGAATGCGTATGAACGTTCCTGACGTACCTCTATCGGGCGATCTGGTGATATCGGAATTCTTGGAAGACCCTTTTAGCTGAGGTATCACGAATAAATCACGATATCATACCGATGATACTACAAGGAAGAAACGTCAGACGAGCGCAAGCGTGCGACATGCAAACTCACCTCGAGGTTCCATCCTTCATCCCGCATATTCTCCCACAACTCCCGCGATGTCTTCACGTTCGTCGCGTCGACATGTGTCCAGGTTGGGATGATGGCGCCTTCTCCGTCTCCGGAACCTGTCGCACTCGTCAACATATAATTACTAGTATGCACTTCCGGCTTACATACCAACTTCGTTATGTGTCAATATTAGCCCTCCATACCTGTTCAGAGATGGGAACGTTGAGCCAGTACAACACACAGCTACCGTGACCGTTTACTTTGTGGATTCCAACAGAATGTCATGTCTGAGGCGTTGCTCGATATCTTCCAGGTTCTCGGCACGATCGGAGAGCTTTAAGGTTCGACGAGGCTCTGATGCATCACGGAGAACAAAAGGCCGCCCTGATATATATACTTTGGATGCTCAATATGAGATGATTGCTCATAGTGTGATAGCACGATACATACCGATCGGCTCCTCTCGAGTCGAAAACCAGACTACGTGAGTAGGGTTGACTGTGTTCGGTCGCGCACGCAAAATACTCAAGATAGCGCGGAGCCCCTGCGTTCTAGGCTGTGCAACACCGAAAACATTGAGGTCCGCCTGGCGTGGAGCACGGAAGTTGGGTGCGCCATGAACGTTGATATCGAGATCCAAAGCACGGCCTATCAATCGATCATCGTATAGGCGGCACTCGCATCCATTCTCATAACATACCAGAAGGGTAATGGTCCGTCTTCAATATGAACCCTCTCGAGAGCACGCTCCCAGTTCGCGTCTTCACCACACTTGGAAGTCCCTTGTGCAGCGTGGGTAGCAAATCCAACGGCGCAGCCTCTTCCTCCCCTCCATTCAACCCCGAAAACCTCTTGCTGCCATTGGCATGGTTCCCTGACGAAACGTACGACTCGCTTAAGACGCGTTTGTTCAGCACGCTCGAGGGCGTTATCGGCCGCGGGATGGATGCGCCCGGCTGCGTCTGACTTTTGTTCAGGCTCGATAACGGCATTGCTGCTGGCCTTCCTGACGCCATCGGGGGCGAAACGCTGAGCGAGGGTATGGGCGTCGGGGAAGAATGCAAATCGGAGGTAGGGTTCGGCCGGGTCGGTCGCCTCGAGGTGGACTCGAGGTGGGACTGCATCGTGCCGTTCGCGGTTTTATGACTTACGCCCGGAGACAAGTCGGTGTTTGGGTCAGCACTGATATGGGTCCGCGATTGGAGGCACTCGTCAGAGAAGGCGAACGATATCGTTGTTGACCATCACCGCGACATGCGTCAATAGCCATACACGAATGGAAGGCCCGATCCCGATAAAGCCGGATACTCAATGCAGTCATGTGATGGCGTTCCAGAGGCTTGCACTGTTTCTAGTCGCGTTCGTACTCTTCATATGTATGAGGATTGACGAGGTCGGCGTTTTGCTGCTGGAAATCCGGAACATAGTGGAATTGTTCGTAGTATGCGCGGTAAACAAAACATATAAACGGGTATATGGTCCATGGACAACACAGAGAGCGCTAAGACAGACTCGAAAATATGTATCATACCAAAGCCATGCAAGTAGTGTAGTAACCAAGAAAGTCGCAATAAATGGTGCAGTCCATGAAAATATTGTCCTAGTGTCACGATCCATATCAAGGTCCGTCGCCAGCGTCCTATCCTGATCTCGATATCTAACCTCGAAGGTGAAGAAATGCATGGCAAGAAGGTAGAAGCGTCGGCGGCAAACGCGAATGGAACAGGTAAACGGACCATCAGGACGGCGAGAACGAGCGCGCTCATGGGGAGGTGCAGTCGGGGATGGTGAGCCCGTCCTTGAGGGTCTTGTTCGCGTTGAAAAGACCCCACCAGCCCTCGACGCCGCCGAACTCCTCGTCCTTCCACTTCTCGTCGAAGTACTCGAAAAAGAAGTAGCCTGTGCCGTTGTTGTTGGCCTGGCAGACGAAGGTGTCGAGGAAAGTTTGAAGGTTCGGGATGGATGCCGCAGATGCGCCGTTCGTCTCCGTCGACGCGTTGGAGGACGCCTGTCATTCCCGGGAGGTCAGCATGTCAAAGTGCGTTGGTGATGTCGTTTTTCACTTACGGTGGGCCAGCCAGTCTCGGCAATGTACATCTGCGGCTTGTTGCTCAGCGCAGCAGCCGGTTCGACGTTCTGCTCCTGGAAGAACTCGTACGTCCACCCCGCGGCGTCGTCAATCGTAGTGTCTGCGAACCAGGGATGCACGTTGGACATCTTGATGAGATGTACATCAGTACATGAGCCTCAGGTGGCGATGGAGCAATAGTAATACGTACGCCGTAGTCAACGTCCTCCAATACAAGGGTGTTGAAGTAGCTGCCAGCCTCAGCGTTACCTACTTGAAGGCTGACGCCCATATCACTGAGCATCTGTTTCGTGTCCTCGATGTCTTGCTTCAAGATAGCCGCGCCGGTGTTGCCAACATCGCTATTCGGGTCCGTCGCACCGTTCGCATCAAGGTAGCTGCAGAAAGATAACATTTCATTCGAGCGTCCGATGGCTTGAAGGGAGGGCGACTCACTTGAGCATGAACTCGTTGCCAACGGTGACACCACCAATGTGATCGGTGCCGTAGGTCTGGATGGCCTCCTTGATGACGTCGCGCTGGCGTTTGTAGGCGGCATGGTTGTCCGTCGGGACGTTGTAGTTGCCGAGCCAGACCGTGAGGTTAGTCTTGGTCTGCTTGATCGCCTCGAGGACGAGCGCAGACTGGTTGCAGTCAGCACCGTACAAACGGATCCGCTAAATGATGCCGCGTATATCAGCTTCGTGCACGCGAGTGGATGCCAGGAAACCAACGCACTGTGGTGAGTTGAGAAATGAGCTGGATATCGGTGATAACAGAAGCTGTGGGTGATGGATGATGGATGATCAGAGACGTTATGACCTCGAAGTTCAAAACATATACTCACAAAGGTTGTTCCCGCAGTCGGGTAGCTGCGAGCCCTCTGGCGTGTATGCGAGACCATAGAACGCCTGCTTCAGCCGCGAGTCCTTGGTGAATGTGCTCGGGTCGTTCGGGTCGGTCTGGTTTACTACGGACGAGCCGCTCGAAGCACTCGAAGAAGATTTCGCATGGTTCTTGGCGACAGTCACGCCGACGCCGACACCGATGGCGACAACACCGACGACAGCAAGAACGAGTCCGATGGCCTGCGTATGGCGAGATCAGCTCCGGATGCAGTAGCGAAACAAAGCGAGCGTGGAAATGCACTGTGTATATGCGCTGGAACTCGGCATCCACCGCCTTCATACAGTGTGCATCGCTCGGACGGTAGGTGCGTACGGTCGTATACTCACAATCCATTTCCTCTTTTTGCTCCCTGACGGCATCGGCTTCTCCGTCCACCGGCCGTTGTAAGCCCCGCTGTCGATGTTCGCGTATATCCTGTTCGTCGAGTCCATGTTTGTGTAGTTTAAAGGAGCGGCAGTAGTTTGAGTCGGTATGTACGCGCCCCTTGTATTCGCGTCGGGGGTCTTGAGGACGGTCGAGCTTGAGTCGTTAAGTGGGAGGTGTTGGGTAGAAGCGAAGGGCGAGGAGTCGTACGCGCCGCCCGAAAAACGATGTGGAGGCTGCGCAGCAGGCCGACGGAGGTATAATTATTATAGGTGATGTGGTGTGAACAGGCGGAGAGGTTGGATGAATTGAAGGACGGCGACAGGGCGCCGGACAGGTGTAACAAGCGAAAGGACCGTCAGCCTCGGTCGCTAAATTGGTATCGGGGTGGCAACGCACCGGGATCCCTCCAGCATCGTCGTAATAATCTTGCAGATCTGCGTGGCTGCTTGCGGCGGGGTGGTCCCAGTATGGCTGGAACTCTTGCATAGGATGTTGATTGGACATGGCTATTACTCGTAAAACAAGGCGTAGAGATGGAGTCGTGAATGCAAGAGGGCTTGATGTATGCGCAGTCGGCACGGAGCCCGCACACGGTCTCATTCGTTCATCGCCACAGCCACCCAGGGCGCGAACCCTGGTTGATGTCGACGACGGCTTCCGGACGGCATTTGTCCCCTCATTTATGACATAACCATGACTGCGTACTGACACCGAGATAAATATTCATGCCTGCTCAACTGTTAACTTCCTCTTCATGGTTTGATTAAGGGATTTCTATGTAAGAATACAGACGGGGTGATCAGCCCTCTGGACTACAAAAACAAGGCATCAAAAAAGGGGCATGTGAGAAGATCGTCAGATCGCGTATATCGTCAGAAAGCGAAAGTGCTCGTCGTGCAAAAGAGTCCGCGGAGAAAATTAGAGTATATACGAAGCCCGAAAGCCCACCGAGAAACGCGCAAAAATAGAGGGAAGAGAGAAGAAGTCGAAACGGCGAACGCGACAGCGACGACCCTCGCATGGAACATACGAAACGAAAGACACAGCGATAGTATGAACCGTCCTAGGTGGAACAAAAACAGGTGACGACAATTAAACAGACGAATGTGACCTTGGGCTGTAGATTGGGTAGCATCGAACCGGTGGCGAAAAAGGAGACTATACCGGGGGGGATCGCCCATGGTGCTCTATGAGTTTGTCTGAATGTCCGGCTGAGTGAGAGGAGGCGGAGGAGAAAGCGGGTGGGCGTTCGCATGCGAGTTGGACGAAGAGTGATCGCCACCGCCATGGTCGCTTGACGTCACATACGAGTGCGTCGGTGTCGGTTTTGGCCTGGGCTTCTTCAGCACCTTGCGATGCGGAGGCCGCTCGGAGCCCTCGGAGCCCTCGTGGCCCATCGCCGTCCTTGACGGCAACGTCCGACTTCTCGTGACGGTCACAGCCTGCATGCCCAGGCCAGAATCCGACTCGTCCACAGGCGATAGCGAGGGGTCGCCGTGCACGCTCATCCGCGCTCGCGCTGCAGCAGCAGAGTCTGCAACGGGAATAAAGATTAGCGAGCGATGGTGTACGGTTGGGCAGACGAGCGAACCTGTGCTTCTCGCTGTCACCGTTCGCCGCCTGCCGATGGATTTGCCCGTTGGCCATTCCTCGCCCGTTTCCCCGGGCTGCAAGCCCATGTCCGACACCCACTCGCTTGTGCCCGTCGGGCTCGCCGAACGAGGTTCTGCAGGTAATATGCTTTCTGGCTCAGCCCCGGTCATAGGCTCGGCTCGCATCGCCACAGAATCATTCCTTGGTGGTGGCGGAACGTCCTAGTGAAAAGCTGTCCATCATGGGCGACTATCGAAGTGCACTGAACACGCACCACCATAAACCAATCCTGATGTTCGATGAGGAACTCGAGCACCCTCTGGCTGAGTTGATGCTCGTGGGGCGAGAGCTCGTGATCCGGATGTGATAGTATCCCGGGTCGGAAAATGACGGCCAAATCTGCGTAGCAATAGCCGACATTAGGGTATGTTGCCGTACAAGAAGGGCCAAAAGCTCGTCAAGGAACCCAGAATGCACGTCCCGAGATCAAACCACACTCACTACTTGCATCCATCCGGTTCTTGTCGCTCTTCCGCGCGAACACGCTCAGAAGATCCAACACGTAGAGTAAGAGATACTGATTCGCTCTCGGCATGGCGTGTATCAGTCGCTTGTATGTGTTGATAACCTCTTCTTGGGATGAGCCCTTCGCTGTGATACACTGATCAGTTCGAACGACGAGACGAGTGACGTAGCAAGTACGAACATAATCCTTCCCGAAACTAGAGAACAGCGGTGCCCATCAGTATAATGAATGTGAACAAAGAATTCGGAAGCGAACTCGCATCGTGATACATATTATAGGGTATTACAGGTTCCTGCGATTCTATGAGTTCATGTGCGGAGCGGAGTGATATACGTCGCTAGGCGTACCGGCATCTGGGTAAGGTACCGCCGGAAAACACTGGCTACATCGTGCGTCGTAAAGTGCTCGTTCTTCCAGTCCAAGGACTTTCCGTACTATAGCGGGCGGTCGGTATCCGTAGCGCGGAAGAGCCGCATGACGACAGGTTTAGTGAGGTGAACGCACTCGTGGTGGTGTTTCAAAGATCGCCTGGAGGTCTCGCATGCGCTTGTTCGACCCGCTGACTCGGAAGGTGCCGTCGACTTCGGTTGCTGTGTATTCAGGGCAGTGTCAGTCACGCCACGTCTTCGGGAAAGGATTTGGATCCGAAACACACCATTCTCCTTCAGGTAAAGACCACTTTGCGGGTCGATTTCGTGAGCACATTCTTCTCACGAGACCGACAGGAACGAGCGTACCATTTTGCGACCACCACAGGCACGTACCCCCACACATACAATTCGCCATTAGCGTTCGCCGTCGAGATCTGCACGCTCGCAAACTTGAGGCTTTCTCGCAGCGGCTTCCCAAAGACAGTGTGCTCTTCTAACGAGGGGGAAACGATCAACATCGGATGTTAATACCGCTCAAGCGCCGAACCCACCCTCGGGATGGGCATAGTTCCCGTGCGCCTCCGCCTCCTTCCTCGCGCGCTGGGCGAACGTGAAGTGGTTCCACCACGCCTTGAGGCTCGCCTTCGTGGGCGGGTTCGGGTCGGCGGCGTTCATCTGCTGAAAGGTGCGCACGCGTGGGCCCTTCCCTTGCGGAATGGGAGGTGCAGGTGCGTCGGCTCCGGCCACGTCCTCGGGGTGCTCAGCGCGCTGCGGGCCTCTCGGCTTGAATATCCTAAAGGCCCTGCGTTTCCGGCGGGGAGAGGCCAGTATAAGCTCGTGCGGGGAAGAGGGAGCAAAGCGTTGTTGCGCGGGCGCGGCGGACACGATCGCTCCGTGCCCGGCGTGGTGCGGCGTTGGGTTGTGCGTGCGTTGCTTGCGCGTACGGGCGAGATTGACGATAGCGGAAAGTCTGGACGGGGAGGGCGTGGAGCTTATGATGCTGATGCTGTCACTCACCCCGCTCACCGAGCCCGTCACAACGCGCGCGGCTGTGGCGGTGCATCTCACCCCGAAAGGCAATGGGCTCTCCCCTCCGCTTGGCACATCCGTTCATCCCTCCCAGATAGACGGTGCCCTTCGATGAACACGACGTTGTCTAGACTCGCCCTCGATATCGACCGATCGAGCAAAGCACTACATATCGAACGCTGCAGAGTACAGCACCGAGCGTTACAGTCACCCTCGTCCTTGTTCTCCAACCGGACGCGTTCTGAACCTAGAATTTCCGGAAGCCGCGTTCATCAGCTCGCCTCGCTCTTTTGTGGCGGGAGGACCAATCGCCTTCGTCTACACTGGAAAATCCTCGCAGATGTCGTCATCTCAGGAAGGCAAATATCCCAGCTTCGGGCATGTTGCGCACACGCAACGCATCAAATAAATTCCGCGCGTCCTGGCTGGGGCGGCCTCCATGATGCCATCGGCTTGCAACTCGACTTCTACGCTCTACTACTCGGTCAATGACGATCATACTCGACGCCTGAGGGGTCTACCTATTGAAACGCGCGACCTTGGCGCAACCCGTGACGCTATCCGCAAGCTACGGACATGTCCCAGGAGACGGGTTCTCTGATTCCCATTGCACTTCCGCCGCTTCTGCTTCATTCATCCGGTGGGTAACCCTACGATCCGCGCATGATACATGAGGAGAATTGGCCAACGTTCTGCCACGGGAACCATACCTGCAGATCAACGCACGTCAAACACGCGGATGACTTTCGACGACCAGCGCTAAACGCTTTCAATCTCCCGCGGAAAGCGCAACATGGTCCAGCAATTGGAGTTCATTTTTCGGAGACGTTAATTCCAGTACTACACATACTTCGTCGAAATTACAGTCAAATGACTTCAGTACACTTACATACCCGATACGTGGCGACTAACGATGTTTGACAAATAGCAGCGACCTGGACCGGGGCACGCGAGCCATCGCTCGTCGAGCTCATACCCACTATGGTGACAAGAATACAACGACATTATGGTTCTAGTTTCACTTCCTCGTATCCATCGACCAAGGTCGTTTCGGAGGCCTTCTGTTTACCAAGGCGTTGGATCCGGTTCCTCTTGCGGCAGCGACAGCAGCAGACGATCTGGACCCAGGTCAACTCTTTAAGCCAAGTCCCTACGCCTTTGAGCAGCGTAATAGACGTCAGCGCTGGCTGGACGACGATGATAATGGCCAAGATCTGAACATAAACGGTCGGTCCGTGTATGACGCTTTGAGCTATGGCAACGCACCTGGCCAAAATTCACGTTCCATGTGTCGTTATCGTGGGTTCCCATGAGCCCAAGTTCAACCTAGAGCCAGACGGAATGAACGCATGTTCGATCAGGTATCCAATGCACCCACGCAGAAGATCCAGTAGAGCAAAGGAAGGACGATGACGGTCATGAAGTGGATGAAAGGGTATTGACGGTTAACAGGTCCCCTGAAACGAGGAGCTCAAGTCAGCATTCAGGAATCGAGACAGTTCAGAAGTAGGGGGGATTCCACCCACCAGACCCTCCAAAATTTCCACGAGAACCCTGACTTCCATATTTCCTTCCTTTGGCGGAATATCGCTACTATCCAAGCGAGGATGGTGCCCAGGAGCGGCAGTATGAGAATGAATCCGACTCCAGGAGATATCTCGATTGCCGCGATTATGAGCGCCCCCGCCGCGGCATAGAACAAAGAAACCAAGATGTCCCACACGGTCCGAGTGCAAGTTGGCTGCGAAAAGTGGCGAGGGTTGGAAGAATAAATGAAGATGACCATGGCTAGCCATAATACCAGAGAGAGAAGTACGATGAACAACGCGACCATATGCCGAGGGCGCCACCTGGAGCGGCCAGGTTCTCCGTCACCTGGCCCGAGAGTGTTGCGCAGACGATGCGTCTTTGATCCACCGAGCGCCCAGAAGGAGTATACCCAAAGGTAGAGAGTAACAGGAGATCCGATCAAGATGCTAATGAGGTCATTAATGGCGATGCTACACAGGAGACGAGAATCATGCCTGGCAATCACGGAATGAAACTTGGTTAACTGATTTTGGTATAAGGTCAAGCTTGTGGCGAAAAGCTATTAAGACGACTTCAATTGGTGCGAGATAAACCGCATTGCAACAACCCACGAGAGAGTAAATCGTCAACAACTATGAAATACTTGGTGAGCCAACGCCTGATTAACGGATCGCGCACGATCGTACCTGAGCTTGGAAGGCGTCTTCGATTTTTTCGGGCTTGTAGAATATATGCAAGGCTATCCTCATGTCAATCAACGAACCACCTCGTTTGCAAGGGTCTCACAAAGGAAGAAGTTGGTGAGATACGCTGCACGGTCAGGTAAAGTCAGCACCCCGTATGCTGAGCAAACGAGACTTCTGGATACCTCCGAATCGCGTTAGACGACCTATGTGCACATTTCCTGAGAATTAATTTCATGCGTGTGACTCGATACCACACACCCGCAACATCAGACTGGGGACAGTAGCCAAAAGGGCAGTCGTCATCGGATCTATCAGAGCCCGAAACTCGCATCAGACAATAGACAACTGAGAGCATGGCGAAGGGATTGGCCCGCTTACGGTGGAGCCAAGCAGTACGCGTTGATGAACGAGATCGTGTCGGTGATGTTCAAGAAGGAGACCATGCCATTTGTAATATTGCACGCGGAGTAGTCATTCATAGAAGTATCATCGGAAAATGTTTGGTTGTAATAGCATGTAGTGTCGCTGAAGAAGTTTTGCCAATTGTAAGGTTCAGCCATGGCTGCTGTCGTACTCTAGACCGATACGAAGGAAAGGTTGCTGGATCATCCGGGTGGGCATATATATACAAGCACAGGAACGGGCGCCTATGCGAAGCGGCATCGGGAACGTTTCCCATGAGCGTTGGATGATCAACCCGGATTTGTATCGTTGTCTAGGTCCTGTATTTTGAGTTCTGCCGAGACACCGCGCGATTCGGTTCTGTATCACGAACTATTTCCAGCTGCGAGAAAGGACACGCCTTTTTGCACAGCAAAGCGACTTCGCTGGTCCGAAGGCACGTTTCATCGATTGAACGCCATGAAAGCGTCTTCGTACAGAGTTGCCGAACGTTCATGTGACTGACGAAGCGTTGGCTAGACGCTGGGCGAGCGAAGCCTTGGTGCTCGCCACCGCTTGGACTTAACATCGGTTGTCTAAAATGTGTGGTTCGCACGCCGAATGGGCGCCAATCAGACGCCAGGAGCGCCGTTACCTATTGATTAACGATGAAACGCCGCGGAACGCCGGAATATCCTAACTTTGTGTCAGGGGCGTTTCATCGACAATGAGGACAATCGGCTTTAGAGCACTAAAACGCACCAGTGGCGTCACACGCCACTCATGCCTTGGATCACAGGCTTGTCGCCATCGTTTGAATGCCTGGGCACGATAGCTACTGGCCCAGGACCGTCCGGTACCGTTGCTAGCCCACGCTGGAATTTCAGGAGGTGGGCTCGTGACTGTGGAAGATCAATAGACCTCGCAAAGCAGAGTAGATCTCGTTGACTCTCAGCACATCGGACGAGTTGGTCATGCCATTGCGGTACTTTAGGGCAACTTACCAGCGACCACGCGAAGAACGATGAGCGTCCATGTCATCATTGTCCTGGAGCGGACGTTGCCGGGCGATGGCAGACCAAAACACAATATCGTCCTTGCAAGTGAGCCAAGTAGATAGGATAACCCCTTCTTAAGTAACGAAATATGATACTTGATCGCAGAGCGTCATCCACGAATGATAAGTCTTGATTACATGAAATCGTTTGGATCATTCCCAAAGTCGTCCAAAGCCTCATCGTAAACCCCGGTATCGATCCTGAATATCCGGCGTTAGCATACCTCACTTCGACTGAAATCATAGAGAAAGGGGGAGCGCACTTTCCAACACCCTTCGCACTGCCGAGCGTCGCCTTGGCATTTGCTTTCGTGTTGGATTTCTTCTTTCCGCTAGCCTGTCCGAAATGGAGGAAGTCAGAAGGACCGCACTGAGCGAGTAACTGAAAGAATATCTGCGTAACGACGCTGGATAATCGCCCAGAAGGTGGCTCATGGACAAGGGAAGAGTATAGAGGTAGAACTCACTTTATCCCGCTGCTCCTTCTGCTTTTCGTTCGCTAGCGTCGTCAAGCCCGAAGCGGCCTTACGAACTTCAACGTCCCGGAGAGGCATAGCCAAGTCGCGGACGTGTTGCTCCACGAATGCAGGGTAAAGAGGCTTGTCTGCAAGGCATCGAAGATATATGGTAATTATGCAAAGTCGAATAGCAAGACGATTTAGAATGTGAAAGGTTCGGGAAGTGTAGGGCGTACCCTGTAAGCGATTGATCAAGACTTCAATGATTTTCTTCGAATACTCATGGAACTCATCCTTGGTTCGAGGGTTGAATGTCAAGAGAGAGTTGAGTTCGGACGACGCAGAGGTGCCTTTGCGCGTGCGCGAGCTTCGTTACGCATGGAAATCAAAGCGTCACGCTTGTTACATACCGGTAGCCGATTGACCGAAGAGATCGGCGGCGTTGTTCAGGTCACTCTTCAGCTCCCGTTCCCGGTCTAGTCGTGCCTTCTCTCGAGGGTCAAGAACAGCGTCCTCATCGTAGTCATCCGATTCAACACCTATGTCGAAATAACGATCAATTGGGGTCCTGAGCATGCCACCATCGACTGCAGCTACTGGGCGCGCGATCTCAACGACTTGACATACGTACCTTCTGTTGCTCGTTTCGCCTTCTCTGCTTCCTTCTCCGCGAGTTTGGCCTTCAGCGTTCCCTTTTTCTTAGGGGGCGCAGCCGTCGTCTGTGATGGGTGTCAGTATGCAGGGGGAGAGATATGGGCAAGTGAAGCACGGGTTTTGGAGCGGTTTCTTCTTCCGATGATGATGACTCCTCCCAATCAGACTAATAATTCGGATCAATCGATTGTAAAAGCCCCTGCAGATTCCGAGTGTACGAACCGCTGGACCTGACTCTTCCTCGTCCTCACCCTCCCACTTCTTCTTCACCGGCTTCTTTGTCGCAACGACCTTCGCACAATCATTCCTCTATGTTGCTTAGAGTCCAGTAGCAGGATACACATACAGGATCCTTCTTCGTACCCGCAGTACCGTTTGCAGGGGCCGAGGGCGATGAAGACTCCTCGGAGGACGAGCCGGACTCGTCTAGCGGCATGGCGAAGAGACAGTGTCATTGGTAGGATCCAGGCATCGAAAGCGGTTGTTCATTACCCCAGTCAGACATCTCAGGGTTTGTGTTGGATACACAGATGCAAGGTAGAGTAGAGTAGTGAAGGAGATCGATTGGTTTAGCAACTTATCGAGAACGCGCAGCGTGGGAATTCCGATGTAATCAGTTCACCACAACAACTGCTTTGGAGGTTTTGAACACTTGGAGTTGTGTCGTGTTCACCGCGCATGAAGTGGCGATAGTCAGATATCGAATGGCATACGTGCCATGGAAGGTGGTGGTAAAGGTTCAAAAGATATCTCAATCAGGTCCTCAATGAGCCCACGACAAAATCTTCAATGGTACTGTGGACATTGTTTTCATACCTAAAAACATAGCTGATGCTATCATATATTCGTCGATCTGTATCTCCCGATGGATCGGGTTAACTTGCGCCCGGCACTGTAAGGTTGGGTCGGATTGGGTCGTGCACGACGCTGCACCCAGCGCTTCCGAATCAACACACGGGCTTTGGTGACGATTTCCTCGAACTCAAGGTCGATGGCATCGCAGAGAGTCTGAAGTAACTTACCTAGATGCTTTCGTACAGATATTTCATTTCACGCTCGGAAAAGTGTGGCGTTGACCTGATCTGCTAGAATTTACGCCGACATCCGTCATTCAGCTAAAATAATGTTGCGCCCGGTCCGACCATCAGGAAAAATCGGACTATCGAAAGAGTCGCTTATTGGGTACCGAAACCCTCTAAAGCTACTAAATGAGCACGTTTTAGTACGTCTTAGGAGGCTTTTAGCAAATCCGGTTTTTCCTGATGACCCCGGTCAAGGAGCGGCATTATCCTAAGTTTCATCGAGGATTCATGATCTATACGGAGGATCAAGAATGTTTCTCATACTCCCCCACACCTTCCACCTCAGCGCAAGAAGCACTTCCATCGCTCGTACTACTCTGGAGCTGACTTTCCCGCCTTCACCAAAGCATATGAGAGCGTACGTAGGCCAAGAGCTCGCGCGCAACACCTTCATGCTCGATATAGCAATGTTATAAGAAATTTGTATGTATGCTTCCGAGCCCGACACGCTTACTGAAATGGCAGTTATCCGACTGTCGAATGATCGGCCCGCGGTAAAGTAGGTATTGGCAAAATGAGGTGACTGGCTATGCATCAGGAAAGACCGGATTTGCTAAAAACCTCCTAAAACGTACTAAAACGTGCTCATTTAGTAGCTTTAGAGGGTTTCGGTACCCAATAAGCGACTCTTTTGATAGTCCGATTTTTCCTGATGTGGTTGCACGACATTGAGGCGGACGTAGTGAAGGCGAATAATGCACTCACGCCGTTCAGAGGGACCCGAAGAGCTTTTAACGAAGCAGGATTACCTTGCCGTATGACGTGCTTGCTACTGACCAGTATGTAATGTCGCTCAATACACTATCATACCCTCACATGGACGTTTCTCCATTCGTCTTTTGATAGGTTTCGTAGTTACGTTTCATTACATTACACAATGATCAGTTCGAAATACGACGATTTCGAGAGGTGGACGCGCCTAACATACATGTGTCACGCAGTGAGCAAGACACGTAGGCAGTAGCATCAGACGACGGAATACTCGTTTGCGAGGTTACCTGTCGTGGATCACACGAAACAGCTCCATGATGACCGAAGAATTCGTCGCGGTGCAGGATGTCTTCGGTTCGCCGTGACGTATCCAAAGGATCTTGCACGGTGATTCGCTGCCAGCCGATGTCATAAAGCATCAATAAATGCAGGTCCGGTATCGCGCAACAATATTCTGGAAGCCGGAACTTGCAATAAACCAGCAGTGTCTACAATGTGGTACTAAGGCGGGCTACTCGGATTAAGAAGCACTTTAAGTTAGTTATGACGAGACCTTCGCGAGTAAAACGGGGAATTCAAGCTTACCATATCATGTTACCCAAGAACGGCCGTGTGTCTTGCACGGGCGACCTCTAGGGACGGACGTTCATAAAGTTGAATCCCAAGGCAGCTAAGTGTGGGCGTGAGGTCTTGTCATATATGACTGCGAAAGAGATATACATGCTTACTGAGAACGCAGTACGAGTGCGAGTAGAGTGCCCTGGTAGTAATCTGCAGGAGTGGGAAAAGCAGAGTCATCCTCAAGAACACATCGACCGAGTACCACATCGCAAGATCGAGTACAGAGTGTCCTTCGGTCAACCGAGGCTCGTTGCTACCAGTAGACGGTGCAATGGTGCTGTGTTGCTGGAGCATAATCATTCAGGTCCAGGGTCAAGCATCTCGATGGTCATGAGTGGCTAGTAATTTCCACTGGTACAGCGGTGCACGGAGTATAATGCCGGTACCTCCGAGGCGGTTGCCACCGCGGCGTCGGTACACCCGGCAGTTTGAACCAAAACGAGTCACTCAAACTCTATGATATTCAGGCGCAAGAGGTGGGTGTTGCTACCGTATCGCTTCTCCTCCACAAGGGGGAATCTGCTTCATCTTCGAGCATCGTCTTTGCATCAATCTCCGGCGAATGCTCATTCGCCTCGATGGCCGTCGGCAGCAACCCCATAAGCTTGCGGCCAAGCCGTCGTGTGTGGGTGGGTCTCGAAGTGCTTTCTCGCAGTTCCTCACCCAGCAAGAAAGTACAGCCGCGCCAGAAAAACGGTGTCGCCCTAACAGCGATCACTTGTTTCAGGCGGGATTGATGGAGGGAACCCAAAGACCTGCACATAGATAGAGTCAATCACCACACTGAACGGCGTGTAGGTTCGAAGAATTTGGATCGTACGCGCGGAGTCCCGAGGGAAAAAACAACAACACAGGTTCCACTCTTCTCTGATTTAATTGGACAGGGTCCTTGTTTTCCCGCGCACGTTTCCCGTTGAACCGTTGAAGATGTCGTAGAAGGACAAAACAATCCAACCTCTCAGCCTAGATATCGGCGGAGGATCCGTTGCTATAGTTCCAAAGTGCGAGCGCGGAGTGCCAACCGGATCTTGCACTTGAAGAGTTCCGGGGTCATGCTAGTGTTCACATCATGGCAGTAGTCCCGGATGTTGTGTCCCAGAAAAAGACTTGTCTGCGAAAAAGGGCCGGTGTATCCACAAGAGACTGATCGCCCAATGGTGGTGGAATACCTTCAGGCGAGCTTAGGCTAGTCAGGGGTAGAAAGGTCGGTTCCGGAGCGACTATCCCACAGAACGGGCCCGTGGATGATGTAAAGCACCTTCGTAACAAGATACTAGACTGCCTTATTCGTTCCTCATGCTGTAAGCCTACCGTGAGGCGCCCGCGGGGACCTGTGATTTCCACTACGAAACCGATGATCGAACGGACCAATCGTGAGCACGTACATGTCCATGTCTTTAGCGGAGTACAGACGTACGTGGAGCAAATCCCCGGCGGTTACGGAGGCAAGGAGCTACACCGTAGTTCTCGGAGGGATACAGGTCAATTTGAGCCCTTATTGGGCAGAATCGCAACGAAGACACCAGATTCCAACACAGAGGGTGAGAGTGATCCAGTCAGGAAGCTTCCAGTTGCCCTCGTGCCTTCTATTCCGTCGGTACCTCAAACACCGAGCCCTGCTTCGCATACGGAATACAGACTTGGATGCAAGAATGTTCGAGCTGGACGAAACGCGCTGCAGCTCAATCGATATCAGGAGCAGACCATCGACGACGTCATGGGGGAGGTGACGAGGCTGTGCTTCTTGCTGTGCGAAAAAGAGTAGTGGCTTTCCGAATCGGATTCTTTGATTGTCCTCAGATCCGTCGCATGCTACACATGCTATGAGCAATACACCGAACAGCGTTGCTCGAAGGCAAAGCTATCGAAACCTTGTGTCTTTGGCATTTTCCAATCCGCTTATCGAATGATCGAGCCGCAACCTACGGGATCATTCCTGCGTGTATTATCGGTCGATTGACCAGTCTGGGATACGAAATTGATGTAACTTGCTGCGCATTCACCGCGATCACTCTCAACGTTCTGTAGTTCCGTTTGTGATGGCCTCCGTCAAGAATAGAGGCCGGCAACCCGGCTACGCTTCTCTGCTCCAGGATAACAAATCGTCGTGATTTCCCCTGGCGATCCATCATATCCTACTTGACGTATTCTGGAAGGTGCCGTGCTAAGCCCATAACGCGTGTAAGTCGTTGCCATGGACCACTCAAGATCAACGTTCATCGATCGTCTATGACTTGAACAGAACCGACATTTCGACCTCATCTGCGATCTGGTCGTCCTGTTCACGCCTCCCGTGAGAAACAAGGAGCAGAAGACCCATGGCCAGTCTGAGGGATCTCGGCATATTCTCGCTCAGAGGCGCCTGGCGTAAGTTGTGCATGCTTGCTTCTCGGATCTTGCCATTTTCAATGTGCGGATTCGCAGCTTTATGCCAACACGGCGATTCATTTTCGCCAAAAGAGGACGTGGCTGCTAAAGCGTCCGCATCTTGTAGGGCAAGGGCTTCTTCACGAGGAGGTTATTCGTCTCCCATCATAGACCTGCTTACGAATCGTCCGCAATGCGCGTATCAACACACGCGGTAGCAGACGTGTTCATCCCCGGTGGTCAGCAGGTCCTGGGCGAAGGGGACATCTGGCGTGCTCCTAATCTGACCATGCTAGAACTTCGTGCCGCAGGGACCATTCAATCATACCTCCGGGATGCATCGAGGTGGTCGAACTTGGTCTAGGTTTGCCAGCTGGATGCACCCGTTCACCCTCTTTGACATCGTACGTGCATCTCCCCGATACCCACGGTAGAGAACCTTGTCGTCATCGCCGAGCGCATCCTTGGGAAGAGGGTCGTAATGGCGGTATGCCCCTGAGAACGGACGCGTCCCGTCAAACGGTCTCTTGATGGGATCTCCTTCGACATCGGATTGGAGTCTATCTTGGTGCTGACCGATCATATTCGTGCAATTCAGTCTCACAGCATTCCTGCGTTCGTTCGAGCGACCACGGTGGATCCGAAAACCCTGCGCAATCGCAGAACAATCTGCCAAAGACATGTGCGACCGTTACATTCAAGCCGCTTCGATCTGCTTGATGTAGGCCTCGCTCTCTGGGTTCCCAGTTCTCTTGAGGATCTATGGAGAAAACAGGATTAGCCCCGGCGATTTCAAGATCCGGGGCTGGTCGACATACATCGATCAAGGCCGCAACATATTTCTCGTAAGCCTCCTCCGGTGAGACACCCTTCACGGAGTTCCACGCGTCCCTGAAGGCGACGTATACGCAAGAACGTGAGATTATATGCGCTGCACCAGAGTTTCCACACGCACCACTTTGCCTTTCCTACAAAGTCCAACATGCCCGGACGTGTCGTGTTAACGTCGCCGGCGGTTGCTAAGCAGATGGGTCCGGTGAATAGATGTCCGGATTCTCTGTGCCATCATACCCAACCTTGCTTGTAATACTTGTAGAACTGGGGGATAGATCGCGTTTAGCAGTGCGTGGTCAGGGCCGAGCTACACTCACGAGCAGCTGCTCGTCCTGAGAGGGCTTGATCGGGCCATCCTTCGGCAGGTTCTGCACGATTTCGACTGCCTTCTCAAACTTGGCCTTAGACATATTCCTTGATCGCGATGACTGGAGTAACGAAGACGAGGAGAGGTAGGAGCGATCGCCATCCCTTACTTAGCACGGTCTGATTGGGGCCGAAGTGTCACGTCACGGGGATCAGTGACGCGGGTCACCGACCTGGTGATGGCGGTGACGAGCTGTTGTTGGAGACGACCGCTGCGTCAACGCGCAACGTCAGCTTGTCGAATCCACACTGCACAGTCGGACTCCTATCCTTCCCTTTGATACCGTGAACGTAATGGCGAAACCGGCTCCGCCGCCATCTCTGCAAGAAATCACACGAAAATTATCTCTACATTCGGTCGCAAAGCCCCCCAAGGTCGGTGTAATCCCAACTTGTGACATCTAAACCATGGCAACCTCATTTTCGGGCTGTTTCTCGTTACCTCTAGCCGCCGAGTATCCTTGCAGCATCGGGGGGCGAATCCGACTCGGACTCGATCGTCAGCCCCGACCTGGCACCTCCAAGCCCATTAGTACCGGTGTCGGCGCCAACGGGGATCCTCATATCCAGCTCGTCGCAGCCACCTCTTTCCGTCATTGCGGAGGCGCGCGCTGGCAGCGGAGAAGAGTCAGAAGAAGAGGACGAGGAGGGAGGATGGAGATCCGAACATGCGGGACCGGCTGCTAAAAGATCTCGGGACGATAGCGTGATTAAAGCGGGTTACCTATGGAAGAAGGGCGAGAGGAGGAAGGTGAGTGGGATACGTATGGGATGCGCTCCTATCTGATATCTTTGCTAGACGTGGAAGAAGCGATGGTTCGTGTTACGACCAACGCAGCTAGCTTACTACAAGACCTCAGCGGAGTATCGCCTGCTTCGCCTCCTTGAACTGAGCGAAGTCCATTCTTGCACTACCGTGGACCTGAAGAAGCACGCGCACTCTTTTGGACTGGTATCTCCCACACGCACATTCTACCTGCACGCCGACTCCAGCCAGGAAATGCAAGGCTGGGTGACAGCTATCAATCATGCTAAGGAGAATCTGGACACCACGTCCACGCAAAACTCTGGAGGAAGCTCCTCGCCTATCAACATCCCTACCCGCAAATCGTCAGGGCAAGGTCCGACAGCGACTTCGTCTACCTCTCACTCCCCTCTAAGCCACGCCATCACGACTTCTGACTCTGACGACGCCTATGGAAGCGCGCCAAACTCCTACTCGGCGTCGTCCCCTCCAAGAACGTCTTTGCAGACTTCGCCTTCGAAGCATCAGACGAACCATCCAGCAGATCCCGGCAAGATGGTGCTCTCCGGCTACTTGATGAAAATGGGCGCGCAACGCCGGAAATGGCGAAAACGGTGGTTTGTGCTCACTGGCGAGTTTCTCACGTATAGTGGGAGCCACATGGTGAGATGAGCCGTATGATTATCGCGACCGCGCTCACGCAACGTCCCTCTCAGGACACGAAACCGCATCGCCAGGTCCCTCTTTCGCAGATCGTTGACGCGCTCGAATGCGAGATGCCTCACAATCGCGCCGCGCCGCACGGGTCAATCCCGGCGGCGTCCCCTCCGCAGGCTCTCGCTGGGAGCGCTGACGACGGAGATCCATCGGGGACGCACACGTTCAAGATCATCACCACGAAACGTGCCTTGCTTCTCTGCGCGCCGAGCGAGGAGGAAGAGATCCAGTGGCTGAGCGCCGTGCGGGCGCTGATTGCCCGCCGATCAGGGGCGAATCCCACCGAGGGCGCGCCCACGGCGACTTCTGGCCAGGGCGCTGGAAGGGAGAAGGCGGGATCGGAGATCGCGCACGGGCACCCAATCTCGGGATCGGCATCGGTCGCGACGTCGGGATCGGGCGGCCTGCGCGCTAAGGTCCGGCGGTTGAGTACGAGCGGGACGAGCGGGACGTCGCATCATCCGCGCGGAGTGTCCGAGGAGAGTTCCGTTGATAGGCATCACTAGGGCGCCGCACAGCCGACGAGAGACTCTCGATTTCATGGGCGGTTACCGCCGTTTTGGCGACCGTGAACGCTGTTGCGCCACTTGCATTGCTCGCTATCTACACAGTATGTATGTTGTCCAGGCCTTTCCATCGTCGTTCGGTGGCGGCCCGTTGTATGATCATGTGGACTGATATCTCGATCCGATGCTATGCGTTGTCCCGCGATAAGTGTGGCAGTATGGGGGGCGTTTGGCGATCGTCCCGCACGGAAGTCGCGTTCAGAGCCAATTCCTGGCGATAGCATTGTGTCTTATCGGGGTAGGCCTCGCGTTCCGCTGATGAAAAGAAGCAGGGCCAGAGACCGACGCCAACGGGCTTGACCTAAGGACCTCGTGTCGGCCTTGCGTTTCGCCGCGAGCGGTTGGCTGTTCGTGGCGAACTCTGTTGCTGCGCCTGGCGCCAGATGCCGGGCGGGGGCGTTCTGAGCCAGTCAGGAGAGCGCTTGGGATCAACACGCGCTCTGGGCGCCAACCCAGCGGGCGTCTGGCGAGCTTCGGCCTCCCAGGCGCCAGGCGTTTAGCCTAAAACGGGCGTTAACGGCCAAGGACCCCGCGAGATGCGCCCCTGGGGTCCGTGCTCCTGTCAGCGGTAGGCGCTCAAAGCCATCTCGCCCTTCGCACGGCGCCGCCCGCCTACATAGACCCCCTCGAGGGCGCCCCCGTCTCCCCGTCCTCCGGCAACTGCTCCCATACGACCCGATCCCACCCCCGACAGCGCCCGGAATATCCATCGCCATGCCCCCCGACAGATCCTCAGCACAGGCGTCTATGTACGATCTCCACCCCCCGGCGCCTCTTTACGGCGTGCACAAGTCTCCGAAGAAAGCGGCCAATGCCGCCGGGCCCGCGAAGGGAAAGGGCGCCGTCCGCGCCAAAACGGGCTGCTACACCTGCAGAATAAGACGAAAGGTCGGTTACCCATAGGCGCCGTCCCGGATGCAGTGCCTCACCTGACGTTTTGGCGCCCGCCCCCCGAACAGAAGTGTGACGAGACGCGCGATCCCCAGGGCGGGTGCGAGACCTGCAAGCGTCTCCACCTCGAATGTCTCGGCTTTGGCACCAAACGGCCGGAATGGATGCGGGTCCGTCCACCCTCCTGCAAATGTGTGTGGCGATGCTGACGACGTCGTGCAGGGCGGTAGTCTCGAGCAGATGCGCGAGCGGATCAAGGACTTCCTCGCGTCGCAGGGCATGATCAAGGGCCAGTCGAGCCTGCAGCGTTCCGTGAACGAACTGCCCGAGATGTTGATCCTCTCGCCCCACGGCGTGCCCCTCGAGCACTCGCCGACCTACTCCGCTCGCTCGATGTCCGTCGAGGACCATCCTCCTCGGGCTCAACTATCCTCCGTCCGCTACGACTATGGCTCCGCCCGATCTCAGATAGATCCCAATCTGCTCGAGCATCACTCAAGTGAGATTACCGCTTTTATTTCTCCGCGTGCGCGACCCTGACCGCCGCTGCGCAGTTTCCCGCCCTATGACCAATTCACCGCATACGTCTTCAGACAATGAACTCCCGAACGGGTACCCCACGCATCATGGTACGGGATACCACCGCCACGCTCGCGCCCTCCAAGTCCAACCCGGTTCCCTTCTAGGTTATGTCATATCCCACCAACCTCCGCATTCGACATACCCGCCGCAATGTCACCCTAGCCTTGCAAAGACCAGCTCGTTCAGCCCCCTCTATCACGAGTCGTTCCCCGATAACCCGGCCGACGACTACTACGACGTCTCGTCCCTTTCCGATCCACATCTGGTCGGCTACTATCAACCGGGCGCACTAAACCAGGACGCGCTGGTCAGCTACTACATGAACACGGTTGTCAAGATACAGTACCTCGTTGCGGACCCGTCCGTGTCCGGCGTCATCCTCCGCTTTATCAAACAAAGTCCCCTAGCCCACCTTGCCGTCTGCAAGCTGGCCTCCCTCCACCAGAACCCCCGAAATCGACAGGCGCTGTCCTCCGGCACGGACGAGGATCTCCCGCTCATGCTCTCTGAGGCCGCCAGCGCCATGACGCGTTCCGCTAAACGGCCCGACCTGGGCGCGGCCCTCGCGGCGCTGCAGATCGTCTCGTGCATCCTCTTCGCCGGCGGACGAGGCCCGTGGCGCGATTGGCTGGACATCGCCTGCCAATGCGTGAGCAGCATACTCGACAGCCCCGAGCACGGCAACGCCGCCGACGCGCTGCGCAAGTCGGACGACATGACGCGCTTCGTGGTCATGACCACCATGTGGTTCGACGTCCTCGCGGCGGTGACGCTGATGCACCCCCCGCGGTTCCTGAAAGAGTACCGGATCATTTTCGGCGGCCCGTCCATCGACGGCGTCAGCTCCAACGGCTCCGACTACTGCGACATGCGGATCGTCATGGGCTGCGAGAACAACGTCGTGCTCGCGTTGGCCGAAATCTCGGCCCTCGGGCACTGGAAGGAGGTCGAGAAGAAGCACGGCCGGTTGAGCATGCCCCTCCTGGTGAAGAAGGGTCAGGAGATCGAGCAGCGGCTTTTGCCGCCGACTCGCGTCCGCGACCCGTACGCGTACACGTCGTCCGCCGATCGGACGGCCCAAGCGCGACAGGCGACCTCGAACATCTTCCGCGCGTCCGCCAAGGTCTACCTGCACTCGGTGCTCTCGGGCGACTCGCCGGCCTGCCCGGAGATCAAGCAAGCCGTACAGGAGACGGTCGACTGTTTCCAGGCGATGCCGCGCGACGGGCGACGGGAGATCGTGCGGATGACGGTGTTCTGCATCTGCATCTGCGGTTGTCTCACGGACGATCTCAAGCAACGGCAGTTCTTGTTGGACTTGCTAGAGGAGCAGGCGATCGATCGGGTGGGCAACTGCGAGGAGGTGAAGAACGTGATGAAGGCCGTGTGGCATCGGCGGGGGGCGAACCCGCATAACCCCATCGTGCCGTGGCGAGACGTCATGCAGACGACTCTGGGCGGAGACAAAAACCGTCTGCTGCTGCTGGTGTAAGGCGATCTGCTGCTGTTCTGCCGTGCTGTGAACTCGTGCGCATGCTATACTACGAAGTCCGTTGGTTATTGTTTTTTTCTTCTTTTCTTTTCGCGTTGTCCTCGTATGCCGTTGCCATCGTCGCCGTTTCATCGGATCTGTATTTCTACACTTGGCCTGTATTGCCAGCCCGCACCCGCAAACTGTACCCCGTTGCGACCGTTTGTCTCGGATGGGTGCCCACGAGCAGATCTTCTTTTATCCTGTCCGAATCATGGGAGAGATCTGTGGCATCTGAGTGTGGGAGACCACTGCCATACACAGCCATGTCCGTCCAATCTTGGACTCGGTGTGCTTCCGTATCAACGAAGTCCGGGTAACCACCGTGGCCAGCTCGAACCGTGACACCGCCCAGCATAGCAACTAGAGCATCTAGGCACCAGGTCTATTCGTGGCACGCCCCCACTCCTTGGTGCAGACGGGCAATTGACGTGACTGGTATTCTACGTCCCTTTCCCATCGGAGCTTAGATAACTGGCCAGTGACACATGCCTGCACCCGGGGGCTCCTCTCACTGGGCCCGCTGTCCGATTATGGGACGCGGCTTGGACTGATACGACAGCCGGGGGTTCACCTCCGGACGGGAGAGGGGACTGATTGTGTGAGTCGTCTCAGCGAGTCACTCGTCGCGCGGGGGTGCATCTGCCACGGGCTGGAGGTGGAGAACAATCCCGGGCACCTCCTGATGACGAACGGCGGCTTAAACGGGCGAATAGTTGCGTCTCGAAACCTGATGCTGTGCCCTTCCAATGCTGGAAGCCGTCCTCACGATCTCGAGGCAGTCATCACGGAGTCTGCACGGCACAAGGCGGAGATCCCGCGTTAGGTTTATGTACCCTTCCAGCCACGCTTCTCATCATCTACATTTAAAGCACACACGCGTACGGAACATAAACGGGTCCCATCAAGTCCATCTCGCATCTATAGCCCCGTTCCCCTTCAAGCTGCTACTACCATGGCCTACATGCGTCCCGCGTCAGCAGGCAGTGGTGCGGCGCCTTCGCCCTCGTCCGAGGGCTCTTCAGAGCAAGCCTCCCCGCCGTCTCCCGGAAACAACCCGCTCTCTGTCGGATCCGACGCAGGCGAGAGCCCTCGCAGTGCCCGCACACCACTACAGCCCGCGACAGATATCACGCGTAGTGCCTCCGGAGGTCGAGGCGGCTGCTGGTAGGTGCAACCTCCTATACCTTCTCGCTCGCTCGATCGCCACCGCCCCCCTCCTCCTCCCTCCACCCGTCTCCTTCCCCGCTCTCTGGTGTCTCGCGCGTTGTGCCCGAGAGCTGATCGCATGACCCGTTTCCCAATTAGGACCTGCCGAGTACGACGCAAGGCAAGTCGTCGTGCCTTGCGAAAAGACCGCGCGCACGGAACGGGCCGCTCATCGCTCCACCCTCCCACAGAAATGCGACGAGCAACGGCAGGGTGACTCATGCCAGACCTGCATACGCCTCAAAATTACGTGCCTTGGCTGGGGCGCAAGAAGGCCAGACTGGATGCGGGTGCGTCGCATTGATGCCGTAGGCTTATTTCCCAAAGCGGATTAATTGACGTCGTTGTTCCCATGCGTGCTTACATTGCATAGGACAAGCAAGCTGTTGAAGCATACAAGGCAGATATCAAGGCTCAGCTATCTAGAGCTGGATTGATACGGGGACAGCCCCGCCTGCCCAGGAATCAGTCCTCGTCGCCCGCCTCTTCACAGCCTTATGATCTGCCAGGCGTGGCCGGTCCTGGACCCAGTTCGCTGCCCGTATCCGCGGGATTGCCTATGGATTCACCCCATGTCTATGTGTATGACCCTCCGCGTGTGACATCCCCATCGGGCCTTCGTAAGTCCATCCCATTACCATTTGGGGCACCGCGAATGGAAACTCAATGCTCCCTTTCAGCCGAGCACATGGAGAATCTATCTTATCAAGACCCTTCGTATCCGTCCGCATCTTACGATGGATCGTCGGTTTACCTGCCGTCCGCTGCCTCATACCCACGACCCCAGGAGTCAAGCATGCTCGGCTTGATCGAGCCGCAGGTATCTTACGACACAATCAGCGTGGCCTCGATGTCGCCGCTAGAATACCCAGAACAATTACAACCAGCCTATAATTCGCCGATCGACCAGAACGAGGTCAACCAGCAGCACGTACTCTACTACTTCGAGCACGTTCGGAGGATGCAGTACATATTCGCAGGCGAATCCGTCGTCGAAGCCATACATAATGTGGGCACGGTCATCCCATATCTCTGCGGCTTCTTTGACACGTGCGCAGCTCATAATCCGCGACCCTCACGGGGCTGTGACCAACGCTGTGTGCGCCCTCGCGAGCCTTCACTACACTCGTCTGCGCGTCCCCCGCCCTCCCGTAGCTGATCGGGAGGCAGAGCGTGCGACCGTTCATTTCTACGAGCAGTCCTCACAGCATCTGCGGAATTCGCTGCAAGTCCATGGCCAATATACCGAATCCGACGCGGTGCGTTGGGCTGTTGCGAGGTGATATAGGTAATGACTGATCATTCATGACGTGCACCGCAGGTCGCGGCTCTGCAACTCGTTAGCTTCTCACTATTCTCGGCGGGCTCCACTCAATGGCGACCAATGCTCGACATCGCCTGCGAGTGGCTCGCCCAGACCGGCATCATCGTCGATGAAGATCCAAAACTCACTCTCCGGAATATGACGTCCGCTAGCCGCTTCGCGGCGAAGGCGACCATGGTGCGCACGCATCCCCGTGTCCCTGTTTCATCGTGTATGTTAAGCCATATCTCCGCAGTGGCTGGACATCTTCTCCAGCATCACCGACCTCCAGCCGCCACGCTTCCTGCCGCTGTACCGCCGCCTGTTCTCCGGTGGTGCAGGATTTTGGGCCCGATCTCGTCGTTATGCCGACGATCCGCTGCTGTACGACATGTCGATGGAGTCCCTCACCGGCTGCCCGGACGAGGTCATGCTCGCCATCGCCGAGGTCTCTGCGTTGGCGCACTGGAAGACGCAAGAGCAGCAGAACGGCACGTTGAGCGTCAGGGAGCTCATCCGCCGCGGCGACCTCATCGAACAGCAGCTCAAGCGCAAGTCGGATGCGTTGTCCGACTCGCCCGTCGACCCCCGTATGCCATCCGAGCGGCGGCCGTCTCTGCCTGGAGGACAGGTTCCCCTCGCTCACTCCCCCATCGCTAACACGGTGTCTCCTGCTTCGACCTTCCCGTCCGAAGACATGCGCCGCGTCACCGCTGAGATATACCGTGAGACGGTCGTTCTCTACCTTCACACCGTCTTAAGCGACTGCAATCCTGGTGCGTTCGTGTGTCGTCAGACGTTATGGGCTAGAGGGTTGCTTACGATGTCGGCGTTCATAGGTGTCCCAGAGATCATGCAGCAGGTGTCGTGCATCGTACAACTGCTCACTCAACTTCCACCGAGCGAAGCCGACCGCTCGCTTATTTTCCCGCTGTGCTTGGCCGGGTGTCTCTCGGACGACCCGACACGACGCACCTGGTTGAGAGGCAGGATGGAGGGGCACAAGGACACCATCGGAAACGTGTATCAAGTCAAGAACATGATGGACCGCGTCTGGCAGAGGCGAGACAGCCACGGCGGACCAGTCGATTGGCGAGACATCATGAGAGAACAGGGGTGGAGTCTCCTTTTAGTCTAAAACATGGATTGCGCGCTTCGCTTCCCTTCTTTTTCGCATCGCTTCTGAGAATGTTTGCGTTATACGTACGAACTACATACATACAGCCGGTTGATCATACGGGCAGTAACGTTCTTTGGTGCCCAGCATACGGCGGGTCGCACAAACGAACGATTGTACCATACTACAAGGGTGTTCTAGATACGGTCCGAGACGAGTTGCAGCTCAACTAATCAATATTGTAATACTCGCGGGACCGGTACTCGCCGCGATTCTTCTCTCCACACACGCATTGAATAGGTGAACCTGCGGCTTCTTACCGTATCAAACGCAAGCGGCGTTCTCGGGCTGAGCACGATATTACAGATGCATGGGGGTGCGTCATTGGCCGTCGCGCATATGTGGATGACCATCTCAAGCACATCAACAACGATAGTGCGTTTCCCGTTTGCTCGGTGGGTCTGTAATGAGGTCATCCAAGGGCGAGACCTGAAATGGGACTGGTGCATTGTTACGCCTGGGAAGCAGGCAATAAGTTTCTCAATAGATACCGTAGACCGCCGCACATCATGCCTATTGTTCCGGCAACTATTCCTGGGGCCGCGTAGCAGGAAGTGAGGACGCGTATCTGTCAAACGGCGAACTTGCAAAATGGAGCCGCAGCATCCGCAGGCGCAGCTCACGCGTGTCCTCCACCGAGTTGTGATTTAATGCGGGTTGAGGGGATAATGATATATTCAAATTAAGTACCGCGGTAAGCGGATCCTGAGGGTTAAGAAGGAGCGGCGGAAGAGCGCAGCTACAGCCCGAGATACCATGCGGACAAAGCCAGTCGGTCACGGTGGCGAGAGCGGAGTGGTTTTCGCTTGGATGCACACGTTCCCGTTTCGGCTGGGGGTTCCAGACGGTCTGATAGAAGAGATGGGCGCTTAATCGTTTCACGGGAACATTACCGAAAAGATTCGGCCTGCAAGTTGTTGTCGATTTGCACGTTTTTCAATGTATCAGGACGTGTATATCAAGCCGGCACGTAAGCCCCAGTTGCGGTGATACACAATGTGAATGTCGTCGCTTTAGCAGAGGACCCACCTGGAACGACTTCAGCCTCAGGCACGCTCGTGACTGCCATCAACCTGCACGTGATGCAAGACGCGTCGCGCATGAAGCCACCGGGGACAAACAAAGCACGCTCGGTTGCGCCGCAACTTGTTCAACCACCACTCCTCTTTTCATCGTCTGCTGGCATCCTGTTGTGCCTGTCATGTTCAAGGGTATTCTGCCCAAGCGAGGGTCCTACTCGGACTTCACCATGGTCACTGCGGTTGGTGACACCGCCCCGAACGGAAAGGAAAACAACCCGGAGGGCTCGAAGCGGAAGTCGAAGTCTAGTCCTATGCAAACCCAGAACTCGAACAAGGAGCCACCCGAGGCCGTCGTGACTGAACAGGCTTTTGATAAACTGCTGGTGCGTGTCTGTCTCACATCTTCCCAGTGAAGCTCATGTTGACGACTTCTGTTCCCGCAGGATGACCTGCAAATCCCGGATACTCTACGCCCCAAGTTAGCAACCATGGAGTCGTCGGTTAAGGCTGCCATGATCAAGTCTTCACGTACGCTTTCCTCCCGCACACCCACCCAAATCCCCACCGCTGCCTCCGTCTTTGATGTCGCCGCCGCGGAGTCACGTGGACAAGCGGGAACGACGCGCATGATGCGCCATACTCGAAGCAGCGAATCGCTCGACAGCCCTCGCAAGCCGCCTGCAGAGCCCGAGCGGCCCCGGTCGCGGTTCGGTGTTCGTGCGAGGTCCAAGTCCCGCTCGCGCGCTACGAGCAGGTCTGAAAATCCTTCGTCAAGCGATGGTTCCGCGGCTTCACACCCAGCGATGCACGCGCGAGGCGTGTCCTTCCAGTTCAGTCGTGGCTCAAACCCCTTTGCGTCCCAGGTCGACCTCGCGGCCACCGCTAAGGGAGGCAAGGAAAAGGATGCTGTCGGGGCTTCCTTCACCAAGTACCCTCCCGTCAAGGTCGTCAGTACTCTGCTGAGTACTTCGAGCACCATCCTAGACGTCGAAGTCGTGAAGAAGTTGCGCCTGCTCCTCCGTAACGAGTCCGCAAGCTGGACCGAAGAGTTCTTGGCCCGTGGGGGCTACGAGGCTCTGCTCACTCGCCTCAATGAACTGCTAGAAGTCGAGTGGCGAGAGGAGCAACACGACGACCAATTACTCCATGCTATACTGCTTTGCTTGAAAGGTTTAGGGACGTCGTCCATCGGCTGCTGCGCCCTGCGAAGCGCATCCCCGGCCCCATGGACCCAGCTCATGAGCCTTCTCTACTCGGACAAGAAGCCAGGCGACGTCGCTTGCAGGCAGGTCATCGTGGAGCTGGTGATGCTGTTGTTCGACCTGTATCCCGCGAGCGCGCTACCTTCGTCCTCAACCTCCGCGCGAAGAACCGAAGCCTGGGAGTCCTCCGCTTCTCTCGGTCAAGGCAGCAACGTCCGCCATAGCAAGCTCATTCACCTGCCTGCTCCGCATGCATCTTTCTTCGCATTCATACGCGCTCTGCTACTCACTCCTGCTCCTCGAGCAGCTGAAGCCCCCGAAGTGCCGGTCTCTCCTCATGATTTTATAGAATCGCTGCATAAGCCCCGTCTATACAAAACATTCTTGCAGGTCCGCATGCCGTTGTTGAAACCAAACCACCCTGCTCACCTCTTTTCACAGGAGCTTAGCGATGTATGTAGGGACTACTTCTGGGTCTTCTGTCACCCCAACAACACCATATGGAACCTATCCGAGGTACTCAGTCTTCATAATCGACACCTGACGCATCAATCTTATGCTACTGTATTCCCGCAGGTCGACGAAGCACGTGTTGAGAAACCTAGAGCCCCCGGTGGCATGACTGGTGGAGTTGAGTTCGAGGCTGTAGGCTACATGGTAAAGCCCCTTATTCACGGCGCCATACGCTTACTCACGCGTGCCTCACGTCATAGACGCTTCAATTCAAGCTCATTAATGCGATTGCACAAGCCGCTCATGATCTCGGGAAGCCCAAAGAGCATGAGTTGTCTGCACATCAGTTCCATGCGGACCTCTTCCTGTCGGGGATCGAGAGAATACTTCTGGTACGTTCTCTTTGGACTTTCGTTCCGCTCCCGATGCCCATCCGTTCCTGTCTAGATCGCGCGCAAGGCGTCAGCAACGTATTATCCGACGCTTCATCTTGAGATCTCGCGTTATGTGGCTTGGGCAGGGAGGGCGGGCTTCGAAATGCCGTGGACCCTCTCGAGGCTGGTCGGACTTCCTCCTACCGGATGCTGCAAGCCCAGCGCACGGCCACCGACCACGCCTCGCGGGAAGAGCTCCGGGGCCCATAAAACGCCCAGGACAGAGAAGTCCACCAGGGATGCAACGAGCAGCAAGCCCAGCGTGCCATCCTTGCCTGCGCCCAAAATTGATCCTATCAAGTTCTGATGCGGGCAATGGCGGCAATGCGAGGGCGGACTTTATTATATTCATGATACGACGACCTGCGACGATTCTATACCAATGCTTGATCTGTAGGAGGCGACACACACCACGACTTACGCATATAAACTAGGTTTTTGTAAGCTGTAACCATGTTCTATCGCTAGAGGCTATCTATTATTTGCTGGGCAGTCATATGTGGGGATTGCAGCCAGTAGTAGTGCCGTGAAGTTGATAGAGGACGTCTCTCTGCGAACGTACTCATCGCCCCAGCAAGCCAAGCATGGTCGCGTTACGGTCTATAATAATGGGCGTTCAGAGTGATACATTGGGACATTGTAGGCTGGATTTTCCCCAGGCCAACGGCACGCGTTCCTGACATGAAGCACCTTCCTCTGCGCCTCATGCAGCTGATACGGCTTCGTGCGCTCTGCTTCATGTGTTCTTTTACGAAGCCTTTAATGTTCGGAGATAACTAAGTATGACGGATGGTTGGAGCCCTGCCAGCGAGATTGTATCAGCTTCGGTCATCCGTAAGGACCGGACTTGAACTCCTGGCCGACCCTGACCATCTACCTTAATCTAACTTCATCTCAAGACCACAGCGATGACGGCTCTCTAGCTGAGATCTGGTAAGGTTGTTGTATCGTATTCAACGGTCACCGGTAAACGTTGCCGATGCCGATATTGTCGTGCAGCTACACGTGATCGTGTCCCGCAAAAGCTTGGTCGGTGACGTTCTTCGGGCGGCTCTGGCAGCTATTCCCATCATAACCTACCGACGCTATCTCCCTACATAGTCCTACCGTTCTGGATTCTCCGGCGGTCCTGCAGGGCCGATGTCAATGCGCGCATTACGGAAGTCGGAGCCAACGTCAGAGGATCCTGCAAGGCAGAGACACCCCGCAGACCATTTGTAGTCCGGGGTCGGCCTTATCTCTCGGACCTTACCCCGCCCCCCGCTTCGTGAGATTCATTGGCAGGTAGTCGCACTACTAGAAGCAGACCCTGCCGTGCTGGGTATCCGTTGCTTGGCCATCGTCGCACGTCTGCCACATTTCCGGCTCTCATATATACGGCTCGAGCCGCCTGGTTCTCCCGATACACCCCCTGGCCTCGTCTTTCACGACGACAGCTCTCACTTGTTCAGCACCGTGACCACGCCGCAATCGCTGCGTCTGTCTGGTGGTACCATCCCTGAGGCATATCGTGACCTATAGCAGCTCGCGGCGATGCTCGTGGTCATCCAGTACGCCCTGCTGCTGCTGGCTGTGCCGACGTTGATCTCTGCTAAACCACGTCTTCTCCCTTTCAAGCCGTTTACCGACACCCGCCTCCCGCCCTACGTCTGCAACGCCTCGACCCATGACGTCGCCGACGACGGGGCCGCGCGAGCGGACTTCCTTGTCGTAGGGGCAGGTATGTCTGGCTTGGCGGCCGCGCATTATCTATATGCGCATACGGAAGCATGCACTATCCGCGTGCTTGAGGCGAGAAGTGTCCCTGGCGGCCGTGTTCGGACTACAACCGACGGTCCGTTCACGAACATGGAGATCGGTGCAGGATGGATACACGAGTATATGGGAAATCCCATGCTTGCCGTCGCTCATGCGATGCGCATCAGGACGAAATGGGTCGGAGGTGACAGTAGTTACGTCGGCGGCGAAGAGAAGATTCAGATATATGACGACAGGACCGTGGTCAGTCAATTGTCAATTCGGCGTAAATCGCGTTGTGCTCATCCCTATCGACTCTCTAGCTGGACAAGAAGGCACGAGAACGGTCGTTCGACCTCATGGACAGCCTTCTCGACCGCATATACGAGGAGATTGACGATCGCATTGACGACCATATGCCTGACAGCTCGCTCCTCAGCACCATCCACAACCTCACGTCAACTCTTTCTTCTGCGGATAAGCGACTCCTTCGATGGCACCTTGATGTGATCTTCGGCGGTGACTGGGCGGCACCGCTCAAGAACCTGAGTATGATGGCTCTTGAGCCTGGCCCGCTGGCTTACGAGGGCGGCGATTGCGTCTTCCCAAAGGGATTTATGCAAGTTCCGCAGGCTTTAGCCCAAGGTGTGGACGTGGCTTACGAGGAGCCCGCTACGAACATCAGCTGGCGCGACGATGAAATTCGTGTTGTCTCCGAGCGCGGAAATGTTTGGCAGGCTAACAAGATGCTCATGACAGCATCCATAGGGTACGCATATCGTCGGCTTTTGTACGTTCCTGGGCTAACTTTCTGCTACGCTAAGTGTCCAGCGTTCTTCGCTCATCAATTTTCATCCTCCGTTACCCTCGTACAAGCAGCGTACACTTGACAAGTTCGGCATGGCTTCACTTAACCGCATCATGCTCCGCTTCCCCCACGCGTTCTGGGTGAACGGGACCTATACGTTTGGATTTCTCCCGAGCTGGATCTCTGACGATGACCAGGAGGACGCATGGGCAACGGAACCGGTCTTCTCTGTCGCGGTTGTCGCAGCATATGAGGATCGCGAGGTCGTGGGTGGGGGCGCGGTGTTGACTTTCATGATCGGAGGCGATTCCGGCTCGCAGATCCTTTCGTTAGTGTCTTTCACGCCTTCAAGACTCGAGTTCAGTCTCATCTGATACATCCTCCAGGCACTCGGATGCATCCATCGTATCCCGTGTGATGCGCCTTCTCAGGCGAACTTTCGGCTCGTCCATACCAGACCCCACGGCCTACGCCATCTCCGATTGGGCATCTGAGCCGTTCGCTCTTGGCGTCTATGCCTACCTTCCCGTCAATACATCCGTGCACATCGACGTTCCCGCGCTGATTCAGCCTCTTTCGGACAAGAACGGCGTCGAACGGCTGTTCTGGGCAGGCGAAGCGACTATGAAGGGCTCTAGTAGAGGCACGACCCATGGCGCTTTCCTGAGCGGGATACGAGAGGCTGCGCGGATGATTGGGCGGGACGAAATCGTGGAGAAGGTCGTGAAGGCGGACGAGGAGGATTTCCTGTCAGCGAATAAAGCAAGGAGCTTCGGACGGCAGGCGATGACGGCAAGGAGCAGCAAGCGTGGCATCGTGGTAGATGATTGGTTCGGCGCAGGCGAGGACTCTTTCAGGAGCGAGAAGATTCTATGCGGTGAGTACAAAACCGAGGACTTACAGTTCGTAGTTCAGCGCGATTAGTCGCAATGTTCCTCTACTCTCCAAAGGACGGAGTATCCGCTGCTAGTTTCACCTTCGTCATCGACTGCCCAGAACGTGTCGCACCTGTATTTATATGTAGCGTGTAATACTTATACCATATGCATGTCTTGATAATATCTCATGTGTCCCGTTTCCTTGATACTATCCATCGTCTGGATGCCCGCCGGATATCGAACTTGCTCTGTGAGTCGTCATAACCATAACCAAGGGCGCATTGCGAGCGTGATCGCCATATGCATGTCGCTATCGCTGAAGCAACATTGGAATTTGAATGAAACCATGATTACGTGAGACATGCTTCCATCGATATCAGTGTCCCTCGACCTCCTCCATTGTCTGCTATCGACCGATGTGCTGCTTCATACTGAGTGTCGCGCGCACGCCTCCGTATGATTGCATCGAAAGGACGAGGCGTGTTTCTGAGGCCTTTTTTGACGCACAAAAACTCAGACGGCATGGTGATGGACTAGCGACTAGGAAGTACCAGTAAAATAGCGGCGGTTAGCCAATGCATGCTTACAAGTTCCATGCTGTATGCGCACTATAACAATGTGCTACGATGAGGTCAGTTAGTTTATTAGAAGTTTGTCCAGGGTTTGGGTGCGTTGGATGTTCATACGTCGTGTTTCAAACGAGGGTGGCACACGATAAGGCTCGCAACCGCCATGGTACATTACAGGTCCGACAGCGTTGGCGTTATGCATGGTAGATGTTCCTGCCTCTGCGCCTGCAGATGCACATCATCACCCCACGAAAGGGCGTAGATGGTGGCGATCGCTATTATGCTCACGAATCGCATTTTGCTTCCGGTTCATGAGGCGTATGGCACCTTGTACCTGCGTTATTTGTTTTCTGACCTCAGTGCGAGTTCGGATCCGATGCAGTGGACAAATGGTGGGGTCCTGGACATACCATGATCGCCACACATACATGGGTGTATACTGATAACAACTAGTAGCTTCTTGATTAGCCTTACTTGATATGTAGACTCAGCAACGGAAACGAGACTCATCAATGGATCAAGGGTGTTCAGGCGCGTCAATTCCACTCCCAACATTAGCCGCCAATGGAGTTGCTATCGTAAACCTGACTCTGAGTTGGATCTTGCCGTATGCCCGTGCCCTGAACGGCATTGCAGTCGCCGTAATTCGAAGCTGTGGCCTTATGCGTTCCTTGCGCCATGACGTTCTAAGCTTTATTACTGCCTTGCCGGCAAGGTGCCATGTTATCGGCCATCCGGTGAAACCTTGAGCTTGCGGTACCGCACGGAACGTATTCACTCGACAGGTACCGATTACCGTCTGCAGTCAAGCAATGCGCGATCGCTGCGTATCGACGAGTATTTCCAAACGCTTGATAGTATTGCTGAAGGTCTCCGTGTGGACTACAGTATGCTGGCATACCTACTGCAGTAAATTGCAGCTTTTGGATCCGAAGATATGCTTTGGGTCCTTCCGATGTGGTGCCTGAGTCGGCGATCTAACCTTGAGAATCTGGGGCTGTACGGATTGGCCAACTGACCTATGTCCTCCTCTATCTTAGAACTAGGTTCGTAACGCGGTTCCGAAGTCGTCTATAAAGACAAGTTCGGTCTGGACGCTGGATCCAAGAAAGCACGGAATAAAAGGATATCGAGACCTAATGGAGGCTGTCTCACAAAAAGTTCATTTGTCTCCGATCGGTCACTCTCTGATTGCATATTAAGGGAGAGCTGGATGGCCTGCGGGGCAATGCTGGCCTGATGCTGGCTGTGATTGGCGCTGGCCGCCCCACCCGTAGATGCGTGTTTCAGGGACGTATACCGCTTACCCAAAGCGGACCGGAGACCGTGCGCGTCAACTCTGTCTTGCGTTTTGTTACGCTTCGCTGTCCCGATCAGCTTGTAAGCTCAACCTTGAAAACCCGATTTGCAACGGATGCTGCGAAGCCCGCGAACGCGTCTTAAAGCCGGGGGGACCTCGGCTAGATAGGAACCTTGCCGCCTCCCCTCTCCCTCGCGAGCCAGCTCCCCCACCCGAGTCCTTCTTCCCCGCCGGCCCCCTGATCCCAAGTTTCGCCGAGATCGACGATGGCCAGTGGAGCGATAACCACCAAGGTGCTTGATAACACGCTCGGCGCAGCTTTCCTAGGCCATTCTGCAGAAACGGCCCTCTTTGGGGTGACCACTGTGCAATGCATCCTGTATTACAAACGGAATGGCAAAGACAGTCCAAAGCTGAAGTCTTTGGTGAGATCGCATATTGTGGTATGACGAGGGCATGCTGACCGTTCATCAGATTGGGATGCTATGGTTCATGGATAGCTTGCACCTCGCCTTGACCACCCATGCCATGTATTTCTACCTGATCAACAATTACGACAACCCGAGCGCTTTGAAGTTTCCAGTCTGGTGAGCTCGTTCTCTGGCTTCGTTTGGGCGGGTTTCCGACCGATAGCTCTCTGCCCACAGGAGTATCTGCGTGAGATTGTCTTCACCTTGCATTTTGACCGTCGCTGACGGGCGCCAATGATATTCACAGGCACAATGCTCTGTGACGGTAAGTCTCTCGTCGTCGACGCGTTCTTAGACTGATCGCGCATTCAGGCCGCGACAGAGTTACTGATTCGAGGGTGAGCTCTCAGGAATTACGGACTGGGACGGCTCGGTGCTTACATTTCCTGATTCAGCGTCTTCGCAAAACGAATTTGGACGTTGAGTGACAGAAACTTCGCTCTCGTCTGCACTTTGGTATGTGCCTTCATTCACTTCATATATTCGCTGCCTGAGAACATTCCGCTCACCGATTGATTTACATGCAGGGCGGGGTGTCCATCTTTGCATTCGGTAAATTTCTCTCTTTCTGACTCGCGCTACAATCTCTGACACCACCAATGTGCAGGTGCTGCCGTTGCTTACGTTGTCGAAGCGTATGAGCTGTCTTCGTTCCAAGCCCTTCGAACGTCACAGCTTATTCTGACCGTCTAGTTGCGATGTCGGGACATTCGAGAAGGTGGCCGATCTATCGGTAAGTCCAGCTTCTTTAGTATGTGCAAGTGGTAGAGTTGACGTGGCTTTACGTAGTGGATCATCGTTGCCAGTCTGGCTTCGGGGATGTTTGCGGATCTTCTCATCGCCGGCTCTCTGGTCTTTCTGCTGTGGAAACTGCGCACCGGATTTAGCAGGTGAGAGAACGCATGCGTAGGTCGAAACGGCACTGACCTCGGATAATCGCTTTTCAGCTCCGTTGTGTCCTTGATCATTATCTACAGCATCAACACGGGGGTATTGACCACGTAAGGCTCGATTTCGACGGTCCGATGCAGTCGATCTAATGTCGTTCAATAGGATCTGCGCGATCTTGGTCATCATCACAGTGAGTCCAATAGGTTTGAGTGCGTTGCGAGAGGCGTTCTGAATGGACACAGTACGTTACCATGCCCTCGAGCTTCGTTTGGCTGGCGTTCTACTTCGTGCTCGGCAAACGTAAGGGTGCCATTCATCCAACAGCCGAGCCATCGATAGCTGAACGACCTCCAGTCAATCTCAACTGCCTCCTCGCGGGATTGAACTCTCGGTCGATATTCCGTGACAGGGCGGGCGGCGTGAGGCAGGTTGCGCTCAGTGATTTGTCGCATGCGGTGTCGGAGGGCACGGCGGTGAATTCGAGCACGGTCAGGAGCCCCCGTAGCGAGAAATTCCCTATCGCGAGGCCGCAAACGGTAAGGATCTACTGCGTTCCGGAGAAACCGAGACACTGAGCCACCGTTTGACAGCCGGTGGAGGGCATCGTGGACCAGACAGACGATAAGCCTCCATTCGAGAGCCAGCATTACTTCGAAGCTGTATGAGATTGGCAATTCCTTGCTTCCGACCACGGACGGGTCCCGGGCCAGGATGTAGTACTTGTTCTACGAGATGTATACTTCCAAATCATGCACTAGGTTGTGAGAGGTATGTGAGCCGGGGCTGATGACGAATCAGATACCACCCATGGCGCTGGGAGTATATTCACAGGGTTTCTCGCGGGCGCTAATGAGACCATTGGCAGTTCGCTCGTCGCTGGTGATCCTTGACTTAGTTTCATAAGGTTGGAAAAGTTCAAATACGAATCGCGTGTTGCACTGGTGCCTGGTTTAATTGAAGAGACAGCTGGGGATCGAGGATCGGCGACGGAGCGCCGCGGCAAATTTCAAAGCAAGGGGTGGCTTGCCGCGGTCATGTGATCGTGTTGAGTGACCGGCAGCGGCGATGTCGGCGGGCACAGCGGCATCGCGCGCTCCACAGCTCTCAGCCTCCCATTATCCCTCTCGTTTCTTTCCCGATGTTCGACTCGACGCCCAGCAGCTCTCGGATGGCCGGGAGGCCACGACCAAGCGTGCTGGATCTCTTCGACCCGCTCGCTGACAACGACAGCCCAGGATCCCAACCAACGTCTCCGGATCTGGAAACAGCGGCTGCTCGCCGCAGCCCATCGCCTGACGGGAGTTCGTCCGACAAGGAGAACGACACCCCCGCACCGTCGCGGACGTACCAGCTCGCGCTCAAGTCGCCCAGGCGGCCGAGCCCAAAGGCAGCCGCACGATTGGTGGACGTGAGCATATTGCTGGAGGCGCTGCGGTCGGACGTTGCCGAGGAGTCGTCGGACGGAGAATTTGACACGGGAGCGGAAGAAAACGCATCAGCAGACGTCTTGGGCGCCTCCGGTGATGACGCGGGTCTCCCCACGCCCTTGAAAATTCGGCGCAGGCTTCCGTTGGCGGACATCTCTCTTGGGCTCGAACAACCAGAGGCCGTCGCGCTCGCCGTCGGCGCCGACCGCGACCTCTCCTTCCACCGCGACGCCCGGCTTGCGTCCTCCGTCTCGCGCCACCCCCATCCCAACCCACGCTCATTCCCCATGGCGTCCTCGTCTCTCGCGTTCAGCGCGTCTCCGGGACCCGTCAATGTCCTTGCCACGTCGCCGTACGGGTCTTCACATTCGCCGTTCTCGTCGCCAGAGCGCAATGCCTCGACTGCATCCTGCAGCAGTCACGGTTACGGCACAGGCTCGCCAACGCGGGCGCCTGCCAGCTCACCTTTGTCTTCGGTCATCAACGCCATCAATTTTTCGACCGCACACTCTCCTTCGCCGCTCAGCAATTCACACTCGGTTTCGCAATCGCCGTATCCCGCGGTCAGGCCGAGCCCACTCAAACGGGCCATCTCGTTACCCCGCTCGGAAGACTCGGACCACGATGAACACGGCTTCTTACGTCAAGATTCGGACGACGGCGATGCTCTCCCCACGCACTACTCGGAGTTCGACTTGGACGAAGTGGTAGAAGAGCCGGTCGACGAAAACAGGGCCATGGCCGAGTCGCCGATAGAGATGCAAGTCAAAATCCCCCAGGCAGACGAGCAAGTCGAGTTGGAGGAGGCCCCTCCGACGGCGCGTCACGCGCCGGCGGATGGTGCGGACAAAGTGGGCAAAACCCCCGACGTATTCGCTCCCGAAGACCAAAATCTTGATGTCGGCGAGGATGAGAACGAGAATGTGAGACCTGAGGACCAACCTTTGGCCGGGAAAGCCGAGGCTGTCCGAAACGACGAATCTTCCGTTGGGAACCCAGAGTTGGTATCTGCCTCGCCTAGCGGGTACAAAGACGATCATTTAGCGAGTCCCACGGAAGCAGAATGCGTGGGCACGTCCAGGCTTGACCCTATACCAGCTTCAGACACTTCGACATCTTTGCTCTCCGTGCCCGGAGCACCGGTAGGACAGGACGATACCCAGGACTTGACTTCTACCCTCGCTTTCGGATCGTCCACAGCCGAACTCCTGCCCTCGTCCAACTCGGCACTCCTCCTGAACGACAGCAGTTTGCACGACGCCGATGACGGCTCTACTATGGACTACACACGCGTCCTCTCTTCTCTTCCGAGGCCAAGTCTAAGGGAGGAAAGTATTGCGGAAGATGAGGAACGGGAGCAACCAATCGTCGTGCGGGCGCCGACACCTCCGGTTCTCAATCCGTCACCTCCTCCCAAGTTCACCCGTGGGCGCGACTCTTTGGTTCCCGCTGGGAGGGCTTCGCTCGATTCACATGCGTCGTTCAACCTCAGTTCGCAACTGCAGCGGACTGCCGACACTTCCTTCGACCTTCTTCACGGGGGCATGACTCAGTCTTTCCTCAAGCAGATGGAGGACGAGGAAGGCGACATGGACCTCACCTTTGACTTGGGAAGGGAGCAGAGGGCCATGGAGGGTGCGCTCAAGGATGCAAAAGAGGCCGAGAAAGTGGAAGAGAAAGGTCAGTTTCTAGCCTCGTGCTCTGGACCGTTCTCGTCATCTGACGTGGCGATTTCAGGCGCAGTATCTCCTGGCGAGGAAGTGCCAAAGTCGCCCGATAGCCCTGAAGAGGCTCTGGCGACCACACCGTCCACACCAACGATGATTGATCAGGACGGCATGGGTACGTGAGACCACCTGCGTCAACCAGCTTTGAGATTGAAAACCCCGTGCTATGCAGATCGTTCTTCGTCCGTTGCCACCCTGGCCCCGGAAGCAGAGATTCCTGCCGAGGAAGTCGCGGTGAAGGAGCAGGTACAGGTACAGGAGGAAACACCCGTCCCACTCACTTCTGTCATTGCTCCGGAGGTTCAAGCCAAAGCCCTGGCCAAAGCGTCGGTTGCCAGACGTCCCTCAGTTAGCACGAGCAGGACCACAAAACCGGAGGACTCCAAGCCCGTCGTCAAAGCGCGGCCCTCGATTTCAGCACCCGCCCCTGCCGCCAAACCACGAGTAGGTACCGCAAGGAAGAGTTTCGTCCCTCCTTCGATCACCGCCTTGAAGGTCGCGAAGCGGAGCACGAATGGCCCCATGCCGAAGGAGGATGCGGCGAAGAGCGCCGCAGACAAGCGAACAGGCGTTGCCGCTTCGACCGCGAGCTCAGCGAGGAGAATGAGCGCCGTTCCGGCGATGGCGTCACACCAACGCACAGCATCGACTGTGAGTGCATCCCGGCGAACCAGTGCAATCCCTCCTGTGGCGCCCCATGCACACCAGCGCGCCGCCTCGGTCGTTGGAGAGACGAGAAGAGCCAGCGTTGTCCCTCTGGGTGCTGCAGCGAAGCAGGCGAAACCCCCGGTCCCGAGCCCCCCCGGGCCGTTCAAGGCCGCTGTCGCCCCGCTCAAGGTTAACAAACTAATTCCTACCGCCACCGCCCCAACCAAGGACGCCACGCACCTCGGTCTCAAGCAGGGCACGGCGGTATTCAGTCGTCCGGCTGAATCGGGCCCCTCGAAACCGGAAGACGCCAAGAAAGACGTGTCGCGTCTCTCATCCGCTCCCGCGTCCAGTGTCGCAAGAGACCCCAAAGTAGCTGTGAAAACGGCGGCCACGAGCAGACTCGCGAAACCTTCGACCGGCTTGGGCGTTGGCTCCAGGCCTGCCGCAACCGGTATCGCGAGGAGCGTCTCCGCGTCGTCTGTCGGCCGCGTGGCTTCAGGCTCCGGCCGCGTGGTCACTGGTGCCGTCAAGAGAAACGTGTCCTCGTCGGCACGCGTTGGCGGAATTATGCCCGAATCTCGCGCTAGTGCTGGTCCAGGCGTGAAGGTTAGGACCGGAGTTGCACCGAAGCCAGTCTCGAAAACATAGAGCAAAACTATCCCAACGGATTTACCATCGACAATCATCGTCGCACCTGAAGACGATTAATACACACCTCATGGACTGTCTACTCCATTCATCTATCATCACTAGGAAACGCATCGACCACACATTCATCTACCTCAACCATATCCGTCATCCATGCAATCGTTCAAGCCTCTTTCTTTCCGCTCTTATGCCACAGATCATACAAGTACATGTTTTGAACATTCTCTCGCTTTCGACCATCATATCTTGTTATCGTCGCATATGCATGCATTTCGTTGCAACCTTTCCTTCCTCTCGTACATCAACCCCTACCATAGCGTATATATTGTGGATAGGTACTAAGTCGCCCCGTTATATATTTGTGGATTATGTGAATACATACTTCTCCCCAGCTCCTCGTCTCAGATAATCGTGACAGTGGCATTTCTTCCGAGGAAAGACTCGTTCTTGTTCCACTTCATCAGTAAGTGACGTGCGATCTTCGGTTGGTCCTTGAAGGGACCTGGGGGTAGCGCCCTGTTAATCTCGGTCGTGGTCATGCAAGGCATATATATCGAGCGCCCGTACCATGGCCACATTCCCATAAATTCACGAAGGCATAATCACCGGCCTTCGTACCGTTCATATCTCCTGCAACCTTGAACCGTCCCACGCCGGGCCATCGCTGCTCGGGCGCGGTACGGAACTCGTCCTGGTGCTTTGTCTGGAGAAGAGACATCTGCAGAGGAACGTAAGCGGTGCTGGCCAGGGTCCGGGAGCGACTGAATCGTACCCAAGCCTTTCAATAAACCTAACCGGGGCGCGTTAGTCGTGCCCTCTACCGCGGTCCAGTGAGTGTGGACAAAGGTATGTTATTCACCTAACCGGGGCGCGTTAGTCGTGCCCTGGTTGGTGTGTAAGTACAAGTGTGCGATACATGATGTGTAGCGGTCTCCTCACCTCTACCGCGGTCCAGTGAGTGTGGACAAAGGTAGAGGTTCGGTTTGGCCAACCATCCGGGCTATGGCGTACGCCCGGAGGTTGCCGGTCCCGCATTGGGGAATAGTGACGCACGCGCCTATAGCGCTTGACAAAGCCAAATTACTTCGCCATGAACAGATGCCATCGTTGTTACCGGTGTATACTGAGGACCCAACATCAAACAACGTCGAGGTCGACGGTTGGAGCATCGGCATGATTTGACGTACCGAGCAGGCGTAGTCCGTCGTCAATAGCAGGGTCCAACAGACGGTAGGCGGCTTGTATGCTGAATAAAGTGGCAGCCGTCAGCAAGAACGAACACCCTGCCCGATGTGATATATACGCACGGGTCCCCTGTAGCTACGAAGCGAGTATGTATTCGTCGGAGAAAGTCCGTTCGCCGATAATCGACACTTTCCGGAACACCTGTCTAGTATCTTAAATCGCAGCCCAAGGGCACGAACTACTGGGCACCATGTACCGCAGCCTTGGGTCCGGTCGAGTTCATGACGTCCTCGACCGCCTTCAGCGCCGCCGCGTAGCACCCGGAAGGCTTCGTACACCGATTATCCGACATGTCCCTTCCGACCAGCAGCTCCTCGTGCTTCATCTTGATGCAAGCGTTCAGCGCGGTGACTTTGTTGGCGTCGATAGGCTGCTCGTACGCAAGCTGGATGCCGTCTAAGCAGTCTGGCATGTCCAGGGTGACCAGCTCGAGCCCCGTCCGGTTGATGAAGTGAAGATCATCGTGCATAGATCGGGCGTAGTACCTGGAGATATGGTACAGCCTTTGAGCACTACTTGACTTTCATCGGGCAGGCGCAATCAATCGAACCGGAAGTGCGCCGCCGCATCTGACCAAACACTACTCATCATGACCTGCATTCGGCGGCGATTGGCATCAAGATCTTCCCGCGTACCATAAGCGAGGAGTACTGACAGCGTCGGGAGCTTTGTTGATCCTTGAGATGCGCGATGCCGGGCAGGGAGTCGCCTTACGTTCTCGGATGACTTGGACGATGTGCGGAATGCTGGCACAGACAATTGATATGAGATTTCGGTAGGTGAGCGTCGTTGAAATGTAAGTTACGCACTACGTGCCGCCATATGACCCGGAATGGATGAAGAATGGGTTCCGTGCCAAGTGCGGATGGTGCCTGCGACGGGGTGCGTAAGTAACGCAGCGTGCCTTGAGAAGCCATACGTGCCTCCAGAACAGCTGCAAGAAGTCGTCGAGATCCCAAGCGGCTTCTCGACTGCTGCTGCGCAGGGAGCTTTCCTCTCCATAGCTGAAGCCTACACCGACAGGCTACGACGCAACATTTTAGCGATAGCACAATGATATTCGGCAATACATGCATGATCAACGGCGACAATATTAACATGATCGGTCCAAGGGTACTAGTCGGGAACACGAACATCCTGTGATCGGATCGTAAATAGACGAACAGGTGCTGGCCCAGATGCTGATCTGCCCGAGGAATCTTGGCCCACTAAGCAGGGTCTAGTCGGAAATCAAACATGATATGTGGGACAATGGTGACGACTGGCGTACCCTTGGCCGAGGAACGGCTGCTCATCCCAGAGGAGCCTGGCCCTCCGCCGAAGACCAGCACGACGGGCGCATTTTCTGCATTCTCGCGTGCTCTGAACAGCCTAGCCAAATGATGATACACCTCAAATACCAAGCAATGTTCCGAAGAGCATGGAGTGCGTAACATACCACCAGAACATATGCTTATCTTCTGTCCCGTCGGAGTTGGTGAGGTGAGCGAAGCCAGCTTCGTGGATGCCGCCTTCTCGACCGCAAAACAAGGTTTCATTAACGGAAGTGACTTCCATACGACCCGCGATGTTAGTGCTAAACTATCCTTCTCGTTTGCAACGCCTATCTTGGGTGACGAGCAATCAAATTCAAGAGCAACAGAATGTCTATCCACAGAAGTTGCCCAGTTTGCCTGTGGCAGTCTGCCGGTATTGTACGGAGACGAGCTGAAGGACCGTAGAGACGCGGCGGTCGTCAAGAGGAGAACAAGACATAGTGACATGATGCGTTCGACAACAGCTGTGGGACTTGCACTAGAACCAGCAAACGCGTTAGCGGTGGCGAGATGCCTGCGGCAGCGCCCACCGCGTAGATTGATCAGTTGACAAGTAGATCAAGGCGTCCGAAAGGCGACGAGTATTTTCCTGGTATTTTCTGTTGCCCAGAGCCCGAACTAACGACGAGTTGTCGTTCAGGAGAGCCTGCAAGTTCTTCCGTGTTTTGGCCCACTGCCAGACAACTGCCAGACGTGGACGAAAGGGACCAAGGCCGGGCCGGGGAACTATTCGGGAAACTGGCACGTGACATGTCGAGCTCGCGATTGGCCAGGCGGAAGCTTCCAGGAAGTCTAATCTTGAACGTAAGCGGAGACTCGTTCTCCCTCATTGCGACCGTCGCTGGACTGCGTTGTGCTGGCACGCGGACTCACCGCCCCAGAGTTTACGCAGAATGCGGAGCCACCAACCGCCTCGTTGAATGGCACGCACCGGAGGCGTGTAGTAGTGGGAATGGATGTGATCTCATGCGCACATATCCTCTATTCCGATCACACTCACCGGTCCAGGACGTCCCGCAACTGGCGGGGACAAACATCTCGCACCTCGATTTGCCGATATTGCGCTTCGCTCAGATGTCCTTCCCGCTCCGATCGTGGTGCGGATCTGCTACTTGAGCCCAACAGCTCAAGCCACCTAAGCCCCTATATTTTGCACCTTGACGTCTCCTCTCTCCTTCACCGGTTCCCTGAAACCGCGCGAGCTCAAAGCGCGGGATATAACTGCCATCGAGATCCACGAACGCGGTCGGCCATGTCGGAATCTCTCAACGGCACCCTGGGGTCGTTATTCGTGGGCTGCATGGTCGCATCGGCCTTGTTCGATCAGTTATCCTCGAGTCTGGATCGACTAGAGGTGCTCATTTTCTGCACATCTCCCGCAGGAGCTGCGACGGTCCAGACTTGCCGGTACTATCGCCGGGGGCATTGTTCAGATAAGCCGTGGTTCAGAGGCATGGTTCGTGGTACCTCACCTGCAACACGTGCCCCGCTCTGACCCCATTCTGAAGATATATTTCCTATGGTCTCTGGATGCGCTCCAGCTGGCATTCACGGCGCATTCCCTTTACATCATCTCCGTGTCGCAGTTCGGCAACTTCCTTGCATTGTTGACCCCTCCGTGGTAAGGACGATTTGAGCGCACATGAAATGACCTCACTGATGACCTCGTCCACTAGGAGCCTTTGTGTGCGTATCATCTTGTTCCATGGCTCAATTGCTAAAGTACTGTTTTCATATACAGGCTCAAGTATTTGTTACAGTCAGTACATCGCCCGTGCTATTTTCTGCTTGTGCTCACGATAATGACATAGGAAGTTAGCACCATGATAGTTCGATGGTATGAGCGTTGTTCCTTTTCAACGACTATGTGTTGACATCCCAATTCAGTATATATATAGTCCGGTTGTGGGTTCTCAGCCAGAAGAACGTAGCACTAGTCATCATTATCGTAAGGTTACTATCCCCCACGTCAGGGCCGCGTGCTGATATACATGCAGATATCTACAACGTTCTGGGCTTTCAGTGAGTAATATACCGCCGGTCCCTCAATTTTGCTCTAATGAATTTCGTTTCAGTATCAGGATGCCGTAAGTCAATTCCATGCATTGCGGAGCACAAACACTGATTCGGACCCCTCAAGTCTTCGGCGCTAAGGCGTGAGTGCGATTGCCATCGATGCATGCAGTTTGACCATTCTGATATGAATTCCAGTCTAAATCTAGAGTCGTGGTCTGGCCTGCACGGTCCCGGAGTTGCCGTACGTAAGCCTTATATGCGATGTATGCACTTCTCTGATTTCATCTGGCATTTGATAGTGGGATCTATATTCTGGTTTCGCATCTTGTGTCGTTGCAGATGTGGTGCTCGCAGCGTCGCTATGTTACTATCTGAACCATAGCCGAACTGGATTGAGGAGGTTAGCATTTCATGTTCGTCCTTTCGCCTTACTGCGTTCGCTGACGAACCGAGATATAGCACAAATACTTTAGTCGATCTACTCATGAAGTACATTATAGGCACCGGAGCGTTGACTGCGTAAGAATATTGGCATGTCTTGAGATGGCATCGCACTGATGCTATCTCCATAGGATGTGTGCGTTGGCCGTTCTGATCACAGTACGTTTGCCGTATCAGTTTTAGCCTTGATTCCAGCTGACGCATTGGGACCAGTTTGCTGCATTCCCGCACAACTTTGTTTTCGCTGCGTACGTCCGTACTCACACTACGATTTGCTTGCGACTAACGAGCATACCTGTAGGTTTTACATCAACCTTAGCAAACGTGAGTCGGGCATGCTACTGGCGCCCATATCCCACGACGCTAATATATCTCCAAGTATTCACGAATGCGCTTCTCGTCAGCCTCAACGGGCGCGAAAGGATCAGGGACAGAAGTCGTGAGTCTCGCGAGATTGGGAGCATGTCTTTGGCTCGGTTCGCGCCGAACCCGAATCTCCCCACGGATACCATCCGGACTTCGAAAACGTCGTCGAGCTTCAGTATCATGCAGTTGAAGGTGCGCTGTTGGTTTTTCTCCCTGGTTCGTCGAGCACGTTCGTTGACATTATGTATGCAGCATCAAGACCCGGTCGCGAATGTGCCAGAGAGGAACAGCGCAGACATATTTCAGGTCGGCATACATCCGGAACTCGTTCACAATACGCTCACTGCCATATAGCCACAAGGGGCCTACGTATACCCATATCATACCGCGGGCAGCTCTAACCCGTCGTTACCTATCTCTCGCTTGGGTGGGCGTTAACCGCCTCTAGATCGTGGACCGTGTGCTCACGCTTTGGCTTAGGTCATAGATCTAGCGAAGATCGCTCAATCACGATCGCTAGCGAAGTATAAACTTTCGCCGGTTCCGGGGCAACTAGCTGTGTACAGCGGCTAGTTCATTGCATCTTTTTCATTGTCGACACGTTTTCGCTGCACGGACTCTCGATTAAAGTATAGATCGTTAATAGTACTCGGTACAATCGAATGAATGATGTGGAATGTCTATCGAAGCGTCCGCACGAAGATGATTTGAGCATCTCGGTCAAGAAGGGCAGGATCCCAGTGTGTCCGCCGTACAGCTTGTCGCAATCATGGGCTGACGTTGGATTGTTGGACTTGGGCCTTGACCTCAGCGACCTCCGTTTCCTTCAAAGGTTTTGGCCACCTCGCCTGTAGAAGACACGTCAATTCGCTGACTGGACAAGTTTCAAGTAGACTCCGACGGACAGGTGGCGCGTCCCAGACGCCGAGCTCCTTCTTCATCTCCTCGAGCGGTTGTTCCCATCTTTCCTCCCAGTACACGGTCAGCAAGCAGCGCGCGGAGCTTCCGCACTTGAGCGCCCAAGGAACGTATTGCGTGAATAATCTGGACAATGAATATCAGCCCTCGATTTCCACACTGTCGGCGATATGAAAAGCGCACCGTTCTCGTTGTTTGCTTGATAGGCGGAGCGGACCTGCGACACCACCAAGCAGGGCCATCGGCAGGCCCAAGTTGGCAAACTCAAACCATTTGACTGCAAGCTCGTACGTGACTGACACGGGCTACGGGGAGAGCATGAGACAGTAACCCCTGGGCAGGACATCGTGCGTACCATGTTCGTGAGAGTGTGGTAAAAATCGTGTGTCTCCCGGTAGCGTTGCATGACATACGCTTGTTCGGGGTCCGATATGTAGTGAACCTAGAGGCTCGTGAGTAAGGTCATTTCCTGAATTCAGCTATGGCAATACTCGCAGGTTCTCGAGTGTCAGGGCTAACGCCGCATCTTTCTAGCCAGTCAACGTAGGACTTCCCGAACGTGCCTTTGGGAAGTCGGCTTAAGTATGCCATATCGACGGTCTTGGTGTTGATGCGTGGCCTCTCCTTCATGATGCGTCTTCCCTCGGGCGAGGCAAGCATGGTGTCAAGGAGCTTGGGTAATACTGGCCCTGCCGTAGTTTCGCCTAGGGCAGCGATCATATCTGGCTCAAAATGTCACGATCATAGAACACAACGAGCGGCAAAGAAGACATACCCCCCCTATACGGGTCTGCCAGCGACATCACGGCCGACCCCACGGCCAAGAACGCATTTTCGGCCCAGTTCAAAGGAATATGCCCGGGGTACGCGGGTTCGGGTCGCGTCGCGAGATGTCGTCTATTCGAGGTGCTCGCTGAGCAGCCTGATATGCGATGTTGGCATTGCAATAAGCTCGCTGCGCTCAACCGTAGGGTTGCCGGTAATGCTGGTGAACGCGCGGTGTGAAGCAAGGGCAGGAGCGTCATGACAGCTTCGCGGCTCGGGATGAGGTGCGACGCGTCGGAACCGCGGTCGGTCACCGGTCACCAACTCAACACACTCAATAATAATCGCACACTAATATGTGAGGATAACGCAGTTCTATCGTCCTCGTCTCCGGGCGGTGGACAACCATACTAGCTGTGAGTATTAAAGGTTATTACATTGGAATCCATGTCGTTGATAATGCCCTGCTTTGTCCAGACGATCAGTCTCTTCGACACCTCTCACGGCCTGAACCGCAGCCCGACCGCGTGTTGTTGCTGACCCCTGAGCTAGTTATTCCCTATCCATGGCGCCCACCCGATCCTTGAGACCACGCTCAACGGCCGCGGACAAGCTTCACAGAGGCAAGCGGCAGACTTCGTCCGGAAAGCGTGCTGACACGCTCAACCGACAGGCTGCCGCGCCCAGTAAGAAGCGGCCTTCGCCAGGGAAGACGCCCCCGCCCGTGGTCGAATGTCCGAAACCACCTCACCGGCAACGGCCCCCTCTCCAACTGTTTGGCTGAGGCAACGCCGACGATGGAGTTCTTAGCCTGGAAACCATACCCACCGAGTTCATATTCAAGCCGCAAGGAACAAATGGGTAGACGAGCGCATCGCGGACGGTAGCTTCGGCGAACCCGGCGCTGGGCTCGAAGCGGTGGCAGCGGGCGGATTCCACACGTTGGTCATAGATGAAGCCGGCAAGGTAAAGGTTTCAGGTCGCCATCCGTATTACGTCGTTTCCGACGGTTGCAGTAGGTCTGGTCCTGCGGTGTGAACGATAACGCGTCGTTGGGGAGACCTAGCGATGGCCTCCCCTCTGAATATACGGAACTCCTAGCGCCTCTTCAGCTTCTGGTTGAAGCAGGTTTCCGGGCCACGCGGATCGTAGCAGGCGATACCATTTCTGCGGCTGTTGACAGCCAAGGCGAGTTTCGCGCCTGGGGAACTTTTCGCGTTAGCATCTTCTTCCAATCTTGAGTCCCGGAAATGACTCATTCACCCTTTTTTCTGCAGTCATCGGAAGGGCGTTGCGCCTTCTCACCTCATGTGGAGAGACAACACGTCCCCGCCCTCGTGGAACGGCTGGAAAACACTATGGTTAGCCAGGTGGCCGCGGGTAATCAACACTTGGTGGTTTTGACCGCAGCCGGCGACGTGTACACCATGGGCTTCGGCGAAGACGGCCAGCTCGCTCGCCGGATCATAGCAGGGCGCGAGCTGCAGGGCACCGTTCCGGAAAAGATCGTCTTGGGAAGACGTTCGAGAAAAGCGGTGGTCGTTGGTTCTGGCGAGAACCATTCTTTCGCAGTCGACACCGAAGGGACCGTCTGGGGATGGGGCATCAACAGCAACGGCAGAACTGGGACCGGCATTGATGCCGAGGTCGTGCCGTCTCCGCAACGTGTCGCGGGGCTGAGCAAGGACGAACTGGATGGAGCAACTGTAACGTCGATCACAGGTGGACAGCAGCATACCTTATTCCTGACTTCGGATGGACGCGTGTACGCGTGCGGTCTTTCGGAGGAGGGACGGCTCGGTCTCCCGCCTCATCACCCAGCATTGATGGACCCAAACAGACGCAGTACCCACTTCTTGGACACACCCACTCAGGTTACTTTTCCGTACAACGCCAGGATCCGATACATAGCGTGCGGTACGCATTGCTCCTTCGCCATCGACACGGAAAGCGCCATGTACAGTTGGGGCCGTCAGGTCACTGGTGAGCTAGGCTTGGGCAGCGAACTAGCCTTAGCGGAGACGGACCGGGACGTCCTCACACCTCGGGAGGTCGTGCGACGCGCTGGCTCTTGGATTACTGAAGCCGTCTCGTGCGGCGGCCAACATGCAGTAGCTTTGCTCAGAAGGAAAGATAATCAGTAATTTGACGCTATAGGTGATTTATCGTCAGCACTGCTGTGTAGATATGATGATCTACGACATCGACGTATATGTATTTACGAACGCTGACCAAGCAGTATAAAAACTGTGCCTCCCACAAACACCACTCTCGACCAGCGGCGTTACATACACGAAGGAGGACATCTGCAAAACCGTTTGCGAAGGGCGAGTGCGCCTTCTGTCTAGTGGTACAAGAATAATGAGACGGCGTTAAGTAAGTACGGCCTGTCTAGCTTGTGTATCCCAGGGGTTGTGGAAAACTATCATGCTGCGCGACAAGATAAGGTGAGCTACCTACTAGAGATTCCATGCGCAATTTACCTTGTCGTCAACGAATGTCTGTGAGGTAGTATCGATGCGGACGGCAAGTCGCTATCGGGCAACATTGAGCACCCCAGTATGGAAGTTCGTGCAACGTACTCACCGAATCGACGGGGTTCCCGTGCCGATGCTCGCTTTTGCGCACGGACTTCTTGGAGAGCGATGACATTGGAAGCGCGGTCCGCTCTTTCAGCGCAGTTCTTGCGTTTAATGAGACTGCGATGCCAATGAGAACTGACGGAGTGGAGAAGCTTCGCGCAATCTCATACCTAGGAGGCTGTTGAGGAAGACTGCGCGATGCCATTTCAGCGGATCAGAATCAGTAGAAGAAAGCGAATCAGTAGAAGAAAGCGGGACGACGCACGCTTTCCAAGGATGAAAAAGAAGGCAATCCATATGAAGTTATCAGGCATGGTGACGTACTGAATCGCGCGCAGTTAGCACCGTCTCCGCATGAGGTTACGTGAGAGCTTACGGTAATCAGCACAAGAATTGCACAGACGCTGAGGGGAAGGAGAGAATGAGTGCGTCAACCAATTTGTCATCACGAATCCAACCTACCCCGTGATTGCGCCAGTACTGATACCATAAACAATCAGGAGGTTTATCAAGCCGTCCGTCCTATACAGTCCGATAAACATCAATCTTCAAGGCCAACAAGATCGGGTGGCGAGACCTACTTTGAGAAACCGCTCTTGTTCCCGTAAAGTAGCCAGCACAAGGATGCGGCCAGAATTACATCTATGGCCACGGAACATGACAGCCCCAAGATGAGCAACCACTGAGCACACTTCAGCAAGACTCTCCTGAAAGCTGCTCTCGTTACGCTTGCCTTAATACCGGGCACATCTGTGAACGAGGGCAACGATAGACTGGCGGGAACGCTCAATGATGGCTTCGAGTCAGTTTAAATCACACATACCCTCTCAGCCCGAACGCTGTTAGCCACCGAACCTTGAGCCAGTTGCAACCCAAAACGTGTTGTTCAAACGCACCGAACGCTGTTCCTGGAGCGAATGGAGATTGGTTAGTCGAGGTCCGAGCACATTAATGCCATAATTTACCGAATGCCAACAGAGTAAGCGGAGTCTGATTGCAGGACGTTGACATCAGTAACTCGACGCGATAATCGATCACACTCACAATTAGGCCGGCCAACCATACATTCCCTTGGCTTACTGTTATAGGTGGGTAAGCATCGAAAAGGTAGCAAAGTAGAGGCACACACATTTCCAAATACCTGAATAAGCCTGCGTCAGATCCACAGATAGTAGCGAGCGATGTTATCTTACGTCGCGTGAAAAGACTGTTACCCGAGGTCAGTATGATTGATAGGTGATGACGGGAGTGGGCTCACAATCGTATGATTAAGTCACTGATAGCCTGTTACATACGGTAAGGAATGCATGCACAAATGTAATGGGCCACTAACCGTGACCATGCATTGCGCTCCCAGGCTCCTGATTGGAAATCAATCCGATTTCGTGTCCCATTTGGGGCGACGGACGTACCAAACGGGATGTAGGAGCGCAAGGACGTCCGCGAAGTTCCGAACGACGTAGTGCCACAAGGAGTGGGTGGTAAAGGATAGATGTAGTGCGTCCAGGATGCTGTGAGAGTGTGTCATATGAGAAGGAACGAACCCGGAACTGCTGCCGTCTTACCATAGCAGTGCGACCTTACCGAAGTGTTCAAAATTTTCCCCAGTAAGAAGCCAGGCTACTCACCAAGGATTGTAGAAGGCGGCCGTCGCGTCCTGCGCTCTGTCGAAAGTATCTACGATAGCCATGCGATATTGACCTTGCACAGCTTGCAATCGATGTGTAACCTACATGAAGGTTTGCAGGAGTGTCACGCCGTATAATCTAAGGTCGTTTCAACCTGTGGTTTAGGAGCTAGGATGTCATCACTCACAACACCTCGAACGTATAGCCCAGTAGAACAGCACCCAACGTACTGCTGAAGTCTAGCATTATCGAGGAACGAGGTGCAAAACGGGGTTAACACGAGAGGGGAAGCGTTCCCTATATGTGCGGGCCCCTTCGGTGAGAATTGCGCGCGGAAGGAGGGCGCTGTTGCGTGGTGATCAGCGCATGACGAAGTATATTGCCTGGGTGTTGGGGAACCACCCCGGGGGAGCTTGGACGCACGATCTATCCGCAGTAATCCCGCACGATCTCGGCATTTTCATTCTCTTCGGTACGAGCAGTAGTCGCAGGCGCTCCTCTAGTACCGGATCAGGCTTCTGATTCGCATGCCCCGAGCCCGCATTGGCGCAAGCTAGGGAGCAGTCACCCAAACCAAGCCATAGTAACCCTCTGGTAACCGAATTGCAGGCACGGAGTAACGTTTAATCTGATGCACCTCCATAGCAGCTTTCGTCGCACTAGAGTGTATCTGCAGGCGGTAAAAGTTCTTCGCAGTAGTCAAAGATGTCCGCGGGGAGCCCCGCCAAAAATGCAGTGCATGGCACAAGTTCCACCCCACCTCGCCTGTGCTGCAGATACACTCTACTGTCGGACAAGAGATTCAAGCTACAGCGGATAGACCGGATGTAGCTACATCCGGCGTAGTGACGCCCCGTTCTTTGTCGGTGACGACGTACGAGTTTTATCCGCAGGTGTTTGTAGGCTTCCATGGCGGCCAGAGCAAGCTCAAGGAGTCGCGTGCACGGAAACCGACTGAATCGAAGAGCAACCCGGAATACACATACTGCCATTGATGTTCGAGCGAGTTACGTAGACAGTATGTGAGTCCCATGTCCCGTGCTGCATCACAGTGTGGACAGGTGTGGAGTCGTGGACAGCAATGAGCATCACGAAGAGTCGAGGGAGATCAAAGTACTCCTGAGCCCTCACAAGCTGGCGTGGAACGCCAGCCGGTCCCCGGTCCACCTACGCGACTGCAAGTAGGTAGGTAGGTAGTAGGTAGGTAGGTAGTATTATCCGGCGCAATCCCAATACCGGAACAGCCGGTTCCCGAGGCCTCGCTTTGGCGAGCTGGGACACAGTGGTTCCCGTCAGCTCGTATAGCCAAAGTGTGCATTACAGTACATGACGGTTTATCTATTGTATTTAACAACCGTAAGCTACTCTTCAATCTCGGCGAACAATTCTGCGAGCTCCCAGTTATCCGAGTCTATTATTGTATGCGACACCGACGTTCAACGTTCAACGTTCAACGTCCAAACGCTGAACTGATGTATCTTCCAAACCTCTTCTTATGAGCGCAAATTTGACCCAATCAGCAATGCTGCTACGCTACACATTGTCTACATGAACATCGCACGACTACACGATGCTCGACTCAATCATCGACACCTCCCATAGCCACCCGGTCGCGATAGAAAATCCGCATTGGACCCTGCGGGTGCGAAAAGGGCCAAAGGAAGTGCGTTGCCACTGCAACCGGCAGTACCGTATCTGTTTGACGGCTTTCAAGCGGCAATGGCGACTCGACGTATTCGTTGAAGGCTGAACCGGCCGGATATGGTATGCCTGCAGACGCAGAGAGGCCGGAAGGGCAAACCATGTTTAAGTCAAGGTCTAGGATGGCATCGCAGCAGAGAAAACGACATCAAGACAAAGTTATTTTATTGGAATGAGTATGCCAGAGCAGCGTGTTGAGTTCGAGCGAGGGGAGTATGCGGCGTGAGTGTGAGAAAAGGGGTGGCTGAAACTGCATGCCATTTTCGGCGGATTGCTACACACCTTCGCCCTCATCCTCCTCAAGATTATCGCTATGGCCTCAAGACCCACTGTGAACGTCCGCTCGACCAGCGGAGGTGCGCACTGTCGGCATAGGTTGCGGATTGTACTGACAGTCCGAATTCAGAGGCCTCCAGCTCTCTCCCTCTTCCTTCCGTCCTGACTGCGCCAATACGTCTGGACGTTGTTCAGCAAGTGCACAGTATGTGCCAGTTCTCAAGCAAAGCTGAAACAGATTTGACGCGAGTCTGCAGAGAGCATTGCTAAGAACAAGCGCCAGGCCTATGCCGTCAACGTGAAGGCTGGTCACCAGACTTCCGCGGAGTCTTGGGGTACCGGTCGTGCCGTTGCACGTATCCCCCGTGTTGGTGGCGGAGGAACCCACCGCTCCGGCCAGGTAGGCATTGATTAAAGCGTATCATGCATGGGGTGCTGAAATTGGTGTAGGCCGCGTTTGGTAACATGTGCCGTGGCGGTCGAATGTTCGCGCCGACCAAGACCTGGCGCAAATGGCACGTTAAGGTCAACCAGAACCAGCGTCGCTTCGCCGTCGTCTCTGCCCTGGCGGCTTCTGCTCTGCCTTCCCTCGTCCTCGCTCGCGGCCACCGCATCGAGCAGATCGAGGAGGTCCCCCTCGTCGTTGGCTCCGCCGTTGAGTCTTTCAAGAAGACCAAGGAGGCCGTCGCGCTCCTGAAGTCCCTTAACGCGTACGCCGATGTTGTCAAGGTCTCCAGCTCCCGGAAGCTCCGTGCGGGTAAGGGAAAGATGCGTGGTCGCCGCCACAGGCAGCGACGCGGTCCTCTCGTCGTCTACGACAAGGACGAGGGCATCGTCAAGGCTTTCCGCAACCTTCCTGGTGTTGAGGTTGTCAATGTCCGCCGCCTGAACCTCCTCCAGCTCGCACCGGGTGGTCATCTTGGTCGTTTCGTCATCTGGACCGAAGGCGCCTTCGGTCTCCTTGACGAGGTCTTCGGCACCTTCGACAAGGCATCTGTCTACAAGAAGGACTACATGTACGTGTCAGTATCATCCCGGCGTATCAGCGATCTAATCATATCGTCTGCTACAGCCTCCCCACGTCGAAGGTCACCAACCCTGATATCACTGGCATCATCAACAGCACGGAGATCCAATCCATCGTTCGCCCTGCTGGCCCAAAAATTCAGAAACGCCCCTGGACCCAGCACAAGAACCCCCTCACCAACAAGGGTGTTCTCTTCCGCCTCAACCCCTACGCCAAGACCATCCGCAGGCAGGAGCTTCGTACGTTGACCGATCTTCGTTTTCATAAATCCGGCACTCACGCTCGATTCCACGCAGTCAAGCAAGAGCGCAAGAAGGCCAAGGGCACAAAGAAGCCCAAGCAGCCCAAGGCTGCGGGCGAGGCCTTCCTCAACACCCTCTTCGCCCCTTAAACGCGCCACCGCCCTCTGTTCGCCTTTTCGTCCGAAAATCTCGTGTGGAGTGGGAAGTTAAGGGGGGACCGTGTCTTACGCTATTTGATCACGGTTTCGACTATGTCACTTGTACAAGCCCATGTTCGCTTAGCATGCCGAATTGCACCGATTATGCCATGCTTCTATTATCAAGCGCTCGTACCCTCGGATTATCACCACCTACAAATCAAGGACGTCCGTAGTGGTTTGTGGTTTGAGTGCACGGGTGGCTTGTTGTTCGAGGCGCGTCCGATGTCTACTTTCATTCGCTCGACACGACAAATCGCTGTGTAAGTGTCTATGATGCTGGTAATATACAAATGTTCTCTAGTATGCCATCCGCTAAGCATGGTCTGGAGGATCTGGTGATCGCCGAAGCGGCGTACATTCTCCGGATGGTATGGCTCGGTGTCCATCAACAGGGCTAAACACGACCATCGAGAGGTGGGAAGGGTCGACATCATCCCACGTCTGTTGTTTGTCGATTGTCCCCCGAAGATTTAGGATGATTCGCGACCCGAGAGTGGACACCATTATCCGGTGAAATCTGAAGGTGACGTGAGGGAAATTGAATAGGCGCCGGACACGCAGTGAAGGGCAAGGGAGCTCACGTAAACAACATCGTTGACAGCTGAGGAGGAGCAGCATTGAGGACCACGATGTTTCCAACAGCAATCACTGGGTTACAGCGCATAAGAATAGGGGGCCAGTCTTTTGAGAATGGTTCTTCTCACATGACAGTGCCAGGAAGAACTGGACCCCGTCCCGCAGTACGCGGACCGCAAGAGGTGTCTTCGATACCATCGATTTCACTGAGAAGAGGTGAGCTTTTGACATTACCGTATCGATACCAAGGGGTCCAACCTACCCTCCGGAATAATACGGATCATGGTTAAGGTCATCACAGCTGGTTTTTACAACATCACAATAAGCAAGGCAGAACGGGCTCTATCAAGCGGAACGAACGCACTCGTGTCATAGACCAGGATGCTGATCCAGATGGAATAGAGTACATTGACTCGCGGTAATATCGTGTCGCAGGGCCGGACGATCCGGCTTTCCTCGTCGGCTGCAGCGGCGTCGGTCAATCCATGCGATGGAACCAGGGAGACATAGGGCAGGCCAAATCGCTACGAGCACTGGAACTCACGAATAACTGTCAGATCGGCGAACAGCGTGGCTCCAGCTAGTGCAAGTATGCACAGCTATCATGAGATCCGCGACGGTCAGTTACCACGGGCGCTCATGCCGGCTGCGACGGAGCTCACCGTGCCAAGCGCCGACAGTCCTGCCATTATCAATCGCGAGCACTCCCATATAGCCCAAGTACGAAGGAGTAGGATACCTGGAGAGGACGTCAATACATGCGCCCGCTTACGATGAAAAACACCCACAATCTATGACCGTCACGCTGACCACCATAAGCCATGAGTCGACATGGAACCAAACGGTGCAGAACGTGCGATCGTGAATCGCCGTATTAGCATATGCTGCACGACGGTGAGCGTGGTGATGACATTAGTCAGAGTCGAAAGGCGAAATACGAGTATATGAATTCTCCTCACAATTTGCAAGTATGAGTAGATCAACTATGGGAAGGTATCGATTCAGGACGAAAAGGGCTTTTCCCTATCACGAGGAAATTGGACCAGTGTTAATTATTGGAACCGCGATACGCGAGCACTTCAGCGGCTTACCGGGGTCGGTGACTGCTTCCACACGTATTCGACTTCCCGGGACAAGGTGAGGCAGTAGTCGTAGACCAGTATGGAAACGAAGGCCACAGTCGCGTAGTTGCTGATGAGCGTGTCTCGTGTCGCTGACACCAGAGCAGCATCATCGCCCGAAGTCATCGAGCATACCAGGCGCGCGGAGGTGCAAGGCGCGTCGATGGGCTGGGGAAAGAATTCGGAAGAAGTGTTTAGCACGCCAGCCGCTTGCTGATATATGTAGTAACCCCACAGCTGATGAGAAGAAAAGGCTAGGACGATAAGCCCTCCATCCGTGAAGGGCGATGCACGCAGGACAGTTGGCGCAGAATGATCTGGTTACGGGAGACCCACAGTGTTTGATTACACTTACCTAGCTTGTGAGCGGGGCCGCGAGCTTCTCTCTACGGCCTCCGGCGAACGCTTGATCCTGGCGCAATCCTGGAGCTTTGATACAGAAGTCTCAGGAAGTTCGTTTCGTTGCTCAAGTTCGCAGCCATTTCTTGAAGGGTTCCAAGACATCGGACCCAGGCCAATGTCGCATATGTCAGTCCCGATAACGGAAGTGATTACAGGTTCCAAAGCGCGACCGGCCTGATATCCTCACTGATGTCCTCATGGTAATCAGCCCACGTGGGACCCCGGGCACCACGGATCGACTTGCATGAGATCCAACCCCGATTTGTAGGTGTATCATACATCCGGCTGCAAGCCTCTGCAAGCTCTACCAATGATGGATGCCGCGTTCGTTAATGAGAGAGCTCATCTTCGAAGTTCATGAATTTGATGGTGGTCCTCAAGGTAATGAGTTATGAGGATTTCGCGCTCCGCGCTCGCTATACATCCTTGTTAAGTTTACTTCTGGGCTCCTTCGGCCTTCATTCGCGTCACTGGAAGGGTAGATCAGGCACAGGGAAATCGACCTCCATGTGCTCGGTCTTAGTGGTGTCGACCAGGAGTCAGCGCTTTTTAGCGATATATAGCCGCCGACAACCACTTACATAGCCTCTGAAATATACTTTGCGACCGACGTCGGATATCTCCTTGACTTCCTCTGGAGTGAGCTGCAGTGTTGAGGAGAAGGTAGCGGCAAGCCGTTTAATATTGTCAGAGTTGCCGCTTGTGGAGACGGCGACGGCACCCGTTGCCTTCGTCCAAAGTAACAAGACAGTAGCGGCGTCTATAGCCTCACCTGATACATTCGATCGATCAGCGGGTTCATCATCACTCAAGATCGTTGAACAGAAGGTTACCGCTCTCTTTCGACAATCTAGCAGCAACCCGCTCCAGAGGAGGTTTAATCGGTCCTCCGTCGGATGCTTGATCAAGGGAACGAGAGGCCCGTAAGCTTCAACGACGATGCCGTGTTTCTTCTGTATGGCTAGCACGGGTTTAAGGTGGATAAGGAGGTAGGGATGGTATTCAATCTGCAATTTGTTGTCAACAACCTTATTCTATAACATCGATGATCGTACACATGGACGAACCTGGTTCACGACCGGCTTATACTTGCTGTTAGCAAGGACGAGCTCGAGGTCCTGAGGTCGGAAGTTGCTAACGCCGATGGACTTCAGCTTGCCCTCGTCCTTTAGAGCTTCCAACTCCTTCCATGCCGCCAACAAGTCGCCTTTCGGAGGAACGAAAGCTGGATGGGACCCGTCACTGCTTGCTCCTGTCAAGAATAAAACCTAGTCACGATTGTGGATCAGGAAGAGGACCGGCACTGTTCCCAAGCGTTCGGTGGTCTCCGCAACACGCTGGAGAATGTCGGAAACTGGAACGGGATCGATCCTTGTCCGCAGCCCCACCCTCTTGCGAGACTGTAAAGGGCCTTTGGCAGGTCATTGCGAGGGATTGAGTATGCAAAACACGTTTGGAAGTGATCCAGATCTTCTCCCTAGACACCGAGGACGCAACTTGCGCGACGAACTTTCCTGTCTCCTTCTCATTGTCATAGCCCTGAGCGGTATCGATGTGCCTCAGCCCCGCCGAGATAACAAGTTTTCGGTACCCCACGGGGTCCTTTTTCGCCCCGCCGCTGCCGGTGCTATGCGAAGATCAGCATCTATCGCACTCGACTGCCGGTTCTGCTGTGCACACGTACCCTCAACCCAACCAAGGGATCTCAGCGCCGTCGAGCAACTTGAACGTGGTGGAGGTTGAGGACTATCAATAGCACGCCAAGAAACGCAACGAGATATTGTTCGTTTGCTGACTACGACATGTCACCTCAGCGCGATTGCGCATACCGGGCCGTCGTATCCGATGTTGCTAGAGCTGTCAGACTCATATGCACTTGTACCAAGCTTGGTTGGCTTCAGTACGTTGACAGTAAGTTGATGAAGCCATGCATGCCATACGGTGCAAACGTTCGATGGGTTAGTGATGACGCGGACGATTGGCAGAACGATTGAGCGAAGTGGCCCAAGTAGCGGGGTCACACATCCAGCCGGGAATTATTGTGAAGCACGGCTGTGCGTTCGTTATGCAGTGTATGCGCACAGCGAACTCGAACCCATCAAAGCCAGCATGGAAGAACAGCACAATTCTCCAGGTCCAGGTCCGCGGTAGGTTATCGTTATACCCATGGGGTTTATCGAGCACTCGGGCTTCACGGACTGCGCTCAGAGAAGCATGTTCACAGGGTAACTTCAATTTTAAGATGCTACGAAACTGTTTTATTCGACTTTTGGGACGATATTAGACCTCCCCGTGCTCGCCGCGTACGTCCAAGAGCACGCGCCTGAGCCGTTTGATGGCCTCGACAGCGTCCTTCTCGTCTAGGAGACTGAAAGATGCCCGAACATATGCGGTCTTATCGCCGTTAGGCAAGAAGACGGTGCCGGGCAGCGCGAGCACGCCTTGCTCGAATGCCTTCTTGCGAATGATGCTCTCCGAGTCGCCACCAGGGACGAGAAGCTTGAACCTGCAGTTCGGAATCGAGATCAGCGATAATGTTCGATGACGAGACAGCATTCGATCCCGGCCCACCAAAAGAACATGCCGGCTTGCGGGGGCGTCCACTCGCACAGGCCCGTGAGGTATTCATTCATCGCCCACTCGAAGACTGCGCATTTCTCCCTGTAGAACGCCGATACGTTACGCGTGTGCACAAGGAAAGAATCGTGTCCCCAGGCGTGGAGAAGCGTGTACGTGATCGATTGTGTCAAGCCCACGCATTGTAAGTTGGCAGTCGCCGTCTGTTGGTGTAATGACATTTGCGTCAGGAACCGAAGCAAGGGCGGTGCTCGCCTCGAACTTACGTGCATGTCCATAGCACCGATAAGCGCAGCCGGCCCGCTTACGAAGCCAATTCGCATGCCTGAAGAGAGGATCTTCGAAAGACTATCGAACCGCAAAACCCTCCCCACTTCGGGCTGCTCCGCCTCGAGCGAGAAGTAGGACGGGGGCCGAGGCTCGGGTCCATAGTAGAGGTAGAAGTAAGGGTCATCTGCAACGGAAGTCGATGTTCGAATCTATTATCACCCGCCGGACTTGTCTACACCCACCTTCCAGGATGATGAAACCGTGTTCCCGAGATAGGGCGATGACTTCCTTCCGCCGAGCAATGGTCGCAGTCATACCTGTGGGATTGCACCCATACTACTAGCACGACATTCAGCGCCTGATTGTTACGCCAGAAAATGGTGCGTACTGGTACTGTATATAGAACTTTCGGCTTCGTTTTCCCAGCTGGCCAGTTCTCAAATATATTTCGCAGCGAATGGGAAGAGATCCCCTCCGCATCAGTGTCCACCTCTATGGATCAGGATGAATCTGGGACAACCGGATGGACACACAGTGACGCACCGATCATCTCGCAATGTAGGGCTTGGAACATTGGTATGACGCCTCTGTGATCAATCAAGTGCCCGTTCTGTGTATAAGAAAACCGCAAACACTTACGCATACATGGGCTTCTCCAGGAGGACGGCGTCTCCGCGATTTACCATCGCCTGAACGGCCTGCCGATAGCCCATTGTGATGATGCATCGAATGTGGACTAGACCCGTACCTTATATATCAGGTCCTGACTGCCATTGCCCATAGACACTCTCCAAGTGTCGCCGCTCTTCCGTCCATGCGAGATCTCTTGAAGCTTAGTAATCCAATCGAGTAAGGGAGGGAAACCCGCAGTCGGACCGTATTGCAAGCCAGCTTTCAGATCCGATTCTTCCACCTTGATGGTTCGGCTTTGAGAGGGGTCGGACGGAGATGCTACATCCAATGACATTCCAGTAATAGGGAACGTGATCGCATTCGGCTTCCCGGCGAGGAGCGATATAACACCAGGCGTAGCCTCCAACGGGAACAAGCCCCGAACTGCAGTAGGTTGTGAGATACAGGGATTTGGCTTGTGAATACATTGTCGGGGAACGTACTGGGACTAGGTTTGCGCTCTTTCGCGGCATCGGACAGGTACGACGAGTAGAACTCGGCCGGAAGAGCCCTTTCTTTTTTCGAAGAGGCGGTGCGAACGTTCGTGTCGACATCGTCCTGCACTACAGCGATGCTGTCCGAGTGAGAGACCTAAGCTCGTCGACGACTTAAACACTAGCGGTGCATGGGCAGCGGCGATGTACCTTACCTTATCCTCGCTCGACTTCATGCCATCGCTCGCCATGGTCGTTGGGAATGAACTTGCTTAGACCTGCTTGCACCTTGCCTGCATCTTATGACTCATCTCCGAAGGACCGGTGTAGATGGAGGCACAATCCGATAGCACCGACTGGAGGTAAAGGAGAAATATTTCGTGTATTTTGCACGTGTCTTCCCCTCCGCACCCTGTTCACACTTCGTGCTTGGTCCTCGACTCGGGTCTTGTCTAAACATGCACTAAGTAAGCAGACTCAGAGCATCGATAATTTCAGAGAGTGCTGTCTGATTCCTGCATTCCTTATCTCAGAGAGCAAAGCCAGTCACCGCTTCCCCTGAATCGCAAGAAACGTGGCGTCCACAACGGTGTATATCAGTACTTGCTCCCGCTCCGTACGTACGCTTCTCTGATTGAAGCGCATTGGAAGCGCACTGCGACAAGTTCTCTTGGAACTTCCACCGCGACCTCCTCGGCTGCATCGAGCTCACCTGGCTGCGATCACCACTTGCGAGCATCCCCATCCGTCGACGATGACATCCGCGAGCTGTGTCAACTTCTATCCGAGGTTCGTGAAGACAATTAGCGTTCACACAGCGCCATCATTTTATATTGGGATTCCTTACATCAGTACATACCTATCCCGCTCGTCACGTTTTCTCGTGTGGCCGACGAAATCGGTGCTCGGGTTCAGGTGCTCGATATACACGTTAGTGAACTTCTCGGCTGATGCCGTTGTAGGACTGGGAAGGGTGCCAGTGCTATCGTCGGCTACCACTCAGCGGCGTGAGCACGAATGACCGGAGCTGTATCGCACCCCGCTCCGCTTTCATCCCGACCGTTCCGGCTTCTCCACGACCACGAGCACCGCCGGTTGACTTCGTCTGGGGCAGGACGTCAAATAATGTATGGCGCAGTCATTCCTGTGCTACCAGGCGTTGCGTATAAATGGGGAATTTCACGGATTATCTAACTCACGAGCCCGTGGATTGAACCTTTCTGTGCTGGCTAAACGGAAGAAAGGGACATGACACCCTCTGCCTCCGAAGCGTCTACCCGTACGCAAGGGCCCACCTTTGTCGTACGCAAGAAGAGGCGCATTACCAAGGCATGCGACTTCTGTAAAACCCGTAGAGGTAGGTGCCTTAGCACAGTCAGACCGCAGCGATTTATATTGCTTGCACAGTCAAATGTGTGTACCTCAAATTATTGGCATTGGCTCATTTTCTTGATATTCACCCCAGGTGACGGGGTCTCGTCGGAGAGACCAAGGTGTACGACTTGCCTCGAGTTCGACACGAAGTGCGCTTTCACATCCCTCACCAGGGTGAATCCCAATTACTCGCGCACATGAGCGGCGTATCCTGACTCAGTTTTTCCCAGAAACGCGGACCGCGAGTCAAGTAGGCCGTGGTTTACTGAAATAGCCGCATCGGCTCATTGCTTGCTCATCAGGCCAAAGGGCTTCCGTATCCAATCGGACCAGACGGATCGTGTTGGTCGTTCAATGTTATTCATCAGTTCGTTGTCGACTGAACGCACTGTAGTCCTCATCTTCTCAGACTACTCTCGACTTTGGTTAGTGATGGGCGACAAATGGGGAATTCAGCTTTCTGATCTCATTATATGTCCGCTTAGGCTCTGCAGAGCCAGAGATACCCCCGTATGCTCAAGACGAGTTATCGAGCGAAGAGGAGAATCTTGAATCTTTGTCAGACCTAATGAAGAATCTTCAACTGAACCCACTTCACCCCCGACAGTACTATGGGAAGTCCAGCTCCACTAGAATCGTCAAGACAGCCATGCTTTCCGATCTCGAAGCATTCAAGAGGGCTCGCGAGGCTAGACGCCCACAGTATTGGATAATAAACTCTGTGCATATCATCTTTACTTCATCGATGTCATCTGCTCACTTCTGGCCGACAGTGGGAGATGGACGATCTCCGCGCGTATGCTGAAACGGTTTCAACTAGTCCCTACTTTTTCCCGGAAATGGATCTGTTGCTTACCCTCGTCGATCACTACTTCGCGGAGACCAACAACTTTTTACCTATTCTTCATCGACCGTCGTTCGAGCGGGACGTTACCGACGGACTTCATCTTCGCGACAATGGATTCGGCGCCGTAGTACTCCTGGTTTGCGCGATCGGCTCTCGATACGTGGATGATCTTCGGGTTCTCCTCGACGAGTCCTCGACGTACTCTGCGGGCTGGCCTTGGTATAATCAAGTCCAGATGGTCCGCAAGTCCTCCCTGGTGCCCCCTCGCTTATATGACGTCCAACAATATTGCGTGAGTCTTCTTTGTCGATATCCCGTACCTTGTCTCATCTTTTCAAAGTTAGCAGCCTTGTTTCTCGGGGGCAGCTGCCCTCCTCATGTGCAATGGAATATGATTGGCCTCGGAGTGCGCTTATGTCTGGATGTTGGCGCTCACCGCAAGATGGTCTACAAAAGCGTCGATGAAGGCCAGATCATGGAAGAGCAATGGAGACGTGCATTTTGGTCGGTGCCAGATATTTGTCCAGTCCACTACGTACTCATCCGTTTTACTGCAGGGTTCTTGTACAGGCTGATAGGTCGGCGGCCAGTGAGATGGGCAGGTCATTAGCCGTTCTCGATGAAGAGTGAACTTATCTGCTCTTGCTTCCAATCTGTCGCTCATTGCCTGATAGCATCGACGCACCTTTGCCACGCGAGTGCGATGACCAGTATTGGGTAGCATCCGACGGCTCAGGCTTTTTCCAGCAACCCCCGCACAAGCCTTCTGTCGTCGCATACTTCAATTGCTTCGTCCAACTGAGGACGATACAAGCTTTCGCAATGAGAACTCTCGTAAGATTCTGAACCGCTTGCGGCACACCTCATTAACGATCAGCTAGTTTTCGCCGACCAGACCGAGGAACCATGATTGGGAACAACGCATGGTTGCTCAGATCGACTCATTGCTGGCCAAATGGCTGGCTACTATCCCATCCCATCGTACGTGAAATGAGTTATGATTTCGTGAGTAGGAGCGCTGAATCTGTAGAAGTGCGTTGGGATCCAGCCATCCAGGACGATATATTCTTTCGTCAATCAGCGATTCTCTACAATGCATACCACTATATGCAGATCGTTGTGCACCGTCCATTCGTGTGCCCCAGCCGCAAAACGTCACCTCTGGGTATATCTTCGGTGGCGATCTGCATCGGGGCCGCGAGAACCATGTCAAGGATTCTTGAAGTGGTGCAGCAACGTGTTTCTACTCCCGTCAGCCACCTGATGGTAGGTGACTCTTTTTACTATCACAGTATACTCACACTTTGAAACTGTAGCTCCCCGCATATACCGCCGCTATCGTTCTATTGCTGGCTAGATCGGCTGACGAGACGATCCCGCCACAGGATATGTATAGTGTTCATATCTGCATGGCTGTGAATAAGCGCTGCGAAACGAAGTGAGTGTATTTATTGTATTGTATGACGTGTCGCTGAGGACTTCTTGGTCAAAGATGGTATCTGGCTGGACGAACATGGTACGGGGATTGTCACTGTACTCAAGGAATGTTGAGAATGAGTCAACGGTCTACAGGGACCTACTCAATGAGATCATACTCGCCACACAGCTCAAGTCGCATTCACCGTCATCGACGCCCAACGTCAATGTATTAAACAGGACACCCCCAGCATGCAATACACAGCCTGAGCCCATTCAGGCTGCCGCGCAGGGATTGCCCATGATGAACCAGTTCATCCCCATTGACTAGTCAGTGGAGCCACTTTTGGATGTCGCTTCGTTTACTCAATACATGGTTCAGTGCTATGTCATCTGGCCTTCCATCTGGTGAAGAGCTCATAAGGTGCTTTGGACCGTATGAATCCCATTCCGATGATCCAGCGGTTATCTCGACATCGCTACCCGGGGTGCCACAGGTACAACAGTCACGACTTTCGCCACCGGCTCTCAGGTCAAACTACTACAACTTCAGTTTGGAGCCAATGTTCCCCGAAGGCCCCTTGTCAGGCGGTGCATTCGGTTATCATTTTCTCCCGGGCTTCTCCTCCGGATACGAGCAACAGTCTGCTACCCAGCCCTGCCTTCAATTGACGGGGAGACACCAGCAGGTCTCGAATACGGGGCAGGCCCTCAGGCTGGGCGACTTTGAGAGGGAGATGTGAGCGCCGTTCGTCCTGTTAAGCCCCATATATTGAAAATTGAATCCGCTCTGCTCCTCAGGATATCCTGGCCGGACCAAGATACATCCAGTGCCAGCACTCTGCCTGAATACGCCTTATCGTCCCAAGTGTCATCAACACAATGAGTCGCTTGGGGCGTCTGAGATGAGATGAGTACACACGATAATCGGATTTTCCTCGTTCTCTCCTATAGCACATATTTTTGCCTGTCATTGGTACGCTGCATCGTAAAGATCCGAGACTGCCATGCATAAGGATGCTACTGCCGAAATCCGCGATGATATGTCCCATTGTGATAGTAGAAGTACAACAAAATGAGTCGTTCCGAAACGAGTCCCCCCTCCCCCCCTTTACGACGTCAGGTTCCACTCCATATCCGACGGTGCCCGTATCTCGAACTTGGTCTCCAATGTCACCTCCTGCCCCGCCTCGACGTCACACGCCCACTCGAATCGGCCCTCCTTCTCACCTCCTTCGGGCGCCCATCGCACCTTGCCGAACGCGGCCGCCACCTCCTGGCCTGCCTCCGCCTCCGCCAAGCCCTCAGGCTTGCTGAGGATGACCTTCGCTCGGCCCTTGAAGTCGTCCGCCGCGAGCGGGATCGCGTCGCGCACGACGACGTCCTTCGCCGCAAACTTGTGCTTGTTGGTGACGGCGATCTTGGTCGTATACGTCGTGCTGTTGTGCCGCTCGATGAAGGCGCCGCCTTGACCTTGCTTCGTGGTCGAGTCGCGGACGTAGGTGATGCGGACTGCCGGGTCAGGGCCGAAGGTGCAGTGGAAGGTGTCGCCGGCGTCCACGTTCTGCACGATCACAGGTCAGATCAGACGGTGCTGAGCGGAGGATCACGACGCGAATACGCGCCTGGATGGACGTCTTGGAGACGAAGCTGTCGTCCATGAAAACGCTGACCGGACCGGAGAGAAGCCTGTAATCGCTGATGTTCTTGACTGCGCACTGGTAGCCATAGTCAGCCTGGGGCGAAGCAACCCGGTGGTGGTGCTCCACGCTGCACGCACCGAGAGATACACGACCGGCTCCACGCGCGGCACGGCGACGTAGGACGTCTTGGCTTCGAACGTCAACGACGCGATCGAAACCTGGTGCGATTCGCCATCGCTCGGAATGCTCGACTTGCCCTCGACCGCGTAACTGAGCGACAACGCGCTCTCCGACACGATCGTCCCAGGCTCCGTCATCATCGCACGTCGCTCGTGCTCCCGTTCCCGATCGCCGCCTCCCGCCATATCGTCGTCGAATATGGCGAAGCCCATGTCATCGTCCGACTCTTCGTTCGCCTCGGCTGTCGCCGTCGCCATGCTCGTCTTCCGCGCCGACAATCTGACCATGGGCCGTATAACGGAGGGCGGAAGGGCGCCGGGCGGGGGCGGAAAGGGAGGGGATGGCGCCCGATAGACCGGCGTGACGCGCCAGGAGGGAAGGGCGGGAATGCCCTTGGCGAAGGTATCCGAGGTCGCGGTGCTGAGCACGATCGCGGCGTCCGTCCAGTCCTCGCCCGTCGACTGAGTCACACGCGCGCGATACTTGAGCGTGACGGACGTTCCCGGCTGCCCGTTCTCCGTGGTGGCGTACAGATCGTAGGTGCTGTTCCACCAGGTGTTGGTCGAGACTGTGCGGGAGTGTGATCAGAGCGAGTACGAGACGCGGAGGTGATATGTTTGCTCACTGTACGTGAGTTTGAGGTGGGCAGGTCCGTCGTGATCGGCACCGATGACCATCGTAACCCTGGCGTCGGTACTGCCCTTGCGCTCGCGGTGCCGCTCGGTCTCGAGCTTGATCTCCTCCTCTACCTGCTGAATCTTGCCGTCCAGCTCGAGCACCGCGGCGAGGTTGAGCTTGCTGCGCTGCATGAACGCCTCCATGTACTTGACCGCGTCCAGGGGCGCGACGTGCTCGCTGGAGAGCGTGTCCGCGTAGCCGGAGAGCATCTTCGCCTCTTTTTCGCGCATGCGTTTCTCGGCCTGGAGCGCTTGCTGCTCGGTCCGGAGGGCGCGGATACGCGCCTGATTGTTGGGCGCGGCGGAGGAGCGATTCTTCTTCGGATCCCAGGTGCAGGTGACGTCGAAGAGGCGGGCGTCGCCGAGGCCGGTGACGCGAACGGAGTCGAAGTCGACGGAGGAGGACAGGCCGAAGATCTCAATCTTGTTTTGGCCGACCTGAGAGACGGGTTTAGGACGTGATCGACGAGGGGTCAGAGGATGACGGGATACCTTCAGGTCGACGTTGAAGGTTCGGACGATCTCCGCCCTGTTGCTCTTGAAGATGGTGACGGCCTTGATAGGGTGTTCGCCTGCGTCGATGACGAGTCCTTGGACCATATTGTAGGATAGACAGAGGAGGGAGATCGATGTGGAGGGAGAATTTGCGAGGCTTGGCGCGACGTGTGGACATGTCTTTTATATATTCTTGTGCTGTAGCGCAGCAGTCGACATCAAAGGGAAGATATCCGGGTAAAACGGGCCTGGGGTATGAGTCCGTATGACTCTAGAGTGACTCCAGACGGCGCCGGCCATGTTCGGTCCTATACAAAAGCTGTACATATACATGAGAATCGTGTTCTCGAGGTTGGAGTCTGAAGAACGTAGATCAATCAGACGAGCGCCTCCCAAGCTGGCTTGATCATTGGAAGATATGCAGGGATCAGATCTGCAGATCTGGGACAGTCGGTGGGAGCGTGATTGCGGGGTCGAAATGCGGCGGTCTGTCCCCGTCGACCATGACGGCGTCGGGGCACGTCGAGCAGGTCAATGTATCGAGCACGTCGAGCGCGTCGTCGACGGTGGAAGTGCAAACATGTTGTGCGGACGCTTGACCGCCGTTGGCGAGCTGGGCTGGTGATCTGATTCTGAAATCCACGCGGATGGTGGGTGCCGAGAAGCCGAAGCGCTCCCGATAGATATGTTGGGTGGATTTGCTTGGAATATATTGGGCCTGGTCTCTCGATCACACTCGTTGTTCTTGTACTCTGGAGTGTATACTAGCTCTGTAGGTTGCGATACTAATGCACCGCGCCTGGTCGACGTATCTCGACTCGAGTGTGCTCGGGCGAGGCGGGCCAGCACCGTTGACGTCGGTAGGTCTTAGTCAAGCGCCGTAATATTCCCACCCGCCCACACTCACCGCCTCTCCTTCAATATTTTGCCATTTGTTTTATAGATGGATCACAACCTGTACGTGCCCTCCGTCCAATTCTCCGCGCGCGCTAACGCGGTGTACGGAAAACCAGAGGCGACTCGCGACGAGGGTCTGTGATTTCCACCGCCTCCCAGACGACGTCGACCCGCCACCTCATGGACGCCGCCAGCAGCCCGCTCGAGCCCCCGTCTGTCCCGTTCGCCCTCAGGTCCCGCTCCGAGTCGATGCAGTCCCTCTCGCCCAGGCCCGACCAATCCCTCCTCAATCGCTCGGGCAGCCCGTCGCTCAGCGTCAACTACCTCCCCGCCAAGTTCTCTCCCCTCACCAACGTCCGCAGGCGGAACAAGGGCGGCGATGTCGACCTCCCCAAGCGAGGCGGCGGCCGTGAGGCCTTCCGTGCCGGCGAGGCGCGCATGCCCGCCGCCGGCGACGAGGATTACGACGGCGTCCAGGGCGGCTTCTTCGGTGGTAATAAGGAGGGCGGGCGCACCAAACAACGCCTGCGGTGGACCAAGTTCAAGTGGATCCTGTTCGTTGCCAACACCTTCGTACGTCGTCGTCGCTCGCCTGACCATGTCCATGCCTTCGACCAACACTGACCACCCACGTTTCGCATAGCTCTCCATCTACTCCCTGACCGGTCTCATCTTCTGCCTCCTAACCTGGTTCAATGTCTGGCACCACGCCGACGTCCTCCGCGTCGGCAATCGGCCCGAGCTCATCCTCTCCACCCTCGCCGCCTCCGCCGGCATCGTCACCTCCCTCATCGGCTGGGCCGGCATCCTGCTCAACAACCGCGGTTTCCTCGCCGTCTACACCTTCTTCCTCTGGATCTGCTTCGCCTTGCTCGTCGTGCCCGGCTACCTCACCTACAAGCGCCGCACCTTCAACCTCGAGGGCAAGGTCAACGCCGAGTGGTCCCGCGACCTTGGCACCGACGGCCGGCTTCGGATCCAGAACCAGCTCGCCTGCTGCGGTTACTTCTCGCCCTTCGTCGAGGCGTCCATTAGCGCGACGTGCTACGCGCGCAGCGTGTTGCCCGGGTGCAAGGGCCCCTACATCCGCTTCCAGCGCCTCGTCCTCGAGCGGTGGTACATCGCCGCCTTCTCCCTCGTCCCGCTCCACGTCGCCATCATCATGGCCGGCCTGCTCTGCTCCAACCACGTCACCTACCGCTTCGGCAAGGGCATGATGCCCAAGGCGTACAGGTTGAGCTTGAACTCGATGGCCGTCATCATGGACAACTACGCCAAGTCCGTCGCTTCTCTTCTCGCGACAGAGATCGTCGCTGACCGTTTTTCCACAGCCAACTCGCGGAGCAGTACGGCACTGACGTCGCTTCGGAGGTGCTCTCCCGCTCGCGATCGAACCTCAACCTGCCCCAGGTGCCGTACGCGTCGAGCAACGCGGCCACCGACGGCAGCAAATACGATCTACGCGGATGAGCTAACGCGTTCATGATATCATCTTGGGAGATACGAGGGGATGGTACGTCTATCCACCTGCCCCTCCTCCATGTGGCTGCATTTCCTGATGGAACGACAGTCTACAGTATGGCACGGCTTGCATTGGCATCGCACTGGCTCACGGACCTATCTAATATATACCCAGCGAGATATAGCATACGATTCGAACACACTCTTTTTGATCGCCGTGGTGAGACTGCGTGTGTTAAGCTCAAGTTCACATACAACAAAACTCCTGGCGCCCGCGTGTCCAGCGCATTCGTGAGTTGTACATGACCAAGAGGGATCTTACCACGGAGGAAGATTAGTGCGTACGATACCTCCTCGGGTGACAGTGCTATGTATGCCGGGATTTCTCCTCATGCACTGAGGTGCAACGAAAGAATACGCATCAAGATATATACCGTAAGAACTAGAAATACACGCTACAGTAACTGCACAACAGAGCAACAACAGATCATCGTATATGCGAGAATATATCGCGCTAAGCTGAAGAAGGCGCGCCAGAATCGCGTTCGAATACGAAAGGTCACGAATGTAGGGAGTTTTCATCCGAGCTTCGGGGCAGGGGAAGGGGCATCGGGAGCACGTCGGGGGAGTTGCCGGGTGGTCGAGTCTCGAGCTGGACCTTGAACGAGTCGCAATCTTCGCAGATGACCTCGAGCGGGCCGCTGGTCATGTACGCGATCACGGCGTAGTCGTTGATAAACTCGGTCCGCGGCTCGTGGATATCGACGACTTTGACTCGGGCTTCGAAGTTTCTAGACGAAAGGTCAGTACGCGTCGGGGGTACATACGAAGGAAGAATTCACCCTCCGTTCCCGTAGATTAAGTGCTCCGAAGGAATGTCGAAGGGGGCGTATTTGATGTCGACCTCGACGTCTGTGTCTCCGTGAGGGGAGTAGAGTTCGACGTTGTCTGCGACGTTGATGCGGCCGGTGATGTTGGCGTGGGACGTGGCGAGAGAGATGTTGCGCGCATAGAGTGACTATACGCGAGAAGTTAGCACCTGTGTATACGCCTTGCGTCGCAGGCTAATACGTGCCTCGATCAGGATCGGCGCGTCGGACGATTTGAGGGAGACCGAGGATATATCGACGCTTCGCCCCAGGTCGCCAACGCGGTGCGAAAATCCGGGTAGGTTGGTGGCGAACTTGTCCAGAGGAAAGGGTATGTATCCATCGGCTATGATGGGGAGTAGGACTGTGATGTGATGTTGCGGTATATGCTCCTTTGACATCGCTTGCGACCATCGGTCAGGGGTCTGCAAGATAATCAGCGGGATCGACAAGGCATGGCCGTCAATGGCCACTCACGAATATCCCAAGGTCGACTTGTCCCACTTCGGAGCGAAGAAGACATATTGATGACTGCATGAGCACGTCCTTGGACCGATGGGGGGCAGCCACCAGAACGATGGCCGCGTTATCATGGTGGAATGAAGGCAAGATTTCGATGCTGCCGCTTGCCGACGATCCGCGCGAGTATATGCGCAGCGAATTCGATAGGTTCGAGATGGGGATGGTGAAGGAACTCAGCGCCGAGGGCAACTCTGGTGCGTCCCCAGAGCTGAAGTGGTCGTCCCAGAAGTAGTCGGCGCCTTGGATGCACCGTAGCTCCTCGCCATCGGCAGGAGTGGGACGCGCGAGGACTTCCTCATCCTGGTAAAGAGAAATACGAACGCGTCAACGTGGAGGTTTTACACCGAAAAATAAACCCCCGCGCTCACTGCATGTTGCGGCCCCGTCGCCGATAAGCTCTGGTACAGAACCCACAGCAAGCAAAACAGGAGGACCACCCACACATACGCGCGACACAGCCGCCTCGCCGCAGACTGTCCGCGATAAATACCGCCCTTGCCCGGGCGAGGAGCATAACCCAGGAGCGGTGCGGTCTCCTCGTAGCGCGGGTCGGCGCCGCGGGGCGCGTAGGCGGGAGGCGGGTTGGGCGACGGGCTGCGGGAGCGCCTCAGGCCCTCCTCGGCGAGCTTGGACCCCAGATCATGGTCGTCATCGAGCAGGATCACCATGTCATGGACGCTGCGCGGCGGTGGGAGGCATGTCCTTCTGCGAGAGGCGGCGGCGCGGCACAGGCTGCGCAGATGGGCGCCCTGGCTGCGTCCGCAGGCGGAGCCGATGAGTCGGTCATATTCGGCTTGGCGCGGTGCCGCGGCGGCGGGATGAACCAGACGAAAACATCGTTGGTCGCGACGTCGACTACACCACAAACTCGTCGGTCATTTGGAACCACCTTCGACCACAAGTGCCCCGCTATTCCTGGCCGCGGCGTGGAATAATATATGATATCTCGATATTTCCTGGCGACTAACTTACCAGTGGGATGGTATGATCACGTGCTGGCATTCTGACTCGCAACTCCCGGCCAGATGGGTCGTTGTTTCCTATCACCGTTGTTACAAGGCTGCCATCGAATCGCTCGCATCTCGTCCGGCAGAATGTTCTGACCGCATGAACAATAGTCACTGGCAGGGGACTCCCTCTCGTAAGGCGGAGTGAAGGCGGTCTTGCCACCATCTCTACCAACGCCGACCATGTGTCCCAGGGCCGAGGCTTGAGCGAACGTTCATAGGCTTGGCTTACTGCAACACCGGATGACGCCTATCTTCGCATATGATGGTGCATTTTGGTTCCTGGCTTACAGCATTTCATGACAGCTCCGGCTGTACTAATCTAATGTTTTGGTGCGCGATTTCGGGAACACGGACACACTACTAATTGCGGATCTCAACCAACACGCTGTGGTATCACTTGATGGACTTGAACCAAAGGGCCACCCTTGGGTATATTTCAACAACATACAAGGCTTATCCGCACGCACGGTAGTTCCCAAGCTATGGGCTCATTGTGCCAGTCTCACCATCATTTCTCGAATCGCCTCCGCGACCACTTTCTTGAACAGGCCGAAGATGCTCACGGCGTGTATATGGCCCTGCTGATAGAACGGCCTTCCCATGGCAAATCATGACCGTGTCACCACCGACGGCGATACCACGGCCTGGACTTGTCGTCGATCACCAACTTTGATACCGTTATCTTGGACAAACGGAAACATCAACGCGATAACAGAGAGTACACTCCCTAGCATCGACACTGTGCTAGATGTTGGCGCATCCGTCAACTTGAATGTCTATTCACAATAGGTTTCATCAATTTCATACATGTCAATTCAGCCAAGGCGCGAGTCTTCGATCAGAGGCCCAGCCTTGTACGATACGGCTGAGGGTTGGAAGGATGTGTCAAGTTTGGTGTCCTATCTCCACCGCAGGTTGTCTTGACTCTTCTATTCAGAGGGATCATGCACACGCACCACTATGGCGGTATCCTCCGGACGGCCATGTCGCTCTAGCATTCCAGAGCGCACTAGAGCTCGACGCAAGATGTTCTGGGCTCGACGAGATGCTGTATTGCAAACGCTGCCTAAGACAACAGCGACGACCGCGCTTCTCAAATGTATGACATACTCCACGCACCTACATTGATCCTAGCAGGTCCTACGCGCGTTCCCCTCCCCTCCGGGACATGCCGCAGGGCTCGGAAGGTAAAGAGCTTATTCTTCGGTCCTTTTAGATGCTGTGGCGAGCTACGGAGGATTGTCCTCTTTTGCACGCACCTCTGGGAGACGAAGATACCAGCATTAGCCCCTCACGGGATTCGCGACGACCTTCGAGTACTAAGATGGTGCCCGGTGGTCTTCATTTCCATCCCACGCCACGATGTCGATGCATCGACGCCTGCGAACGCAGGTAGAGAGTCCATGCTTCTCTACACAGTGGACGAACGGATGTACCGCCCTGTCGCCGCGTTCCGGAAGCTTTGTGTCGTATTGTTGGTATAACGACTGACTTCGCAGTGGGACTCACGCGGTACCGCGCGGCTCGTTTCGATTGCATTGAACGGTAAAGGACTATGCTTCGCAACGCAGCTCGCATTGAGTTTGGGGGGCAGAGTTCTTATTGCGAGACTACGTGTGATCTCCAGGGTGGTGTCGTTCATTCTGTCGCACGTACAGTGATTTGCGTGTGTGTCGGTTATATAGGATACCAAAGCTGTAACTAATATCGGTGATAGTATAGATAGAACGCAGCTATATCATTCACTCGTTCAAGGAGTTGTCTAACATTGTGTGCAGTCGGCAATATTGCGAAGCGGCTCCCTTGAGTGCCGTGGACACCGTTGTAGACGGCAGATGATTGCTCCAGACTGTAAACATGTAAATGTATGGCTTCCCGGCCCCTTCTCCAGATGAATTGTCAGCGACCGGGTGGCGGACCGTTAAATGATTACTATGCAGTAACCACATGCAAGGGAGATGACTCCAGTTCTTCCGCTGTACGCCTCTTCTGTGCTGTATCATGTCAACATTAATCAGAGAATTCTGGTGTTCACTTTTTGTTGGAAACAAAGGGTTGTTCGGAAAGCTGCCTAGGGTAAGAAAACGAGTTAGCTGGTAGATCAAAAGGATCCTTCGAACCGGGATCGAACCAGTGACCTTGGGATGACAAGTAGTAACCATTACAGTCCCACGCTCTTCCAGCTGAGCTATCGAAGGTTTACTTTGGTAGGCGTTTTACGTTATATAAGCCTCAAACACAGCATCATAGCCCAATGCCTCCCCCGTCGCTCAACCGCTAGGCAAGAATGGTCACTGACTGGAACAAGCGTGTGATTTCACTCGACTGGAGGTCTCGTGTGAGAAAAGAAGATTCGTCGGGGGAATCGAGTGTGCGAATTGCGAAAGCAAACGGGACCACGGCAGTATACTTAACGCTTCGCTAGGTGGTAACAGGTCCTCCGTTCTTTGACATGGTATGGTCCGTCGAGAAACTCAGACATTGGAGGATGCTGGATCAGATGAACATCGTCGTCGTCTCTTGGAAGAAGTGCGAAGTAGGAATCAAACCCACCGGAATCACTCCACAACGTGGATCCCAGGGAATTGCCAGCCTCTTCGCTCGCTCACCCGAAGGAGTCCTACGAAACGTTAGCCTGAGAGGTGGTTCAGTCATCTGTACTCTACGCCTTCCCAACGTTCATCTTCGCGAAGACCTCGATTGCTGCGGCGGGGTCCCAGGGCTAACAGGTCTTGTGCCCAGCGCAACGCTTCGCCCGCCACGCGCTGAGCTACGTAGGGGAAATGTGGAGCGGTGGACCTGCAGATGACCTGTCCCTTGGGGCTTCCATGGTTCCAGACAGCCTTCATTGGCTGGTGCCGAGCGGGAACAAAACAAGCGAGGTTGCGCACTTATCAAAGCGAAGGCTAGCTGCGGCATGATTCGCGCTCGGTCGCAATTGACGGGCGTTGTTTCGCCGACGGAGGGTGTATGACGATAGGGGTCGACGCCCGATTTCAGCGGAAAGTCGGCGAAGATATCATCTGGTCGGGTTGGAGCAGGAGCGCGCTGATTGGCCGGCTGGTCCTGCGAGCTCGAGGTTACGCTCCACTCTCATCACCAAAAGCAATCTCGGCAACTCACCATGCCGGTGGATTGAGGTGGCGTTTCCCGTTCACGCTGTTATCTGCCTTTTTCCGAGTGAAAGCGCGTCGATGATGTGGTGGTAGTGGCACCCACAAAAGAGCGCGCGCGCCATCAAGCTGATCGGCTCCGTAACACGTTCTTCGAGAAGTCACTGCTCCTGTCATCTTTAGCAATCAACTGCATCACCACCGAACGGGTTAGCCAAGTTGATCTTACAAGGAAACGGGAGGGGAAGGTATGTAGGCAAGGAGCAAACCTCAAAGGATGAGATTGCAAAAGTGTCTCGGAAAAGTATGGTGAGAGCTGAAAACACGATGTCACTGTGCAGAGGAGCAATCTGAATGACGAAGCGCAAGAACAGGAACAATCATATGACGCTTTGAGGTACGAAGAGGGAGGAGATGCGCAATCAGAAAGAACTCCACTTCAATGAGGTGTGAGGGTTTCGGCAACTTACTATACCCACTTATTGATGCTCAACACGACCCTTGACGCCATTGGGTAGATTACTATCAAACATGCGGATAGTGCGCGCAGCATTTGATGTCTTCCCGGTTCACAGCGAAAGCTGGCAGACGTACTGTACGGTTATGCACAACGAGCCCCCGTGTAAAGAACCAATCGTAGCAGCCACCGTCGAGCTGATCGGTAGAGCGGTATATCGTCCATGAGCGTACACAACGCCATTCGTTGCGGATCAAATTAGTCGTTTCTAGTCGCGAAGCACGAGAAGACCGAGTCCGGTGACACCCCTCCATGACGCTGTGTACGAGAGAAGGGTGCTTAGCCATGTATGCGTCTTGGATCACCTGTTCGACTGCAAGTACAGCGGGAAACTGCCTAGAAGCCGAATATGCCCAAGAGGAAGAGAGCCGCGTTCTGCCGCAGTCCATTAGCTATGTAAGACGGTGATCGCTGAGCGGACGTGGAGCTTCTACAACCGCCCTATGAGGAGCTGTGTGAGCCCATTCAACGGGCTTCGATGGCGCAGAAGGGGCTACATGAGATAGTGAAGAGGCGGATGCCGACACCGTGGTGACCAGGTGACGAGCCGGAGGTCGGTTGCTAACGACACCATCGTCCGGGACGTTCTTCCGTGTCGCGTTATCGGAAGTCGGAATGCGTCCGGCGTGGGTTCTTGTCCATCCAGGAAGGGTTTCGCGGGACATTGTCCTCCGCATGCACGAGACCAAGCAACGCGTGTCGAGAAGGTGAAGGAAGAAGCAGTCGTATTATGAATATGAGGAAGACGTGACATCAGATGAGACGGCCAGCGACGAAAGACGAGGGTACTAGTCGGATGCGATAACGATGTGATTGGGAGCAAACGGTAAGCAGGACTGGACGATGCCTATCCAGGGTCGGATGAGATGGTACATCTCCCGTGGACACACGAATCGTGATTTTGTGGCGAGCTAGCAGCATGTACGATATCTGCTCCAGCATGGCAGCCCGGCGGCCCATGGGAAGATAGCGACTTTCGGATGGTAGACTGAACGCCGTCGTGAGACGCCTATCGTCGTTCGAGTGGCCGGAAATACAAAGGCCGACCTCCTATCGCCTGCTTTTGCTATGGCTCGTCAGCATATTCCATCCGCCGGTGCAAGATCATCGCGAAGGGCCAAGGAGTACTTGCTAACTCCAAGCACGCCACAATAGACCCAGCTCCCTAAGGACGAGGCTCTGTATGTAGGGATAAGAGGGCGAAATGGACGAAGCACGCGCGCTTCGGTCATGGAGTCGGATGCACGACGCACCCCGGATGTCATCGTGACGCCACCGTTCGGACTGAGGCCGAGTGCTGGCCTCGCTGCTGCGCATATCTGACTCCGACCGGGACGGCTTCTCGCTTTCGTTCATCCTATCGGCCTTGTGCGCTCGCGTCAGTCGCGTTCGCGACTGGGGCACCATGTATGCGGGATACCCATAATTAGCGATAGCCGTGTTTGTGCACTGGAGCGTGTGGTAGACCGAAGGGGTTGGCTGTATGCATTGGCTGTGAACGTTTGCACGAGCGTTCCGGAGATAGCGCAAACGGAGAGCGTGCAGAGTCGCGCAGTCGCAGGACGGACGAGCAAGCCCCGTCGTTTTGGTTCGGGACGTGCGCGCGCGCGTGGGGGCTCGTCGACCAGAAGTTCGGGCATGTCTCTGTCGTGCATTGGTTGACAGCGGGAACGATCGGGAAGCGGGAGAAGACGCCGCTCCCATTGCAAACCGCCGAGCTTGATTTGGGATCAACAATCAATTGCAACGGGAGCCTCAGGAATCATCGAGATGGCGCGGCGAACTGCAGGGGCAATATGTGTACGGTGGAGCCTGCGTCCGATCAACCCGCTTGTACAGCGGCGAATGCTCTCCCTTCGCCGAACTCCTTCGTCGTTGCGCCTTTGTTCTTGGCTTCTTTCCATTATGTTGGAGGAGGTCGAGCGCCGGAGTGAAGGTCTGCTGATCACAGGGGCGTGTAAAGGTACCGCTGCCGCGGTCTCTCCAACTCCGCCTGCGCGGCCCATGATTGGTCCGTGCGTCCAGTTCGGGCAGCTTCGTGCACCGATTTGGACTGGGCTGGGTACCGTTACGGTGCATGCAGACGGTACGAAGGACGATGGCGTCGATAGGAGGGTATGTCGGCGTCCACCAGACCGCCGGGGAAGACGGAGCGAATTTGCCGTCGCGCTCGACATGTATGGCAACGATCTTCGCCGGGTCTTCGCCGTTGCGCGCAACAGGGGGAGACAGGGGGAGCGCGAACGTGGGGTACGGCACGCGATCGGGCGCGTGCCTTACGTGAGACTGTGGTTTATCGCGGAGGGCGGTGTGTGTGACAGGGAAGCAGGGCGGGTACGTAAGCGGGTGAGACCGCAGCCGAAATGGGCCGCGGTTCGCTGATCTAGGCGAGATCCGATCGGGAAGACGTGCTCGCTGGGGAGATAGCGTCCACGGGGCGTCGTGGTCGGCGTCGGCGGTCGTCGTTCGAGAGCGGGCGCGAACGAGAACAACGGCGGCGGGCTGGCGGGCAAGCAACGAGAACAAGGTGTCGGATCGCCAGGGAGACGGAGACAAGTTGTAGAGATAACGCCGGCGGAGAGGCTAGATCTGGCAGAAGCGAACCGTGCTTGGACGAGGCGCGCCTGTCCCGATACACACAAAAGCTTGCTTCAGCCACACCTCTCGCTCTCTCCCGCACCACCGTCCCCACCCCTCACCATCATGTCCGCTGCCACCATCCAGCACGACGAGGCCGGTCCTCACCCCGCCTCCGCCGCCCATGGCCTCACCCACCCCTTCCCGCTTTCCGCCCTCCCGACCATGTCTCCCCGTCCGCACCCGCATACCCCCCTCCGCGCGCTCTCCGCCCAACACTTTGCCGCGCTGCACACCGCCGCCGCCACGAGCCACGCCCCGGACAGCGTCCTCTTTCCCTTCCTCCACGGCGTCGAGGGCGACAACCGCGCCCAGAACGTCTTCTTCGCCGGGACCAGCGGCGCCGCCGAGGGTTGCGTTCGCGTCCCGCGCTTCAGGGGTCTCGTATGGGTCGCCGCAGACGAAGACGTCGAGGTGGGCGAGCTGCCTGACAACTCGGACGATGAAGACGAGCTGGAGAGCGAGTACGATTCGGACTTGGACAGGAGCGAGCCCGATGCGTTCGGTATGCCGATGGACATCGACCCGCCGGCGGACAGCGACCCGAACGCAGGCGCTCACATGCATCCCGAGATGCAGCGCAAGGCCGACGCGCCAGATGACAACAGCATCCCTAGCTCAATTCCGGGACCGGTGAACATTATCGACTATACCTTCCCATATGGCTCGACGACGACCGGCAACCACACACACGATCGCCGCGACTCGACTGCCTCACATGCTTCCTTCGCGTCGACGGGAGCATCCTCTGTCACCTCCTCTCTCTTTGACTCGCAGAGTTTGGGCACCGCCTCTACCTCCTTGACCTCCTCGTGTGCCCCGGACTCGCCCTGCGCCGAAAACTCGCAACTTGCTCCTCTTCCCGAGAACGAGCAGTTGCAGAACATGGGATCCCACACTGGATCCGCCTCGCCTCCTCCCTTGCGCCGGCCTCCGATCCTCACTTCGTCCTTCCGCGCCCGCGAGCTGCTCAAACGCGGCCCCAAGGGTTTCGAGGGCGCATTCGTTCCGCCGCGCGTCCCGGACGGCATCTCGCTGCGCAACTTTGGCATTCAAACTGTACGTTTAAAGTTCGATTACGCGTGACGTGACGTTATCTCATCTGATGACAGGCCGTCTACGCAACCTTATCGGATATAGTCGTCTACTCGCCTTATGGAGACACCCGCGCCGCCTACCTCCTCGCGGAGAAGTTTAAACGTGCGGTGGAAGCCAAGTACGAGGAGCGCCTGGCGCGGATCCGGGCGAGTGATGCCCTCACCCCGGAAGAGGCCAAGTCGCGCGAAGACGACCTCGTGCTCTACCATGTGTTCGTCCTCGACGCGAGCCCGCAGGAGTTGGAGGAGGTTCTGCCGCACCTGGTTATCCGAACCGAGGACGAGGAAGAAGAACAGGACAGCGCGCTCGCGAGCACGCTGGCCAGTGCCGCCGGCCAGGCGGAGGGCGCACAGGAGGGCAAGCATCGCAGGGCGAAGAAGGCCAACACGGTCAACTTTGCACAGAGGGAGAAGGATGAGATGCGCGAGCTCACGCGTGCCAGCGAGATCGTGTCTGTGTTCCCGGCTGCTGAGGTCGAAGAGCGCGAGAAGGACGCCACGTCTGGCTCGACGACCGCCAGCAAGTGGGATTCTTCCGTAGGCCAGATCTTTCTAGGCAACTCGAACGACGTGCCCATGCCCCCGTCCGAGTACTGCCCGCTCCCACAGCCGCGTTCGTCAACGCCGCCGACGGAGGAGGACGACGACCCGTTCCACTACGCCTCGAACGATCCCGCCAAGGGTCTCGGCTACGACATCTGCATCGAATGCCACGACGCGGCCCCTTTCCCATCCTCCGCGCACCTGAGAGCCGCGGAGGAGCACGTGAACGCGCTCGAGGAGATGTGGGCGCAGCGGTGCGCGAAGATCCAGACCCCTGGCGCGGTCCGTCCTCCGCCGAACGCCAACTCGGTGGTCCACCTGCCCTTCCCGTCCAGCCCGCCCAGCACGAGTGTAACCCTCTCTGCGCTCATGCCATTCCTGGCCATGCTCGAGCGCCTTCTCGCGCCGGTCGCGACGACTCCGGCGGCGTCGGGATCCACGGAGCCGATGCCGATGCCCACGTCGCGGCCTCGTGCTAGCTCCGGCGCCCTCACGTCGCTCTTCAATCCCGCCCCGCCGCCACCGCGTTACCGCTCGCGTCCGGTCAAGGTCCTCATCTATTCTTCTGATGGGTACACCGAGTCGTCCGTGCTCGCCCTTTCGAGCTTGATGTACCTCCGCGGACTTGCATTGCCCGAGGCCTACCTTGAGCTGCAGGTTACCAAACGCCGGAGCTTCTTCGTGTACTCCAGCGATGTCGGCGTGCTGAAGAGGATCGAGCAGCGCGTTGCGAGAGAGCGTGGGATCATGGGCGCCGCGATGCCGTCGAAGACCTGGGGCGGGTTCATGTTGGTCAGCGATGCCGCACAGGCCGCCAGGCAGCATCAGCAGGGGCAAGGTCAGCCGCGCACGATTGGCCACATTGGCCGCCTTGGCTCCAACTCGGTGTCGGTACCGGCGTCGATGCCCATGGCCCCAGGTGCTTTCGCGCAGACGATGGGCCCGGCGTCCCTGGCGTCCGAGAGCCCGCTGAGGTCGATGGGCCGACCCAGGGCGAGCACGAGCCCGATGTTGCCGAGCCTGTTCGACGACCATCAGGCCTGGTTCGATGACCCGCGGTTCGACGGCAGTTTCCCGAGCAGGGTGCTTCCCTTCCTTTACTTGGGAAACTTGTGAGTAGATTTTTGAGTATGGAACAGTTCCTGGCTCATAACACAAACAGGAACCACGCGAGCAACGCTTACATGCTTCACGCCCTCGGCATCACGCACGTCGTCTCTGTTGGCGAGTGTGCGCTAGTGCCGCCCCAGCATATCCCGGCACATATGGTCAACGCCCGCACCACTGGCCCACAATACGTTCCAGGCAAGGTGCCTGGGTGTCATGGTTCGCTTTGGATCGAGGAGCGCGAGGGCAGGATCAAGGTTCTCGACATAAAGGGCGTGTGCGACGACGGGATCGATACGCTCGAGCCCCAACTGGCGCCGATCTGCGAGTGGATCGATAAGGCTCGCGCTGAGGGAGGGCAAGTGCTCGTCCACTGCCGCGTTGGCGTCAGTCGGAGTGCGACCGTTGTGGTGCGTATTTGCTCGATCTGGCCTTCCTGACCGTTCTTAAGTCCATACGTAGATCGCATACGTGATGAAGCATTTGAATATCCCGCTCGTGGACGCCTACCTGATTGTACGGTCTCGCCGCCTGTCCGTCCTCATCCAGCCCAACCTGCGCTTGTTGTACAACCTTCAAGGATGGGAGATACAGCTTGCGCGCGAGCGCGCTGGGAATAACGAGGACCGGGTTCGTGAAGAACTCGCGCGGAGCTTGAGCTGGCCCTACCTCTCGAAGGAGGTGCACGCGCTCAACGAAAAGTACTTGCACTGAGCAAGTCTGCCTCGACCGAAACCTTCCCTAGCTGGTCCATCCTCGGCTGGCACGGTTTCTACTTCCCCAACGCCGGGCTTTTTGTCTCGACATCCGGGCCTAAACATCATGATACCTCTAACGACACACGCATCCAATTCTGTATTCTCCTCGTCGTTTGTACCATTTCATGCCGCCAAACCCCCTTACTTTCGCCTTCGACTTTCTCTGTACCATATCTGATGATCCACGCTCGAGGCGCTTGTTCCAACCATTCATGTACGCTCGTCACGCCCCCTTCCGACTCCCTCAACTCTGTCTCTGTCTCCGTTTCCTCTGATGCAATACTTATCCGCTATCGATTGCAAACCTGTAGATGCCTTACTGTACATTATGATCACGATCTGCTGTACAGTGTAATGCAATCGTATGATACCTCCTCATTGTTTGTGGACGGTTGAGCCCCTCTGCAGTTCAAACAGTACTCAGTGGTCGCGGGTTTGATTCATGCGGTCATTCCGGAATCCTTCCGAGTCGACGGTCCAACGCGCTTCCAGTATCGTCAAATTCGTCTCGGGAGAAAGGAACCTCGCAGAATCATGGGAATCACTCAACACGCTATCGTGTACTGAACGGATCACTCGGATGTAGGAAGTACCTACTACATACGAGTCCGCCCCGCCGTGTTGATGTGGGGCCGAAGCTTGAGCTGAAAGGAAGCGTATCGCCTTCTTGCGTTCGAGAATTTGGACATTTGGAGCGGAAGCAGGGGGTCGTGACGACGAGGGCGCCAACGGGGATAACGTCAAGGGCTTCGATGACACTTCGTATGCAGTGTGCACGGAGCGATAGGATGCGGGTGCTGGCACCCATCGATTCAGTTGTTCACCGAAGTATAGCAACAGATGTGACTCTTCCCGGACTTGAGGCACGGAATTCACGCTCTTCTCAAAGCACGCATGATCGACGCCCTTCGGTGCGAGGTAATCAGGCTGCCCATAGGGTATCGCATTAAACGGTTTCTACCGCACATCGAGTGAATTAGAGTCATGGGACGTATCTATGAGGAAGATAAAGAAGAAGTCGGGACATCGCCGCTAGGGCGCGGTTGCATCATTCGGTGGACCGTGCTTTTTTGGGTACCGTTCGCACTCTACAACTGCGAACTGTTGAGATCCGGTCGTGGGATTGGACGTGAAGCATTATGCGGTGTTCTCGAGACTGCTTTTGCACCCGGAGCCGAAACGAGCGTTCGTTCACACTAATCCCGCCTACACAGTGTCGTTTGATCAGACCATCGTGGTTTCGGTAGTAGACCGGTGGGGAGGGGGGTCACTCACCTCGTTTTTACTACAGCCCCCGGCTGAATCCTCTCTCAGAACGGACAGATCTACGTATTCCGTCGACTGTACTCTGCCTATCAGCGACGGCTCCACATCAAGAGAGGGCGCGTGGAGCGTGCTCACCCGCTGATTGTGGAACGCGATTTCGGCAGTGGAATCGGACTTGGCCGACGCGATGTGCCCTGCGCCGGCGACGAAACGCGAGGTAGCGGACTGGGTGAGGAAGTTGACACTGTTTCGCTTCGAGTCTTTGTGCTTGTCGATGGTGGGGCCTCGGTTGTTGAGGTTCACCATTAATGCGTTGATGGATACTGGATAACATGTTAACTGATGATGTCTGACATGCGTACTGACGTAGTACGAGTACACACGTTTACCCATCCACAGGTAGAACCTAAACAAGAAGGATGAGACATTTATTCGAAGTAATGTAGTGGGTGCGACGCACGTTGCGTAGACGAGGTTCGCCCGCATCGACACATACTGCAAATATTCATGGTTCATTGATGCACGAGTTCATCTGCAACGTTCGCCTCACCAGGATCAGCGTGACCAACGCGCAGAAACTGTAAGAGCGAAGGGCATAATTGAGTATGCGACCATCGGTGGTCCATGGACGACTCACGCAGTGATCGCCCCAGTGCCAACAACGTAGAGCGTCATGACGTGAACCCGGGTATCCGAACTGTGATGAACAATATGAGAGATCATGACGTGGATATGTTCCGATCTCACCTTTTCGCACCCCTTCCTCCGCGCTGCATGCACATGCACATGGCAGCAGCGATAACACTGTCTACGGCAAAGGCGGCGCCATAGTTGAAGAACATCACCCACTGCAATATTCCACGTCAGTCGATGGCGTTCTGGTTTCTTTCACAATGTGGTAGGCGAACCGCTTCGGAGGAGTTGATTTTCTCCCAGTTCATGAGGTGAAGCCTGGATATTACAGTTAAACCAGAACCGTAGACGCTGGTGACCGATAGACTCGCCCTCTGATCATGTATACTATGTTCAGAGTCAACGAAATGATGACAGCGCGATGATTAAGTATATACGCACTGAATCCTGGCACTGATTGGTTCTTTCTCAGCTTGGTCGCAGCGTTCGGCATACAATAGACGCTCACCAAGCGCAATCACGGACAGGATCAACTGGGAAGGCGGCTAAGTGCATTGACCCATGACGTCCACAGTGGGGAACTTACGACAGCGACGAGGAGAGATCGGTTCTTTCCACCCAGCGTCCATAGCCGGCCGGCGTATATGCTAACCACGAGTCAGGGAGTGTACTTTGTTGTGGAGGGCGTCGATATCTTACATCCTGATGATAAAACAACTGATTTCCTGTGTTGTTGAGCATGCATCAGGATATGCGCTGAGGGGATCGCGGATAAGCACACACCGTGACTAGGACATGCACCTAGAGAAGGAATGAACTACTTGTGTGCGGGAAACAGGGAGAAAACGTACGAAAGCGATCCTGAGAGAGCGATAGATTATCAACGTATGTGCGGGGAGAAAGCGCCATCGGCGTACCGTTCAGGGGTGAAGAACTCGCTGGGATCTCCATAATGGGTTATGAGGATGCTGTAAACGGAGTAGGACGGGAACACGATTTGGGCGGTGTCGAAGAGCCACAGCAATACAATCTAGGAGCGTTGGTGAGAACGAAGTGCGTATCTCAACACGTTCACTCACGATTGCCTTGAACCATCTCGCGTCGTCAAAGTAGCCCTTCGTGAAGTATGTGTGCATTTGAACATTGGTGAATCCTGCACGTTGCGTGCAGGCCCATGAGAAACCACATTCCCAAAAGCACCGAAGAAAATGCAGACCGACCGAACAACGTGGCTTGTATTATGTTGCCGATGAGAGTCACGCCCAGAGTGTCGTCGACCTTCATGGTTGCTGGGGCGCAGAGGGGTAGACGGGGCAAAGAATACAGAGAAAAGACAGTGGAAAAGAGAGACAAATGTCCGAGGTCCTCGTGTCGGTCGTCAGCATATATGCCATTCTTCCGTGTTCCGTGGGCAGTTCTAGCCCGGGAGCGCCCGCCGAAGTGAGGGCTAAGTATTACTTTATGCCCACTTTATGTACGAGGCGCTTCCATGCTTCCCGGCGCAACGTCAGGAAGCGTGCAATGTCGCCGCTGTCAGTCCACGTGCCTGGCCTTTGGCGCGATGCTTAGGGCGACGTATTCAGCAGCGTCGAGCAGGATTGCGGGTCGACTATGCGCTAAGTAGCAAGCAAGCAATCCCAGCGACCAGCTGGATAATTCCATTGCCCAGCGCATATGAAGGGGTTCGGTGAGCCCGTCCTCACGGAGGCACGTGGAGAGAAGCGACGCAGTAAGGTAACGCGGGACTGCCCCTATGCGGATGCAAAATAGCCTTCCGACGCCGGCAGGTACGGAATGAACGGCAGGACACAAATGGGTCGCCGAAGGAGCGCCTAACAGACAGCCATTCACGGGCCAGAGCTAGGTCAACTCGCAGTACGGAACGGCTGAAGACTGAAGCAGAACGTTCAATCCGACGGGCAGATAGAGAGTTACGTATGTAGTCAGCAACGTGCGACCGTTCGAATGTGGTTCTAATCGCGAATGAACTGGTATGATGCCTTTTCTTCGTACGTTCGCATCCTGACAGAGATAGGCATAGTTTCAGGTTCCCGTCTCGAATCCGTCCTTGCCATCGCCGGAACCGACATGGCCTTCCAGTTGGGCGAGAGTTACGAACACGGCGATCCAAAGTGATTCGAGCAGACACGTCGTTCGCCGTAGGCTTTTATCGGGATTGGGGAGATGTGCATCCATCTACGCGTTTGCACCCTACTTGCTCCCACCGTAACTTCCGCACCGTGTCGGGGGCGATCGTGTGCGGGCCGTTGCTGCGAGCGGCGACCAGACTCTTGCGCGCCAAGTGGCCCGACACGCGTGTTCCGGCAGAGATTCCAGCAGAAATTCGAGAATCCCCGGACTTTTCATGTCGTTATGGATCTTCCACCGTCGAGGTGGCGTCGATCTGCGTTGACTATGGAGCCTCGGAGATGCCGCGAACGTCCTCAGCGATGAATTTGCCTATCGCAGGCACCTCACGTGCTCGGTTTTGCCGATTGTCTCGCTCAGCTCTAATTTCTGCCTGCGTTTGCATCTGCCGCTCGTTTGGTGGTTCGAACTTCGGGGTGCAACCGGGGCGGTGTCGCTACGGAAGCAGCGCGTGGGCGGGCGTTCCGCGTGTTCCGAAGACATGGGAAATACCAGAAACGGCCATCAAGTGGACATATTAGGCGCTACTCCACATTCGGTTATACTCTCCTCGGCTCACGCCAAAAATTTCCGAGCTCACGAGCCTCATGTCGGTGTTTCGGTTGGCTGCGGTGGTTCGGCTCCAACGATCTTGCATCACCGCGACGAGATTATATGTCGTGTAACCGATCATATAGCGTCCACCGCTCGACCGACGCTGCCTCCGTTCTCCACAACTAATCCCTCTCTCCTCCCCCTCCCGCGCATACACTCCGCCGCGACCGACTTCGGGCGTAGCTTCGGTACCTGCCCTGCGCGGATCATCGTGGCAACCTTGGTCGCGAGAAGGACAGGAAAACGGCTTCTCAGCGCAGATCGCGGCTCCAACTTGTCCCTCTGACGCGCTCCCTGGTCGTTTCGCGTCGTCTGAGCAACGGGCTGATTATAAGCCGGGCTTAAGGACGACTCACTCGTTCCTTTCCTTCTTTCTTTTTTTTTTTCACCTCGGGGAAAAAGCCGATTCTGTGTGGCGTACTATCAAATGGTCCCCCGGAGATCCAGTTATTTCGGTCATGTGGACGTGTGTGGCGAGCAAGACTGGCCTTGGCTCGAGTAAGATTTACTCGCCCTCATTGACGACTATACCCTGATCAACACCGCAGCTATAATATGCAGACGAAGACGCCGACCGCTTCGACGCCTCTTTTCGAACATCATATGCCTTCACTCGAAGAGGACATTGTAGGCAGAGCTACCGTATCATCACCGTGACCCACTCATTGACGCATCATTCGCAGTGCTCAGATTTCACTTGCTGTGGGTTGACCTTGGCAGACATGCACCAACTGGTGGAGCACTTTGAGGAGGCACACGTTCTCGTACTCGACGGAGCCGGACGCCGGGTTTACCCATCCGTGCCTTCGCTGGACACCTCCAGCGATTCGGGCTCCGACGGCGAATCGTCCCCAAGCAGCGACTTCTCCGACGTTGGGGTCGGGGTGGGGACGTCTAGTCTGGTGTTCAACTACCCTCAGCCGCACCCCCCACCCGTTCTGATGCTCTCTTGTACCGCACCTGACCCGCGCTCGGCGGCGGTGAGCTCCTCGTCCCACGAAAATCAGCCCTCTCGGTCCTTGGCGACTCCGGAACCGATGCAACAGGATTACATGGTTTTTTCCTCCCCTTCGTCGGTCTCTTCGGATACGTCTGTTACATCGTCCCCCGTATTATCCGAGTCGCCGATGCTACCGGCGCTCCCTATGCCGTCATCACAAATATCTCCGAACGGCGGGGCTGCTGCGATGGATACCAGCTCCGACGAAGCACAGGCGTGCGTCACGCCTGGCATGCTTTCACGGCCCACGGTGAAGGGACGGAAGGGCCCATCGACCGCATCGAAGAAGGGCCACCGTCGTCAACTTCAGGCTCCGGACGACGCGACGTCCGACGCGACTGGCTCTCCGCGTGCGACGTACCTCGTACAGGCGCCAACCGGCAAACGAGCGCGAGGCAAAAGCGCGAACCGCGTGCGGTACGCATGTCCCGTAGGTCCTATACGCCGTGCACACTGCGCAGTGTTCGCTGACGAAAGGATGCGGTAGACCGAGGGATGTACGAAACTGTATCTAAACCCCGGTGGTCTGAAATATCACCTCGAAAAGGGGACATGCTCGTTCGACCCAAAGCCAACCGCTTGATCGTCAGCAAGTCCAGCCCGCCGTGCCCCGCCCCGATATTACCCTCTTTATATTGTCCTGCTATGCATCTCAGCACTCTCGGCCCTTGCGCAATTTGGTCTTGGCCTCCAACACCCCTTCGTTCGTCAAATACTACAGATAAGGTGGCCAGGCGCCTTTCAACATCCACTCCCGTCGCGGCTGGTGGAGTGCCACATATTTCTCGTAATAAAACAGTATACAGCACTTGTATCTTATATGTAAACGTAAGTTGTGCAAGCTTGCTACGTGGATGTGGAAGCATGCTAACGCTCTCGTGCTATTTATAGTATAGTGCCGCTCCTCAACTAGGACGATGAAAGATGCATCTCTGCATTCGGTGCTGAAGTGTATCTTGCAATCATCAGGGGAATTTGCTGAACGTGCCGGGCTATTTCTCCCGTGTAATTCATAGATAAACATTAGTTTACATACCCACCTGCCCTTTTCTTCAACGGGATAACGATCGTTGGCCACTTTTATGGCGTCTCTTGCGGGCGCACAACCAGCTTCTGACCGCTGACTTTCCCATCCCGAAGCAAGTCCAAACCCTCCTGCACACCTGCCAAGCCGTTGGGCAAAACGCGCACGCGGTTGGGCTGAAGCAATGTGTCAGAATGGATCTTAACGAAGTGCTGAAAGTGAACGGACCTTGATGGCGCCCTCCTCGAGGTACTTCGGGAAGTGTTTGGCGACTCCGGCGCCCAGCGCTTTGGTGAGCGGGAGGGTGAAAGCCCCGAACACGTGGGCGAAGTGCTTGCTCCCTGCGATGTCACGCGATTCTTGGGTAGGAGGGAGGAGGAGGACGATGGTCCCGTTAGGGGCGAGGACCTCCAGCCCCGCCTTCTGCGATTCTGGGGAACCGATGGCGTCGAAGGCGACCTCGACGGGTGCGGCGGTGATCTTTGCAACTTCTGAGGCGAACGAGGAAAGGGGCAGCGAGCGCGGGATGACGTGCGTGGCACCCAACGACTTGAGCAGATCGGTGTTGTGCTCGGACGCGGTGACGATGATAGGCGAAAATCCGGAGAGGCGAGCGAATTGGAGGGCTAAGTGAGTTGAGCGCGAGTGTGAGCCCCGGGACCTGGACGCAGGGAGAAAGGTCCGTACCGTATTGACCCATAGACGTCGCGCCGCCGAACAGCACGAACGGCTTCCCCGCGTACTTGCCGGCGCCTCCCTCTTTGTAGAACGGCGTCAACCCGGCGCCACCGCCCTGCTTATCCGACTTGGGAGCGTAAAGGCCGCTGAACGACGTGGCAACGCCGAGAGGGATAGAGGCCGCATCGTCAAAGCTGAGATTGTCGGGGATCTTGACGAGAAGGTCGGAGGAGATGCGGACGTATTGTTGGAAGGCCTCCGCACCCGGGCTGACGAGACCGTAGAAGAATCTGAAAGAGGCACAGGAAGTCAAACGTCACGCGCGAATATGGTGAACAATGTATGAATCGCTGACATCCTATCTCCTGTCTTGACGCTTTCCACTCCCTCGCCGATCTCTTCGATGACCCCCGCGCCGTCGAGGCCCAGGATTCCGGGAAGCCTCACCCAAGGCGCACCGTTGATCTGGATCTTCCAGTCTGCGGGGTTGAGCCCGGCGGCTTCGACGCGGACGACGACTTCACCGGGTCCGGGTTTGGACACGGGCTTTGTCTGGATGACAAAGGGCGTCTTAGGGGCTTCGAGGATGAGGGCTTTGTTCTCGGTGGGAGACATGGTCGGTGTTGAGATGAATCGATGTTGGAAAGGAGCTCGGCGAGTGGGCGTTATATACCCGTGCTTCGCGCGATGGCGCCAGAGGATGCCTCGAGCTTGCGCGTCTTTCGAAAATGTGGGAACGCGCAGGCCGAAGCGGAGCATGCTTGATGTTGGCTGCGTCAGCTAAATATCGCGTAGGTTGATGCAAGCAGTTCTACCCACCCAGATCGTTGAAGCAAGTCCGAGCCCAACGCGAGTACACCCAAGATTACCCACTCGTGTTGCCCACATGACCCACATTGGGCCTACGCTGATCCACGAAAGAGTCGACACCGAGTCCGGCCGCCAGCCTTGCCCCCGACCTCCTCGAAGAGCGGCAATGCAAGCGGAGGGACAAACCGTTCCTGTTGAATACGAATCATGTGAATCATAACAACGGCAAGACGCATGAGGAATTCGCATTACCATCTCGCATCTACGCGTTTACCCGTCAAAGGAGCGGAAGCATATACACCGCCCGCATTTGAACGACGTTTTGCATACGACTGGGTTGGAACTTGGTGTTCGAAATTCAGCAAGGCGAGTGCATAACGTAGTTCGACTCGACACACCTGGCAGACAAGATGAGTAGCACGGCCGTCCTCGTTCTCGTCGTTTGCTTGTACTCGACGCTTTATCTTGCACCACACGTATAACGCTGTCCGGCGTCTACTTGCAGAGACTGACTGCAAAAGCGGCGGGTGCCCCGCGCGCCCACCTTCGCTTGCGCATGCGGCATGGTCTCCTGGAAATGAAGGTCTTTCACCGCCACCAACGACTGGTAGATCACGTGTACCCTCGGCGCGCGTCAACGATAGCCCTGCCGTCACAGGCACGGCGCTCCCCTCATCCTCCTCGAGCGCTTTGCAGCGAGCGCAGTTCTGGCGCTGCACAGTCGAGCCTTCGCTTGACGTCGACCAGTAACGAATTTTGAACGAGGGTCCTCATGGCGCCATCGCTCACAGCAGCAATCTCGGCATTCGCGCTGCTCGCGGCGCTGCCGGCGCTTCCGGTGCATGCTGCAAAGAGGAACGCCAGTTGGACGGACCTCGGTACATCTGGGTACCAACTATCAGTCAGTTCCTGCTCAGTACCGATGTCCTGCTGAATGTTTTTTAAACGTGTGCAGTCACTCGCGACAGCTCCGGACTTCGGTGAGTGCTTTAGATCACGCCGAGCACAATGCAGGCTTGACTCGTTGACCCTTTGCGCGGGCGCGTCATTTAGCACCGAACAGGCCCAAAGAATGCCCCCCATGCTTCAATTGCATGCTACCCGCATTTGATTGCGGACAGTACGGATACTGCAACCCATACGATGGACAGTGTGAATGCCCTCCAGGATGGGCTGGCACTGATTGCCTAACGCCTCGTACGCATTGTGACGTGGCGTCGGACGCACCACATGCTGACCGTATACACCAATAGAGTGCGACTCGTTGGCTGATGGAACCAAGCGCAGACCTCGAGAGCCAGGAGAGTCTTGCGAATGTAAAGATGGGTGGGAGGGGATAAACTGCAATGGTGCGCGCTGCTCCTGCCCCTCGCTTCCTCGTGCTCACGCCAATGTGTAAAGTTTGCAAGACCAATCAAGCCTGCGCTGCATTCCCACTCGCCGGTGGTCCCGAAGATGATGACGCCGAGATTAATCCCGAAGACATGGTCTGCTACAAGGGCGGCGAGACGGTGTTCAACAATCACCAAATGTGTGACGTCACCAGTGCGTAGCTCGCTCTGACGATTGGGTTCATAAACTGACACATCCCGGCACAGACCAAGGCATAGTCAAGATCCTAGACGGGCGGAAACCTCAAGTGACCTTCTCTTGCGACAAGAACTCGTCAGAGTGCTCCTTCCAATTCTGGGTACAAGAGGTCGAATCGTTCTACTGCGCACTGGACTCTTGCGCCTCTAGCGTCCAGATCGGCGTGGACAAGAACGTGACGAGATACGAATGCGACAAAATCAAGTGTAAATGTGTCCCCGGCCGCTTCATCTGCGGCGAGAACGGCAGCGTTGACATCTCCGACTTCTTGACGGAAGAAATCAAAGGCCCTGCGTCGTTCCGGTGCACGACCGGCGCCGGATGCCGGTTCGAGGAACCCGGTATGAACGACTTGATAGATGAGATCTTCGGTGATCCATACATCACGCTGAAGTGTGAGGGAGGCGAGTGCGTGCACTTCTCTCAAGTTCCGGGATATGTCAGGCCGGAGAAGCCGGACAACACGAAAATGCTGGCGTTGAGCGCGGCAGGTGTTGGTGTCCTTGTGATCCTCGTCTGTGCCAGTGAGTCCCGTCACCGTCGTTATCATCGTATTCGACGTTGATCATTCCACCTCTAGTTCTGTGGTACGTTGGACGTGCGCGCACAGGCGATCTATCGAAGATCCGCCTCCCTGAAGACGAGACTGCGAGGCTGATGACGGAACATACGGCCGCTTCGCTCCAATTCCAAGACGTCTCGTATACTCTCCCTGGTCGCTCCATCATCTCCGACATTACGGGTCAAGTGAAGCCAGGTCAGTTGCTTGCTATCATGGGCGCGTCGGGTGCAGGCAAGTCGACATTCCTCGACATCCTCGCGCGTAAGAACAAGCGCGGCCTGGTTGGCGGCTCCGTCAAGGTGAATGGACGGGAGGTTGGCGATGCGGAATACAGAAAAGTTGTCGGGTTCGTGGACCAGGAGGACACCTTGATGAGCACGTTAACGGTGTACGAGACGGTGCTCTACTCGGCGCTGCTCAGGTTACCCAGGGAGATGAGCTTCGCGGCGAAGGAGTACCGCACTCTGGAGACATTGCAAGAGCTGGGCATTCTAGGCATCAAGGACTCCAGGATTGGGGAGAGCGGTATGTACCCCTGCTACATGATTTGCCGCGTCATTTATCTCTGCACCCACAGGCCGCCGCTCCATATCTGGGGGTGAGAAGCGCCGCGTGTCCATCGCATGCGAGCTCGTAACTTCGCCTTCCATCCTCTTCCTCGACGAGCCGACCAGTGGTCTGGACGCCTACAACGCCTTCAACGTCATCGAGTCGCTCGTGCGCCTCGCCCGTGATTACAAGCGCACGATCGTCTTCACCATTCACCAGCCGCGGAGCAACATCGTTTCTCTCTTCGATCAACTTGTTCTACTAGGTCAAGGCAGGCTCGTATACGCTGGCGAAATGACCAAGTGTCACGAATACTTCGCGAGCATCGGGCACCCGTGCCCCCCTGGATTCAACATCGCGGACTTCCTCATCGATCTTACTTCGCAAGCCGCGCGTGCACCGACATCAGCAGAAGAGGTTGGCAGTTCGGGCATCGATTCTCCTGACACAGAGGACCAGACCAACTTACACGATGAAGAGCGTGGTTTGGGCGGTCGTCGGCTTGGGCATTCTACTCGTTCCTCCACCGAAGCTGGCGAGGAAACGGAGCTACGCTCGGTTGCAAGCTCCGCGGGTGGTTACGTGAAGCGAAAGACGTCTCAGTTGCTCTCCATCGTTTCCGGCAACGGAAGCGGCGATAGCGATGCGAACAGATTACCTCCCAGGCTCGCGGCCCTGGTGGAAGCCTACGCATCGAGCGAGATTGCTGCGGATATCAAGGGCGAAATTGTGGAAACAGAGCGGGCACAGCAGCAGCGCGCAAGTGGGGTCGGTGCGGATGGCGAGCTTCCCGATGTGATCGCGGAGGCGACATTATTGCGGGGAAGGAAACGCGCGAGCTGGCCAACGCAATTCAGAATCTTAAGCGGGCGCGCATTCAAGAACTTGTATCGCAATCCCGCACTTCTTACCGCTCATTATCTCGGTTCTCTAGTGTTAGCGCGTGAGTGATTCATATCGCATACCCGTGACCTTACTCAACCTGTTGTTCGTACAGTCATCTGTGGTTTCTTCTTCCACAACGTCACGTATGTTTTCCTTTCCCTGTTCGACGTACTTGGACTCAGTATTGTACAGGAACGATATATCTGGATTCCAAAACCGCTTGGGTACGTCGTGGCTATCATTCTGACATCCTACCAAAGAACTTATGTTCATCCAACAGGAATATTCTTCTTCACGCTAGCCTTGTTTGGATTTTCCTCGTTGTCTAGCCTGAACCTCTTTGCTGGAGAGCGACTCCTCTTCATGCGGGAACGGTATGATTTCTTTGAACCTCGTCTTGGTTCGGCGCTGACACTGTCCTTCCAGAGCGAATGGATACTACACGCCATTCACCTACTTCGCCTCGAAGGTCAGTTCTCCTTGGAATTCGTCCCAACACTCTCTCACTTCCGATTAACACAGGTGTTATTCGACATCATTCCCTTGCGTATAGTACCCCCACTTCTTTTCGGTGGGATCGTCTACCCGCTGGTCGGACTGGTCCCTACAGTCCCAGCATTTTGGAAGTTCATGCTCACTCTGGTGCTGTTCAATCTGACGACGGCTAGTGTCGTCTTATTACTCTCTGTCGCCTTTGAGAGCACCGGTGTGGCCAGCTTCGTGGGGACGTTGATCATGTTGTTCAAGTACGTCCATTTTGACATCCCTGCCTTGTGCTAGCTGATGCGAAACCTCCTCCTTAGCATTCTCTTCACGGGATTACTCATCAATCGAGAAACCGTATCGAAGTTCTTCCAGTGGCTTCATACGATATCGTTCTACCACGCCGCATTCGAAGCACTGGCCGTGAATGAGCTGCGGTACTTAACACTCAAGGAACACAAGGTACAGTACATATCTCGCAGCATGTCCTTGTTGGCTCATAACATATTGTCAGTATGGAGTGGATCTTGAAGTTCCTGCAGCCACTATCCTCTCTACCTTCGGTCTTCGTGCCCAAGTAAGTATCTAATGATCTCACCCCAGGCACCCGCGTCTAATTGCGACTTGTGCAGACATTCTGGTGGCCTAACATATCACTCTTGGGCATATTCTTCGGCATTTTTACTGTTGTCAGCTTTCTTTTCCTACAGTTTTATGTCAAGGAAAAGCGGTAGTCGGAAGCTGCTCCCATTCCCATCGTGTGGCAATACATCCCCGAACTGTATCATACACGTCCATTCGATTCGCATCCGCAACAACGTATCAGCATACCCTCGCTTCCAGTGCAGAAAACAAACATCTGTGTTTGCCAGAATCAACGGAAGACGTGACAGATATAAGTACGTATTTTCACGTTTGCTTTCGTCGGTCGTTGCACGCGGCCGCGATGGGCGTAGAGAAGGACCTCCGCTGTACCACTGGACACTGCGGGTCCCGGAAGAACTAAGGTCTTCTTGCTTCAAAGCACGCTTATCAGAGTTTGGTTCTCGGGGGTAGTGCGGGGACACATGCCCTTTCTCTGACGACCAAAAAGAGATCCGCAGTTTCATCGCACTTTTTCTTGTGTCGCTTCCGGCTAACCACCAACAACCTTACCTGCTATCATGGATGCGGAAGACAGACCCGCTTTTGCGGTAGTGCGCACCCCCACCGGGGGCACGTTCTTTCGTATGCCGCTCAGCATTGCACGTCTCACCGGCGTACAAGCTTCTTAGCGAGACCGATAGCGTATAACCTTGACTAACGCCGAATAAGTTACGCCCGAGTTTGATGATAGCTCATTTCGAGGCGTACTAGGCTCGATCCACTCGCTCTATCGAGCGGCTTGAACTTTGTCGGCGACTGATGCAGCACTCAAATACAGCTCGTAACATCTCTTCACCTTGTACCCTCTCGGAAACCTGGACATGCTCACTGCAATCTGCCTGGCGGTCGCATTCTGCTGGTTATGGTTCAAGGCGTCGAAAATTGGAAAACGGCCAAAGGGATTCCCTCCGGGACCACCTACCATCCCTCTTCTAGGCAACCTGCATCTTTTCCCAAAAGAATATGCGCATCATCAGTGAGCCATTATGCCACAGAACGACGTTCGGTACTGACAGCGAGCATGGAGGCTGACTGCATGGTCGCGAGAATTTGGTGATATATACTCGGTAAGCGCCTTCCACCTATACGAGAGCTTCCGAGTCGCCCATGATGGCGTCGTAGCTCATGCTAGGACCCGTCGTCGCGGTTGTGATATCGAGCGCAGCAGCATCCAGAGAACTTCTGGATAGACGAAGCGCATCGACTGTGGACAGGCCTCCACACTTCATGGCACATGAGATCACTGGCGGATTGAACCTTGTTTTGGCCCGGTACTGTACGTTCTCTATGACCCTCGCGTGGCATTGATTGATGAAATTTAGCGGAGCAATGGAGACTTATCAGGAAAGCTGCCCATTCTATGCTTACACCTCAAGCTTCGGACAAATATATTCCCATTCAAAAAGCGGAGTCTGTGCAGCTCATGTACGACATCCTCAATAAACCCGAAGTAAGAGTGTTTATCCATAGCAGAAGAAGCTCCGCCTTTTGTTGACGACCTTCTCAGCGTACCTGGTGGCACATCCGACGTTACTCCAGTTCCGTTATACTCTCCGTCCTGTATGGTAAACGTGCCCCAAGGTAGGACCCTCGAGCCTCTTGTGCGCCGGGCTCTACTGATACGTGTCCAGGTACGAGACAAAGGAAACTATGGATTTCTTTCACGTTCAGCACCTATGGGAGCACGTGCTCGAACCCGGAGCCCATCCTCCGATTGATATACTACCTTTCCTGAGGTATACGCCCGAAAGATGGGCTCCGTGGAAATCGCTCTGCCGTGAGGTTCGTCGACTCCAAAGAGAACTCTATTTTGGCCTTCTAGAAGAGTGCGAACAAAGAGTCGCGGACGGATCAGCAGATGGGCAGGAATCGTTCATGGATGAGGTGGTGAGGCATCGAGATGATCTCGGATTGACCCAAGAAATGGCAGGGTGCGGTACGCAACCTCGTTTACGATGCCTCGGTCACTTACGACACCCTTGCAGGTATCTTGGCGGTGTCCTGGTTGAGGGAGGCAGTGACACGACATCGTCTTTCATTCAGTCTCTTGTTCTTGCGTTGGGAACATTTCCAGAAGTACAGCGCCAAGCCCAGGAAGAAGTAGACCGAATCGTCGGAACTCGTCGGATGCCTACTCCGGAAGACTATGATCGAATGCCTTATGTTCAGGTACTTAACTTACATGGGTTGCAAGATAACTTGTTTCACTCATCACATACAGGCATTGATCAAAGAAACACATAGGTTCAGGCCCGTTGCACCTTTGGCAATACCTCATGGATGTCTAGTCGATGAAACTGTGCGCCTTTCACTCTATTATTTTAGTGGCTATTGACCTCAAGTTCATTCAGTACCGCGGATACCTTATTCCCCGAGGCTGCACAATATTTTACAATATTTGTGTGTCTTCAGTTATTTCAGGATGCAACATGATATAACCTAGACAAAGGGGGCATTCTTCATGACCCGGAAATTTTTGATGCGCCCGAGACATTCAATCCTGAGCGGTACTTGCGCTCGGAGTTCGGGACGAAGCAAGGAATTGACGATACCGATTTTCGACATACGCTACCCTTCGGTGCGGGGCGAGTACGTCTAGCAGACTGGTTCCACCTTCTGCTTCGACCTCCTGCTGACTCTTCTCGTTCACTAAGAGGATTTGTCCCGGAATTCACCTCGCCAATAACTCTCTGGTAAGCTCTGCTCGTTGTGGTCCTATGTATTCACGAGCCTTCTTCATAGATCATTAACGCGATGAATCTTGTGTGGGGCTTCAACTTCAAGCCATTGCAAGAGGCTACCAAAGACCCATTTGACACTTATGCCTATGAAAAGGCGAGTGGCCCCTGGAACGCAGATTACATGCTCAATCCGCTCCTCAGGGAATTTTGACCGGCCCGAAGCCATTCGAACTCTCCATTTCCCCCAGAAGTCTTGAGCATGCTCGGATCATGCGCAAGGAATACGCGGATGTGATATCTGCGTTCTTTCCCTACGAACAACGACTGAGTGACGAAGAAAAAACGTGGCTGCATGCAACCAGACTGGGCGAGCAGAGAAATTGAAACAAGTGTAGCTACGAGAAAGCAGGATTGGTGTTGGTTATGTCGTTGCGTACGTCAGAACGGGTTGCTACCGTATTGCCAGTAAGGTAATTTGTGATTGCCATTTATGAGTTCTGCTACACGGTCCGGCATTTGTGGTGCGAGGTATTCATGCGGTGATAAGTTCGAGAAGGTGATTCAAGAACCTTCTTATACCGCACCCCGCGTCTCTCGGCTATTTCATGGCTATTTAACACAGATAAGAGAAGACCTCGCCTTCAGCCCAACTCGCCATGTCTTCATTACTGATTACTATATACATATCTGTAGCCGCAATCATCATGCTGGTCTGGAAGGCATCAACGATGGGGAGAAGACCGCAAGGCTTGCCTCCCGGACCACCGACTATTCCTTTTCTCGGAAATCTGCATATGTTTCCAAAAAAAGGGACTCACTATCAGTGCGCCTGTCAGCAAATCGCATGCTATACGTGTTGACTTCGAATAGGCTGAGCAGCTGGGCACGCAAATATGGCGACGTCTATTCTGTTAGTCTCACCTCGGTCATGTTCATAGACTGACTGGCACGTCAATGATCGGAAATCCTTCAGATAATGTTGGGTCCCGGGATCATCGTCGTTATTTCAAGTGCATCTGCCGTGAAAGAACTGCTTGACAGGCGCAGTGCGAGCACGGTCGACAGGCCACCGATGTTCCTGGCTCAAGAAGTAACCGGTGGACTTAACATGGTTCTGGCGCGCCACTGTAAGTGAGTTCCCTTTAGATGCCCGCTTACCAGCACAAATTTCATTTGGCTGTGATATAGCGGAACAGTGGCGCACCATGCGCAAGGCAGCTCATACTATGTTAACACCCCAGGCGACCACGAGGTACATACCCATCCAGACAGCAGAGTCGATGCAGTTGATGCATGATCTTCTGTCGACTCCGAAGGTATATGCCCGACTTCCGTTCGTTCCACCTGTCACTTATCGTCGTCATAGCGTGCGTGGTGGCATCTCAGGCGTTACTCGAACTCGGTGATACTTTCCGTCTTGTACGGAAAACGATCTCCGAGGTATGGTCTACTCCCTTTCCTGAAAATCTTAAGATATGTGCCACAATCATCATGGCAGGTACGAGACAGAAGATACCACTACCTTTTTTCACGTTCAACGACGTTGGGAGCAAGCGCTCGAGCTCGGAGCGCATCCACCCGTCGACATGTTGCCTTTCCTGAGATACGTCCCGGAGAGGTGGGCGCTCTGGAAGCGAATTAGTCGTGAAATAAGGGAGGTCCAGAGGGGTCTGTATATGAAGCTTCTGTGCGAATGCGAAGAACGGATCAGGAGCGGGACGCAAGATGGAATACCGACATTTATGGATGAAGTCATCAAACAGCAGGACGAGCTTGGAATGACGAGAGAGATGGCTTGGTCAGTGCATGCTCGTGCCAAATCAGAGTGAACAGCTCTACTCAAATATGAGGCTCCAGTTACCTTGGAGGAACACTGATCGAGGGGGGAAGCGATACCACATCATATTCACTTCAGTCGTTGGTCCTTGCGTTGACGGCTTTCCCTGAGGCACAGAGAAAAGCGCAGGAAGAGATCGACAGGGTGGTCGGAAGCGACAGAATGCCCAATTTATCGGATTTCGAGATGATGCCGTATCTACAAGTGCGTATGCTGACTCTCGGTTCTTTACGTCTCAGCAACTGTAGCCACAGGCTTTGATCAAGGAAACCCATAGGTTCCGACCGCCAGCGACATTGATCCCACACAGAGCCATGCAAGACGAACGTGTAAGCACATGACGTCTGTCACTGCGACGAATCAGTATGAATCTGTCGCCTCCTAGTACGGTACCTACCTCATACCTGAAGGCACCACGATTATGATGAACATTTGTATGGGGTTTCCCTATGCGAGTCATCAGAGTCCATAGCAGCCTGATCACTGTGTTAGGGGGCATATATCACGATCCAGACGCATTCGACGACCCGGAGAGCTTCCAACCAGAGAGATATCTGAAGACCGAGTTCGGCACGAAACGGGGAGTTGATGTAAACGACTGGAGACGCACACTGCTCTTCGGCGCTGGGAGGGTCAGTATCAGAACACCCTATGCAAAAAAGGCCCTCACTAAATCTGTCCGATTGGTAGCGATTGTGCCCTGGGATAAGCCTCGCCAACAATACCATGGTATGTGTAATCATCGCGTGCACTCCAAGTATATATTGATTCTCCGAGTAGAAGATTATTACGATGAACCTTGTTTGGGGGTTCGATTTCAGACAGTTGCCTGGAAGGTCCCCTGTTGATATATGGTCATATTCAACGGTTTGTGTGCAGTGTAATGCTCATCATACCTCCACTAAGTCTATGACGAACGTTCCTTAGGGTGCTTTGATGGGGCCAGAGCCTTATGAATTGTCCATCACTCCTAGGTCTTTGGAACGCGCTGCAATCATGGAACAGGGGTTCAAAGATGCCATCCCGCTGTTCGCGCCGTACGAGCAGAGGTTGTCTCCAGGCGAGAAAGAATGGTTGTATAACACTAGGAAGGTGGATGGACTGCACTGAGCACGAGCTGCTGCACATCCCATTTCTGTATGTTGCCGTATGTCGTCGTTATAGCAGTTTGTTCCGGGAATGCAGGTCGATGGAGAGAGTCATGAGGGTCATATCATCATGAATGTGAGAAGTCGGCGAGCCTGTGACACTTGAGCCACACTCCGTTTTTTTCCATCTATGCTTCGGAGGGAAAGCGGGCCGCTGGAGGTCTCGACACAACTGCATACACAGGCCGTCGCCGAGGACCGACTGCAGAGATCTCTGTGTTCGATTCGGCACAAGAACGTCCTGGCGCCGTGTTCTGCGTGACGAACATCTATGGACGATCCTACCTCCGGTGGCACACAGCCCGTTCTTACATGGGGCAACATTGGTATGAATCGCGTTGAGCCTATATTGGCCGTAGATTGATCTTGCTTGTGAAGGTCTCGGGCTTGCGTTCATCGCGTTCGACGCCATATTTTCAGCTGCATTCAGTTTGGGTGTAGGATACGCTCTTGTCACCGCTGCGGTCCGATGCGTCGCCCAGCTGTCGATCATGGCTCTTTTGCTCCAGAAGGTGTTCGAAACCGACAATCCTTGGGCTGTTGCAGGGCTGGTGGGATTGTTGAATGTGATGGGGACCTTTGAGACTGGTACGCCGTCAGATAGACATGCAGAGCGACCAGAGCTGCGTATTGACGTGTGCTTGCAGTCGTAAATAAGTCCAAACGTCGCTATGACTATATGGTGAGCTCCCCTACAGACGTTTTCCCCGCTCGTAGTGGTATCAATGTGCAGTTTCCAACAGTGCTGGCGGGCATGCTTTGTTCCACTATCCCTATCTCAGTCATCGGCACCCGGTTTGCCATGTCTGTAGATCCATTCTGGCAGCCTGCGCGATATGGTAAGTGCAGATGTGGGCCAGACGGCTGCTACCTGCTCAGCAGATTCCCAATTAGTACCTATCGTTGGCATGCTTTGCGGCAGCACCATCTCTGGTATCGTCGTGGCCATTTCATTCGTGCTGCGTGAGCTCCAGTTCAGTACTACGCCTTGTATGCGCTTGTATGCTCTTTTTGACCAGAACCCGTTTTGCCAGTGATAACCGCGACAAAATCGAGACGTACCTTGCTTTTGGCGCCTCGCGTATAGAGGCATGCCGTCCAGTCGCAACAGAGGCCCTCCGGCTCGCGCTCACGCCGAATATCAATCAGATGTCGTACGTGCTCTTTCTGTATATCTCTCCATCTGAACTCTGACACGCGTTGTAGCGTATTGGGAATAATCGCCATCCCCGGGATGATGACCGGTGCTATCCTCGGCGGTTCCTCCGTGGCCCAAGCTGCCCGATTGCAGATGATTATTATCTTCATGATCTCGTCTTCGACTGCACTCGCCGCCATTGTAACCACCCTCCTTTGCATGAGCGTTGTGGTCGACAACGAGCATCGCATAAGAAGCGATCGCGTGGACTCCCGGCCTCACATTATTTGGCGCACGAAAGATTGGGTGGTCGGGAAGGTAGCTCAGGCGCTCGTACATACGTTCGCTCAAGCTACTCACTTGTGGAAGAGGACAGTGGGTCAAGGGGAAGAGGAGAGGAGGGCAGACGCAGAGGCAAGACAGGGGCTTCTGGGTTAATATGTCTCCGACGGTCAGATATGTCACGTAACAAAAATGTAGAAGCCAGGTACAAAACATGGGGAAGGTGCCCTGCCTAGCCGTTTCTTTCCAATATCCATAACTTGTCAGCCTTCTGCATACTGATCGCGTCCCGAAGCCTGAGCAAGCCCATCACGTCCTTCTCGTCTTTGATAGCTTGGACAGCGCTCCTGTCGAGCTTCCATCCGTCGAATGCTTCGATGGTCCGGACCAAGGTCCAACTGCGAGAGCTGTAGACAGCGTTCCAATCCTGACCCGATGATTCGGCAATGAGGTGCGTGAAATGCTTCGAGTCGCTCAAGTCGCGTGGTGTGAGGCCCTCGGTTTTATTATACACCCATCCCTTGTCTTGTAGCCTAGGGGATATGAAACCGTGCAAGGGGGGCGCATGGACTTGCGTGAACAACGAAGCGCCGGTCTGGGCGGCCAGGTTCGATATATGCACGTGAACTACTCGAGACCGTAGTTGAGCCTCGGGGGATGTACTGCAGCGTATTGAAGTCAACGCTCACCGTTCGTCCTATTGGCATAGATATCATTGAACACGGATATCGCTTCCCCGCCGGGATAGTTCGCGATTGATGCCCGAGATAGCATGACCGTGATCAGCACGTTCAGCGCTACACAGCCTGCCACGGCAAGCACGGCGAGTCGCCCTATGAATGCTGACTTGCGGAGTGACATTCTGTGTACATGGTCAGCCGCAGACGCTCGTGCATTGCAATGCAGAGAACGTACAAAGCCCGAGCGCCACGTGCAGCAGCAATATTGAACGGAGGCACAACGTATACAACAAATCTCCATTCCTTGTGACCGAGGCCGCTGATGAGGAAGACAAAGCATATCGATGGCAGGAGAAGCTGGCGAACGCGATGATCGATAGCTAGACCTAACAGAGCGAGTGGGAAGGCAGACAGTAGTAGTTTTGGAAGGTGGGCGGTGAAATACGTATGGAAAGGGGAGACCTGGGAAGCTGACTTTAGTAAGATCGGCCAAGCGAAGGATGGAGACGACGATACGTACACCCCAGTCGGCGGATTTGCCCTGGTATACGTTGAAATACAGCCCTGCAAGCTCAGGCCACAACGGAACCGATTGCCAAAAGTAGGAATCGACGATGAGAGTCAGCGCTATCATAGAGGAAATCAGTGAATCACATTGCCCATGATGACACCCATGCTCGGAAGGCAACGTACCCAACGATCCTAGTCCAGCAATCATACCCACTTTGAACACGCGTCTCATGTCGCTCCACCCCGCGATCAAGGCTTGGAGGATGAGAGGAATGAGCAGCCCGGCCACTTCAGCACGGAGGACCACAGCCGTGAAGGTTAGCCATGCAATGGCGACGTGAACCTTTCGAGCAGAAGGCTTCAAGGCGCTAGGGGTACGATTGAGCAAGGCAGCATGCGCTATATTAACTGTGCGGCGCAACATCAGTCGAGAAGCGGATCAAATAAAAGTGGTTGAAAGTTGCGGACCAGGTAGGAGAGCGAACATGTTGGGTAAAGTCCTGCCCATCCAGAATGGCAGATGAAACTGAGTGCAGGTAAAGAGAGCGAAGAGAAGGGACGTCGGAAACCCGAAGCGCTTCGAGACTATTCGCCGTAGGACAGCCAACGAGATCGCATTGAGAACGGCGAGCGTTAACCTACCTGTCTCAGGGGTGGTAATGTCAGGTGGGTGCAGCCACCAAGGAGGGTTCACATACAGATGATCTGAAGATCAAGTTTATTGGATAGGATACCAAAAAAGTTGGAGAGTCGCAAAACAGGTGTAGTTGACCAGGCAAGCAACATGCTGCCTACGAAGCTTCTCGGTACCGCACCAGGAAACACGAAATGATCATACTACCTGTACACATCATTAGACAGTGCCCTAAGCAGTGGCCACACGCCTTTGCTTGTGTCAAGACGGCCATGAAACAAAGTACGCACGTTGAGCAGACTAGATGGTCTAACGCCGTAAAGGAGCGCATCGTGCGTGGCGTGTAGCGAGAACGACTCTTCGACCTTGGAGTACGGGGCAAGAAGCACATGCGCGCAGGCCACTCCGACTAGCGAGAGGTCTACCAACGACGCCATTGACGTTGTGTAGATTGGTGAGCGAAGGAAAGCCGAAGTATCTCGTGTGTCCGCCGCGTGGCGACTTTGACACTTCGCTTGACTTCACCCTTGCCAACCGTAGCCCAAAGTACCGAAGTACTGCTCATCGTCCTTCAGCGAATGCCCAGATGCTAGCGGATGGATCATGTACACGATTGGTGGAGAGACCGATTACTATCGATACTACGTCTTCCGGTATAAATACAGGCTCAATGATCAGAAATCGCCTTACCAATGCTTATACTGCTGAATCATTTGCATCGCTGCAGAGCTATCACCTTCTAAGGACCTCGCTACTCCTACCCTCGTCATAATGTCCACTTTCACCGTCGTACTCGACGCCTCTTCGGTCACGGCATTCGATGTTCCAACACTGTACACACTCCGTCCGCATGGGAAAATGTACACGTTTGCCCGCCCAGCGCCTGATTCCGTGTTTCGGCTCTGGTTTCCGTTTCCTGCGCTGGCCGCTATAGGTTTGGGGCTCGAGATTGGGCTCGGGAAGCCATCCGGCACAGCTCCGACTTGTGCACGATGTCGTATACCTCAGGCTCCGGGACTTGTGCCCCCACTCCGCCCCTAATCTCGTCGGGGACACAGCTTGGAAGCACTCCGTGAGTGATACTACACGCCTTGCTGATCGGTTTCTTCATCTGACACCCGCCATGAAGACACGAGATGATGCCCGCTTTGATAAAACACGCAGATCGTTCTTTTCGTGCATTCTTGCTCATTTGGGCCACAGGTCGCAGACGGAAACGTTGCGGAACCTACCTACGATCGCCTGCTGACCAACATTCGATGCTTGGGATGTTGACTCATGCATCATGTAGAGTGGGATTACTCGTATCCGCATTCACCTGTGTCTTCGCGCGTGCGAGAGGCCTTCGTAAATTCGCCGTACAAACGCTCAAACAGCATGATATACGCTGGTATTACTCGAATGGTATACGTTAAACGTAACCCGTGGAGCTGAACGTTTGAGAAAAGTATGTTGCTGATGATGCTCACGCGCGCTTGTCCTTTGGAGGAAGGAGAAACAAGCAACGCGACAAGGAGGCGCACGACAGCTGGCAGACAGTCAGGGCACGTTGGCGGTGTGTTCTTCCGGAGCGACGAGATGATGGAGGACGTAACCCTTGGCTGGAGATATTAACGGAGGTTTATTCCCGTTCCAACCTTGCTTTCGCAGGATGGAGGCCGAAGGTGACCCAGAACTCTCGACTGTCGAGAGCACGACCAAGGTGTTTTGGATCACGAGGGAGAGCGCGAACGCCGGTTTCTTCCATCAACTCGAAGACCCATTTCGGCTGGGGTCCTAGTATTATTGTCAGAGACAACGTGGTTGCTTTGCAACAACAGCGTGCTTGCCTGATGGGATGGAGTCGTGCTCTCCTGCCTTTCCTCCGGCACCCCATGCGGAAGCAAGGTCCCACCAGTCGTACACCCTTCCATCGGTGAGTAGCCAGCGCTGGCCATTCGCAGGGGCGAAGGTGCTGTGTACGGCGAGAATCGCTCGAGCGACATCAAAGCCGTGGATCATGTGTATACTTGTCTGCCTCTCGATCAAAATATGCGTCTCCATGCCGATGCAGTCCCGGCGCACCTTTTTGCTCAAAACCTCCTTCGTTGGCGCAACTCGTCCGACCCAATTTCGCATCGACCGTTTGCCACCCCATAATCCACAGAGGTTTAGAACGGTGGTTGGCGTCTCTGATCGACTTTCAGCCTGACAGAGCGTGCTAAGCGGCCACCACTCACCCGTAGATAGCGCAAGAAGTTCCATCTCGGCCCGTGCTCGATCATTACTCGTATCGAAACGAGAATGACGATCGATCCATACGTCTGGCAGCTCACCTTCGGATTCGCTCCTCGACGTAGGCCCACCCTAAGTCAGACAATACCACCGAGCATCAACAGGGTTCGATAGCGGAGAACAGTAGAAAAATCACATCCCAAATCCCCGTGGATCCCAATTGGATGAAGGCCGCTTTTGTGCCGGTGTGGGTGAGCTTGTACAGTCGTACAAGCCGTTCCGACGCTCCCTGAACCTAAGAACATCACAAGGCTCTATTCAACAGGCCAGCTGCAGTACCAATGTCTGAAAACGGTAAAAGTAGAGCAAAAGAAGCATATACCTTGATAGGAAAAGTGATTAGGACCGTTCTCGCGTTGGGCAGAGGTGTAAATGGCGTCGGATCGTCGGACGTGGGATCAAATTCGAATTGAATCGAAGGTTGAGCAGCTGGCGTAGGTGGAGCGTTCCCCGAGCGTGTCGTGGCAACATATGAGATGCTACGTTCCACGCAGAGCGGGATGAGGAACGTAGATGTCCATCCGGCGCCAAGAATGAGCAAGTCGACTGAGGCATCGTGTCCGTGTGCGCTAGCCATTACGGGGATCACACTTGGATGCTGATCAATAGATGAGAACTTTGAGTACTGATATATGATACGCGGCGTCCCTGCTCGAGGTCAATGAAGAGCAGCGTTGTCGGTACAAAGTCCAGATTTGCAAGGCTCGGGGACAATGCCAGGACATTGTTGCCCCAGCCACTGTGCTGACGTAAGCGGACAACGGCATATCCCGCGCGTCTCAAGCGGCCCTCTCGACTTCACTTTCGCGTTCAACCACCATGGCCGACGTGAGTTACGCGTCTTCGAGCTCGATATCGACTGACAAGGCCCGTGTACAGCCAATATACGGTCGGAATGCTGACTCCATCGCCGACATTGAAGACAGACTGTATGATATATTCGAGAACCACCCGGACTCGCATCCCAACGATGCTGGCGAACCTGTTATCGGAGCGAACGCGCTCGTCGACGTCTTTCGAATTTTCGGCGAGCAATACACTGGTAGCGAACTTATGACCAAGGAGGAAGAAGAGATGCTGGCCCAAGTGCTAGAGTCTAATCCTGGGCTCGAAGTCACACCACAAACTATTCTCCAGTTCATCGCCATGAGGACGCAAGGTAACCCTGAAGGGCCGGCCTCTCATTCCGACGACGATCAGAGGGGACGACAGGACGATCGTGACGCCTATTCCGGTTCGTCGCGGTCATCTAGCCGCGAGTCAGCCGTCTACAGGGGACAAGGCTCCCGGCCACCGTCCCGCGGGCCTCCGGTTCCCAAGACGCCGACGCAAACCAATTCGCCCTTTGACTCCTCGCGACGCCAGCGATCGACGCCGCTCGAGAAGACCGCGCCGTCGAGTTGGGCCAGGCGGCCTATGCCACCGACTCGCAGGCTGAGCGATGCCAGCAACTCAGGCCACACGGTTACCGAGTCCGAGGTGATTCTACCGGCGTCGCAGCTTGTTACTTGGTGTCTGACTCATTTGTACCTTAGCCCACCAGCCCATCTTCCTACGGGCACCATGGCCGACGCATGTCCAACGGCGGGCCTCCCCCACTTTCAGCCTCTGCCTCCGAACCCGTCTTCTCCCCATCCTCACACTCCGGCTCGCGTCCTCCCTCTCGAACGCACTCGCGCCCTCACTCGCGCGCACGAAGCCAGCCTCAGATCCCTTTCATGCCCATGGGCTACCCCGCGCACTTCTCACCAGGGGAACGTCGTTCGCATTCACCGGAAGACGAATACCCGCGTGGGGGTGAGGATTCGTTCGCCGATACCACCATCAACAGTGTACCCATGCCAGGGGACGTGGATTCTGACGAGGAAGTCGAGAGGGACCTTGAACTGGAGAAGCAACTTGGTTTGATCACTGTGCGCTCTGCCACCAGTTCCATGGTCTCCATGGACGAGCAAGAACGCATTGAAGCCTTACAGAGAATCAACGACGATCTTAAGCGAAAGCTGATGGAAGCGTCGCGAACGCATGAACAAAGGCTGGCGGAGCATGAATCCGAGTTGGAAGAGATGCAGATACGCCTGGAAGAGGCGAAGAGCGAGCTCATGGCCACAAAGCGGGAGGAGAAAGAATTGCGGAACAAGGAGGTGGGTCCTGGCTCCCCTGGCGCGGATGGGTATTGACGCTCCCGGCAGCGATCGAACAGCACGCAGATCATGGTGCTAGAGGCCGAAATTTCCAAACTTCAGAAGAGCTTGGAGAATGCCCGCACGGCTTACACCAGCCTTCAAAAGCAGTATCAGGAACAATGCGGTACTGCGCCTTTACACTGTATGAACGTCTTCTGATAGAATGTTGCAGCGGAATCGGAACGCTACCGCAACGAACTCCGTCGACGGGATCAAGAACTCAAGGACTACCAAGATGCTGCTCAACTGCAGCAGCTCGAGAACCAGAAGGTGGCCCGTGAGCGTACATCGTACGACGAGCGCATCGCCGTACTCGAGAACGAGCTCGCAATCGCCCAGCAAGCCCACGCCCAGCTCGATGAGCAGAAGCAGGAAAACCTCATGCTCAAGGAGACCATTGACCGTATGCGGTTCGATATGGATGAGCTGCGAACGACTCAACAGACTGGCGGCGGAGGTAGCGGGTCGTTGAGCAGGCAGACCAGTCTCAGCCGCACCCTAGGCGCTGAGCTACTTGGAAAAATGGGACGATGGGAAGAGGGTGCGGATGATGAACCGGAAGAGGAGGACGACAAGACCGCCGTGGACGATGACGGGGATGAGACCGAAGGCGAAGACGTGGTGCAGACTATCATCACACGCACGAAACGCGTATGGCCACGAATATTAATTTCCTCGTTGTGATCGCTGACACGGAGCTGCGCAGCGGGTTGCGTCAAGAGCCAACAAAACAGAAACTATACGCGTCAACGAGGTCAAGGAATATGCGGATATGTCCGTTCAGTACGAAACTGAAGGCTACTTCCTGTCCTGCTCGTCTCAAACCGATCCGGAGCCCAAACTCATCATTGCATCTTCCGGTATCCAGACCGAGGACCGACCGGTTGTGACCTTCGCCATTCAGACCGACCCTGAGGAACAGCCGCCGGCAAAGGTGACAATGGAAATGGAAATTCAAACCGACGAGGTCGAAGAAGCTACATCTGCGGAGGAAGAGCCGCTGGCTTCCTCTTCGTCCACCATTTCTCCTCCCACGCCTAAAGCTGCCGCTGAACAGTTACACCCCCACGACTTGCCACCCACGTATGCTCAAGTACAAGAGGATCGTGAGGAGCTCGAAAGGCGCGTCGCAGGAGAGACGCTCACGAAATGGCACCCTGGTATGCAACTCCCGGTTCAGCCTATTCGCGCCATATCCACAGATGCGGTAGAAGAGTGGAAGGCGCTCAAGGAGGAACTCGGTGTCGACTGTGCTGTGATCGATAACATTATCGCGTCTACCCCAAAGACTGGACCGCGTCCCGGAGGCCCACAAGACTCACGTTCGCCACGGAAGAACCGGTTCTATAACATTTATAACACATATGTTTACGGCAATCGGGAGGAAGGCGGTATACTTCCCTCCGGCACGGTGGTCCAGATGCTCCTGTGCGCCGGAGCGTCTGCTGCTGTCTTCCTAGCGATGAGCCGTTCGGTGTCTCCGCAGTACGTTGTTCCTGGGGCGCCCACTTACTACGATCGTATGGCCTGGTCAAGCTTCAACACTATGCACGCAGGCGGCGAGGGATTCCCGGGTGACGGCACCGCCGCCGTCTGGAACTTGTTTGGGCGACTTGGTGGCGGGGCTGCCCGGATTGCCCGAGGATGGCCCACTTAAATCTCGCTTTGATCTACTTTCGCACGAACTCTGGGTATTTATGCGGACCGCTTTCGTCAGCTTCATTGTGGCATGCTCATCATTTCCCCCCTCTTTATTCTGCTCTTATTCATTGTAATGCTTGATCATGCATACGGAAAGCTGCGTGTAAAATACAGTGTACAACACCTATTCTAGACACCCAAAGCCTACTAGCTCTATAACCACGTTACTCTAGTAGCTTCAGGTAGAACAGATGCGACGGAACATGCTCAGAAGAAACGGACTCTATGCTAGTCGAGTGAGCAATGCGGGTACATGGAGTGGTGGTGATAGATCCGGGGAAGTCAACGAATGAAAGAGTGTAAATAGAAAAATGCATGTCCATGGAATCATACGCATCTAGAGGGAACATACTATGCATATGTACAAGAGCCGGGTGCTCATCGCTCTTCATCGGACGCGGTGGGTCGAGGAGGTGGTGAGGACGCCATGGACGGTCGACGACGCTTGAACTCGACAGGTGGTGCGTCGTCCTCGTCAGAGTCCTCTTCGTCCTCCGCATATACGCTGCTGGAGCTCGCGGGAATTTCTGCCGGTCCTTCGTCCTCCTCGTCCTCCCGTTCAAAGGAGCTATCGTCATCGTCCGAAAACTCTTCCCCTGAGCCTGACGTTGAGTACGTGATTTTTGCAAGGGGGCTCGTGGTTATCCGACGCATGTGGGTATGGCTGTGTCCCGCGTCGTGTAACACAGGATCAGGGTGGGTCGGCACATCGTCGGTGACGCGCTGCAGCAAGGTGGCGGGAATCGCGGAGACGGGGGCCAGAGTCGGAGAAGGGCCGGGTGTCAACATGACCGGGGAGTTATCGTTGGCAACTCCTCCCGCTCCGTACATGTACATGTTTTCATCGTCCTCCCACCTGTCGTCCGAGTGGACGCTTGTCACCTCCTCCTGCTGATGCTCGTAGTCTGCCGGTTCTCCCCAGCTCGAAGCGCGCATCTCGGAGGAAAGCTGACCGCCGCCAATGCCGAATGTTCGAGGGCTGAGCGCGGTGGAACCACGAGATAGACGACGAGGAAACGCCTCCTCGCTGCGGCGTGCGAGGCCGAGGGGCGTCACTCGAGGATCGACTCCCAATGAACTTGAAATAGAGGGCAGTTGTTGCTTTGGTGAGGTTGTCCCAGAGGCCGAGGGTGACGAGCTTGTCGAGGCTTCATGAGGGCCGGGCCCTTGCGAATGGTGCTTCTTCGATTTCCAAGGAGCCCAGTTCTGAAACGACAGCCGATTTCGCAGCTTTTCGTCCCTGAGCGGGATGTCACCAGCGACGCTGCTCGTCGGGCTACCGGATGCCCAGGCCGAAGGGGGTGGAGATGCACGGTGGGGATCAGAAAGTCGAGGAGGGGACAGCAGCGTCTCTGAACCTCGCCGAGACTTGGCGGCAGGCGACTGAAGCTTGCTCGCCGATGTGGCGGCACGTTCGACAGACTGGGAGCGACGAGCAGTGGCAGCAGACGTAGTTTCGCTGCGAGTGACTATGGGCCGGAGCGGCTGTTTGCCCTTGCCCTTATCCTGCGCCGTGAGCCTGCCCATGATGACGCTCTTGTTCCGCCCTAGCGAGCCGAACTTCTCGTCGATCGGGTGCTGATCCGCCTCGGCATCGCTGACAATATCTGCAGCAGACCTGAAACTGCGAACGGGGCGGACGCTCTTCCGGATGACGTTTGCCACCCCGCGCAGTCGAGCACGCCATTGGAAACGCATGTTGGACATAGCTTTGTTGGTATCTTCCTCGGTTACTTTCAGTTTTTCGTCCGGGTTGGGCGAGGTGTCACGAATCCATGAATCCACGTCCTCTATGTCTCGCGTCATCCATATATACCGCTGAAACTGTGTTACCGAAGATATATGAGACATACGCGCGAATGGAACTACCTTGAGTTCGTCGAGAGTCATTCTTGTTGCAGGGTTCTTGTCCAACAACCGTTCCAGGAGATTGACGACGACTGCTCCCTCCGAATTGGGTATTTTGATTTTCGGAGGATCTCGGGGAGGTTGACCCTCCACCGGTGGTTTGTATGGCCGAAAGCGTTTACCAGTGGGTATTTGGTCAGCGCCCATGGTCGGAGGCAACGTCCAGTCCTCCTTGGCGATGACATTATATAGCTGGAACTCGTTCGCCAACGGCGATAGGAATGGAGGTTTCCCGAAAAGCAAGCAGTAGATAGTCACACCAAGAGCCCAAACATCGATAGCTTTGGTGATAGCCGCCCGAGCCTTCACCGGAAGCTGTACGGTGCTCGTGTCGTGAAGTGATATCCCTGTCTGGGACTGGCTCGGGCTAGTCGTATTGCTTGAGATGAAGCTCTCGCTGGTGAGATCCTGGATCACCTCTGGGGCCATGAAGGTCGGCGTGCCTGCGGTCTTGCTCAAATCAGACTCGTCCAGCAATATGGGATCTTCCGCCTCGGGATTCTTGCCGGCGACCGCGAGGCGCTGAGCGTAGGAAAAATGGGACACGCCGAAATCAGTGATCTTGACCGTACGCCGATCGGGCGTCCACATCAGGTTGGCGGGTTTGATGTCGCGGTGTATTATCCCCTGGTAGTGAACTGCAACATTGTTCATTGAGGGAAACTACAGCAATGACTGCTCGCGCAACTTACGATATTCTAATCCGAGGACAACGTCGCGAGTTATTCGCCTAGCCTGGTCTACGCGGAGAACTGGCTCTTCGTTTTTGTTCCTCCATTTGACTTCTCCGCCGCCGAGATACTCCATGACTACGGATGGGAAAATCAGTACGTAACACGCGGCAGAAGAAAATGATGCAGGGAACGAAGGTAGCGCAGGGAAGGAGTGCCCAGCAAACATGCGATTGGTGGAAAATAGGGTATTGGGAATGCGACGCTACGTCACGGTTCCTCTACTGTGCCGTGTACCGTTGTAGCAGCTGAAAATACGCATATACTCACCCATGTAAATTTTGTTGAAGAGCGGGTCGTCGATCACCTCGTAGAGCAGCACGACGTGGGCATGTCGACATTTCTTCATGATCGCGATCTCCTTCTTAATCTTATGCTCCTGGCTGGCAAGCTGGTGGCTGAGAGGAAGATGACCGGGAGACGATGGCAGGCGGCGGCGCCTGAGCTTGTTGAGCCTCTCGTTACGCGGATTGTTCCGCTTTACAACTTTGATTGCCTGTATGCGCCTCCCTGAGCACCTGAGATCGCACAGAACGCCACCGATCAAGAAGTACGTACGACTTCGCGCCTGTTATTGGCAAGGTCCCAACCCTTGTAGACGACGCCGTGCTGGCCGCGGCCGACCTGTTCACCGCGCTCGTACTGGTTCCACACTTGCTTGCCATCCGCCGAGTACTTGTCCTTCCTCAGTTTGGTGGTAGTCAGCACCTGCTCCGGGGGTTCTTGATACGGCATGGTGAGGAATGCATGCAGTGCAGCTTTTGCGAGCCTTTCGACAACGGCGAACGCGCCGAGCGCCGGGAGCAAGCAGAGTCGAACGACGGTGAGGACGGCCTGCGCCAGGAGAGCGAAAGAGCGGCAGATGCAGCCAATTCGTCGTCGTCGGGAGAGGCGTCTACTTTATGACCCGCCGTGCAGCAGCTGCCCCCGCGCGGACCCCGAGCACCGCGACTGTCAGATCCCCAGATTTCGGCAGCCCAGCTTCGGACTCCGCGAGTCACACCGCGTGCGAACGGACTGAGTCGTTTGGGAGGGGTCACACACAGAAGCGATCCGGGCCCGTTGCTCTGAGACCTTCTTGCCCTACAGGTCACGCCCGTTCCGGTCAATTCACGCATATTCACGGCCTAGATATTGGCGAAGCTGCGCGACTCCCCCGGCAGAGCTCGCGCCCTGACGCCCCTCATCACTCAAGCACAGCGATCAGAACACGCTCCAGATCGCCGTTCGGACACGGCTTGTTGCTCGCTCATCTCTCAAAGCTGTCGTGGACAATGGCCGATACCGTCCCGTATATTTGGCCGACAAAGCCCCACCCTCGGGGGCACTCGCGTTGTCGAATCGACAACGCGCGCGCGCTCGTATTAAACAACTGATCGTGTTGGTCGGTGATCTCTGATTATGGCAGCGTTGACTGCGCGGTTCAGAAAGACGTAACGATCTCGTCAAAAGCGTGGTCGACGTACACGCCGCGTGTGCGCTGATCCACGCCCAAACCCCCGAATCGAGGATCCAGTTCCTGAGACTGTGAAAAAGGCAAACGCGCCATGTAGGCACACACGGCCCCTCCGATCGAACAAGCCACCGTGCAACAAAATTCTTCCATCAGCAGTCCATAGAGCGGAAGTATTTCGAGCTGGAGGCGGGCGCGATAACTCGCCGCGACAATCGTCCCACCCACGTCTGTTCTCTACCTCAAGCCCTGGCGGTAAGGATCCGCCATTTAGATACCGCTCTGCTGGGATTGACATTCCATCTCAGAAGATTCCAAGGTTCAGGGAACCTCGCATCTTCATCCCCTGAACCGCTTCCCACCTAACCTCGGCGGAAACGATAAGGGCTGGCGCAAAGGTGCTATTCTCAACTGGGACGATCGTCTCTGCTGGGGTCCTTGGTGGCGTGAGTAGTGCCCCGACCCAAGAAGTGCAACCTAGTTAGATGGAAGCGGCAAGGAAGCCTGCGCCCTGATGTATCGATTCCCCAAAAGCTCCGAATCGTACCTACACCGTCAAGAAACTCTGGGATCCAGGCCACAGTTGTCTGCAGTATTGCCTGCGGAGATTACATATATGGGTCCGTCGGTATTCTTCCAGCCATCGATCGTTGATTAACAGCGGAAGTCGTCACATACAGTCATCTACAACGATGATGGTCCCCTTGGGCTCAGCCGTCCACCGAGCACACGCCACTGCGATAGCGGTGCAGGTGCTTTACCGCACAAGATCAGCTCAGGACCGTCCTCGAGCCTGATGCACAGCAACACCATGATCTCAATGGCGGCGCGGACATACTGGACGAACCTGAAGGGAATGCCGCATCCGATGTACCCATACAGACCCGCTTCTGTGCTGCCTTTGTAGTGGTCACGCCACTGTTTTAGTCGTCGGTCATCTAACTACATGTGACGACTCATATTGTCATGATTGTTCGAATCAAACTCCGTGACAATGTATGCAGCGTAAACCGCGGAGCCGTCAAGGATTGCGGATACGGTCGTAGCAAAAGGTAATGCAGATGCTGAAATTGTAAGTAAGACATTCTTTCAGGAAGACCATCCGCTTCTCTTTCTGTTGGAAACCCGCTCTCGAGCCGCTATTCATCTAGAAGCGCAGTGCTAAGGCGACAAGAACAATGGCAAAATTTGAAAGTTAATTAAAACAATGGCATCATATTAAACCGCCATACCTGCCTGTTTACCAGCCATCGGTGAACGGTCTACGCCGCCGAATATTCAACTGAGGTGATAACACCGCAAAGGACGCGCAGATCGAATAATGCAACGCATCCGAGCCGTTTCCCAAACAGACGATCGGTACACTATAATCGATTCACGCACTTCGCGGGACCGTGTACATAAGAAGACGTTGTTACTCTTCGTTCACCTTCATTACCGTTTATATCATGTGTATGCATGGCGTTCGCTCTCGAGGGCCATAAATTTGCTATCGCCGTCAGCTTGTGCCGCGGCTTCGCAGAAGGTGATCAAGGCGTTTCGAAGACTGCAGCTCTGGTCAGCGAACGTGGTCGATGCGTGGGACGGGGGTACGATGTTTTATGTGCGTGTACGAGCTGGCGCGAGTCGCCCAAAAGCGCGTCGCTCACCTGGTCTGCTCGTAATAATACATCCGCATCTCTCGGTATTGCCGAATACGTGCTCGCTTGTTTGCCATAACGAGGACTGCGGAGGTCGAGACCATCACTGGGCGACAGCATGTTAGCTCTCGACACATGTCTCACTGTGCAAGTGATGGAGGTGCGCGACAGGCGTGTAACCTGCTTTTGATGAAGAAGCAGGGGGCGAGTGGACATCAAGAAGTAGCCGAGACTCGACTAAGGCGATCTGTTTAATAACCGGCGAGACCTCACCAGAGAGCACGAGCAGCACCGACAACGCGTACTTCCACCAGCGAGATGAGCCCGGTGCGCTGGCAGAAACCGCGCACGCGCCATGCACGCATGTGTGCTGTTTCCTGAGGTGAGATAATCTGTCGTCCTAAATATCACGGAGACGTTACGCTGATGCATTCTTGGTGGTCTGTGCATTGATCCTTGAAATCTTTCGAAGGGAAGCATTGCAAGTGGGCCTCGTCGCAGTACAAAAATAGGGTACGACAATTGTGGCGCATGATGTCTCTGGCGTATGGTTGACCGTCGAATCCGGCGTCCGTGTACGTCGCTTTCTCCAGAATACATCGTTGACCGACAGACATGTTGGCATACCTGTCCTCGGAACGACATTAGGTCCTTCATTACAACCCCAGTCCTGATTTATCCATACATGCACACATTTCCAAGGCACACGGATCCGTTGAAGTTGAATGGGCTGACCAGATCCTGCCATGTGCTCGACGAACTGCATTGCTCGTCTCGACCAAAGTCACAGAGATCTCCTACCGACAGTAAAGGTCGGCAGCCACTGCCGTCGTCCGGACAGAATTGATCGTTGGGGCACAGTGAAGGGAGGGTCTCTGCAGCTGCGTAGCCGAAGGGAAATTCGTCTCTGCGACAGAGCTTCGATGTGCATGTGCTGTTCTCTCCGGGACAGAACGTCTTCTCGTCGCATTGAGACATGAACTTGTGCGTGAGCGGATCGAGGTGGTTGCCGGACGACGAGCATGATCCGCCGAGAGCGACCGACCCGGCCTGTGATCGGAGAACGGATGACGCCAACAGTATGCACAACAGTCTCATAGCGATCGTGACTAGTCGTAAGAAACAGTCAGTTGAGGCCGCCGAGACGCTGCAGCCTTGAGTCCAGAGATAGCAACATCCTACTAGCCCGAGCTGCGGGGCGCCTGAGGCTTGAACTTGACAGCTGTCACTTGATTACATGAAGTGCTGGGCGTAACATTCACAAGGGACCAAACAGGAGGTCCTCGGGCACAGTCTGAGTAGGTCCAGCGGCATTGACTGAGCTATTTGATCGCCGGACCTGGAAATGTGAACGCAGCTGCAGGCTCGCATCATCCCGCAACAACGTTCACGCGTACAAGTTCACAACAGAAGTCTGAAGGCCAGGAACGTTGTATCCAACACAAGGACCGATAGACGAGTTGCGTAGGGAAAAATCCATAGGATATCATCGTAGGATGAAAGAAAGTGCCGCCTTGGACCCTCCTGGACCGACGACCCCGATCTCAGGCACAGTCGCGGCTTGACGAACGACCATGACATCAAAGAGAAAGTGGTGGCGCTTATGCTCCGTCTTTTGCATCGACCTCCTCTTGCGCTAACATCTCGGATCCGGATGTCTTCAATCGAGTCGACAGCCGTGCCAGCTACTTCCGCCGAACGTTCGCAGGACTTGCTGTATTCTCTTACCGAGATCAAAAGCCGAGTTCAGCAAACCGCGGGCGGTCGGGACGTCACGCTTGTCGCGGTCTCGAAATACAAGCCATCTTCTGACGTCCTCGCCTGCTACAACCATGGCCAGCGCGACTTCGGGGAAAACTACGTGCAGGAGCTGGTAGACAAGGCGGCGCAGGTGGGTTGCATATCGCGTGTTCAATAGTGTAACAGAAGCCCTCCTTACATCAAAATCACAGTTGCCTACCGATATCCGGTGGCATTTCATCGGCACCCTGCAATCGAACAAGGCGAAGATTCTCGCAGGTCTGCTCCCTTCTTCCGCCGACTCCGTCACGTCGTTGATGTCATGATTCAGCAATCCCCAATCTTTACGCAGTCCAGACCGTCGCGTCCGTTAAGGCGGCAAGTGGCCTCGACAAGGCGCTTTCCAACGATCGCACAGCACCCCTCAACGTGCTCATCCAGGTGAACACATCTGGCGAGGATGCCAAGTCTGGACTCTCGCCTTTGACCCCATCGACCGCGTCCGAAGATGCCCAACTTGTCACCCTTGCCCGGTATATCGTCACTTCCTGTCCCCGTTTACGCCTCCAAGGTCTCATGACCATCGGTTCGGTGTCTGAATCTCTGGCCAAGGACAAGCCGAACCATGATTTCGAGACGCTGAAAGAAACGCGCGATTCACTTGAGCGTATACTCAGAAACGACAGAATGGTCCCTGCAACATGGGGAGAGGACGGAAAGCTGCTGCTGAGTATGGGAATGTCGAGCGACTTCGAGGCTGCGTTGAGCGCTGGTAGTGATATAGTGAGGGTTGGTACCGGGATTTTCGGAGAGCGTCACAAAAAGGGCGAATCTTGAGGTACGGTGCACTGCGTTCGATAGCTTTTTTCTTCGAGCAGTTTGCTGATGCGGTTCTGTCTTACGTAGGTGCGATTATTGTTGAGTCCGGCAATAGAAAATCCACTGTTGCCAGCATTATGCTCCGCCTTCCGCATAGCCCCGCGAAGGAGACCTTTGTGCGTCAACTGCTATCAAATTTGAGCACATATAAAAGCGCCTGGTACACGAGCGGCGAGCATGCCCCGAACGACGGTTGCAGGCTAGTCTGGGTAATGAACAGTCTGATTGTGAGCTTAAGCTTGTGGATGTTCGACTTTATTGCTATTGAAATCAATGAGCACATGACCTGAAACGCGTCGGTGGCTGAGAATGACCTTACTCTCGTCTGGACAGTGTCAGTGTATACCATGGCCAGAGAGCTACTGCCAACGACGCCGACGCGCCGCTCGAGGCGATTCCAACCCGTTGTAGCCGTTACGCCGTCCAAAGCTGTGTCGCTCGCAGGAAAGAGCACCAAGTTCGCGTGGACCAGCGACGCCATCCTTGAACGACCAACCACCCTTGACGACCTATACGATGAAGAGACCCTTCAGGGACTTGAAGAGGATGTGACCCCTACAAACACATACTACGACTCTCTAGAACGCTTGGAAACCTCCAGAGGCAAGAGCAAGGGTGCGGCAAAGGCACCGGAGATCACGCAGAGGTTCGCAGTGGGCGACACCATCCTCGTGGACACCCCCAGTATATACCCCACTATTCGCAAGCCAAGCATCGGCGTGATTGTGTCAATGTGGAGAGTCATATGGCATGGAGAGGAGGACGTAGATGAACAGGCTACGATGCGTGTGCGCGTACATTGGTTCCTTCGGCCAACAGAATTAGCCAGCGTGCGTGCGCGAAGGGATCACCGAGAAGTAAGTATATGAACTTTCTAACTTTATTTCACTGAATTGCTTCTACCAATCAGGACGAAATCTACCTTTCGTTGGAGAGCAGTGCTGTCATAACACCGCAACACATTATCGACCACTGCACTATCACCAGTTCCTCGCGAGCTCATCCTTCCTCTTCTTCCCGTGCATCCTCAGAGGCACCCTCCAGATCTCCCTCGCCATCCGTCAGGCCATCCAAACGCTCGCGCACGTCAACTTCGACCTCGATCGCGTCCCCGTCGAAAGGACGTAAACTGAACAAGAACCGGAAACATGTTTCAGATGATGAGGATGAATTCGACGAAGACGGGGGGAAAGAGCGCTTCTACTGTGCTCTCGCCGTGGACTCGCGCAAGGGACTATTCTATGACTTAAACTGGGAGCGCCACAGACAAACAGCTCTGGAGCAATATGCATCGCTGAAGCAGAAATTGGCTGGAGAAGAGGCTGAAAAGATAGTGTTCGGGGCCCATTGGAAGGTGGTGGTGAAGGAGGTGGTGAGGAGAAGGAGCGATCAGTCCGCGAAGTCACAGAAAGGGAAGGCGAGCGAGGCTGCGAAGGGGAAGCGAACGACTCGCGCTACAGCGGAGGATGAGGGAGAAAAGAGTGATAGTGATGGCAGCAGCGAGGATGAATACGAGACAGATTCGACCTTGTCGGATGTGACAGCGGACGAAGGCGAAGAGGAGAGCGAAGCCGACGACGAGGAGGCGGAAATTGAAGAGATTCTCGATGAAGGTGAACCGCGTACTCCCTCTCAGCGGAAACGTAGGCGTCAGAAACCAGCGGCTACTCCTCGAAAGCGACGCAAACTCGCGGCGCCTACTCCACGGTCGAAGGCACGAGCAAGGGGGAGGACGAAGCAAGAGCTTCGAGTCGCAGCACCATCTCGAATCACTGGAGGTGTGTTGTCCAATCTTCAGTATTCGCCTTCTTTGAACTCTGGGGTGTTGCAGGGTCATACGCCACTCATTTGTCGAAGCTTCCTCCGGATCCTTATTTGCGTGCTCAACACGTCTTACATGTTGCCGCACGTCCAGACGAGCTTCCATGCCGTGATACGGAGTTTGCGCGCGTGCTCAGATCAGTAGAGGAACTCCTCGAGGAGGGAAGCGGAGGTTGCGTGTACATCAGCGGCGTACCTGGTACAGGGAAGACGGCGACTGTGCATGCAGTGGTCAGGGAACTGAAAAGGATGGCGGAGGATAACGTGAGTCTACTGGGAGAACCGAACGAAAGGAGCTCACGCTGATCACGGCGGGCAGGAAACGAACCCGTTTACGTATGTCGAGATCAACGGGCTCAAAATACCCGAACCGTCTGCTGCATACGGTCTGTTGTGGGAGGCGGTTTCCGGACACGATTTATCAGAAGGCACGCACATCTGCTTCGCCAACCTCGCCGGAGCAACAGGTTAATACACATCATCTCAGGACACCTGAAGATATCGTCGAAGGAGGCGCTGAAACAACTTTCCAAACATTTCGGAAGTGGAGTTCGTGGTCCCGGGGGTCACGCATGGTTCGTATATGCGGCTCTGCCATTTCCAGCGCGTTGATTGTTCTACAGTGTGGTGTTGATGGACGAACTCGACCAGTTGGTGACAGCGAAGCAGGACGTCGTATACAACTTCTTTAACTGGCCAACGATCGCCGATTCGAAACTTGTTGTTATCGCGGTTGCAAACACTATGGACCTGCCAGAAAGGGTGATGACAGGCCGGGTGCGGAGCCGACTAGGTATGTTGATTCCTCGCGTTATGGTACAGAAATTCACATCGGACCACAGGCATGACACGAATCAATTTCCAGCCGTACACGACGCCTCAACTGGTCGAGATAGTCCAGTCGCGGTTGGCCGGTGTGAAGGAGAGTCTGCAGGGCCTCACGGACTCGCCAAACCAGGACGTTATCTCTGCTGATGGTATCCGGTTCGCTGCGATGAAGGTTTCATCCGTCAGTGGCGACGCCCGTCGAGTGCTAGATATCTGCCGACGAGCGGTCGAGCTGGTGCAGGCGAAAAAGAAGACTGCAAAAACCGAGGATGTCAAGGAGGTCATCAAAGTGATGCAGAACAGCCCGACCGCAGCCTATATTAGGGACTGTAGCCTGCACGAAAGGATGATGCTTGCAGCGATCCTGAAGTGCATCAGGAGGGAAGGTGTCGAAGAAGTCAAGTGGGGCGACGTGAGTGTGCCAAATTTAATCACATTTCTGTGAATGCTGACCAGTCATTCCCTCCACCGTAGATTCAATATCAACATCTGATATACGTTTCAACCCTGACCTCTGATACCGACCCCACGCGCAAACCAACACCGTCGGAATTGACCATGGTGCTAGAATCTCTAGTAGCCGCTCGCGCCATGCTGGTAGAAGAAGGCCTTTCGGCAGCACGGAAAGCTCAGGACGAACGAAGGGTGATCCTAAACTTGGAACAAACAGAAGCTGAGAGGGTGCTTGGCGAGGTGGGCGGGCAAAGGTGGCGAAATGCACTTTCGGTTTGAAGCAGCCTTCATCAAGAAACTGTCACGTATTAAAGCTGTATCATTACAAATGAACCAGACCTTTGAGGAAAAGTGGGTTGGTATGTCGCCTTACCGATGTTACTGATCGTATGTGTCACTGGCGGTGATGTCATCGGTGATTCCTTCAATTTGCCTCGACTTGTTCTAAGCTTACCGACTGCAGTTTTACGATGTTCAGGCGTAGGAGCAGGCCCGCCGTGAGAGCATCATTGGTGCTCATACATCTACCACTGACGGGGGGAAGCCTTTGCAATGTAGCACCACCTCTCTCAGCGATACGCACGCCGCTGCGATGCGCAGGCACTACGAGGACACGATACCGTCCTTCTTTCCTTACGAGGAGGGGCTGGATGCGGAGGACAAGCAATAACTTCCCGCATTGAGAGCTGCAACCATGCACAACGCTTGATTCCTACGAGGGCAACGTTGAAGGATGCGGCATAAATTCATTTTATTATCGTGTTATGTTACTCTGATCTCATGTAAATCGAAGCTGGTTCATGAGTTACGCTGTCTCTTGAGGGTGGGCGATTAGCTTGGTACCGCTGATCTTGCCCTCGCGCAGCTGTTCCAATCCTTCAGGGATGCCGCGCAGACCATTGGGGAGGACTTGTATTCGGTTGGGCTGCGAAGAAGATGTAACCAGCATTGCCCATACGATGAAGCACAATCGGCCATACCTTGATGGAACCATCCGCGAGCAACTGTGTCAAGCGATAGTACATCTCCCGCCCGAGATCCTCTTGGCCAGGGAAGTAAACGCTTCCGAAAATCTGCACGACACTCTTGCCATCTTGATTAGGAGGCAAGTCGAGACCAGGCGCTTTCGGTCCGGATAAAAGTTGGCCTCCCGGAGCAAGCAGGCCGTAGCCCATTGTCTGCGTCTCGGCGGACATAGCGGCGGCAAACACTACCTTCAACGGCGTGGAGGTGATCTTGGCAATCTCGACGGCGAGAGCCTCGGTGGGCAGATCCCTGGACAGGACGTGCGTAGCACCTAAGAATGTCAAGAACGGCGTGTGCTTCAGGGAGGCAGTGGTTATGATCGGAGAGAATCCGGAGAGCTTGGCGAGTTGGATGGCTACGAAGAAGGCATTAGCGCGGCGTCCTCACGGACACGTGAAGGCGGCCTGACCAAACTGGCCGACGGAAGTACCGCCTCCAATGACGACGATGGGGTGACCGTGGTATGGGCGCGGTGAAGTCCAGAATGGCGTCAACTCCGCGCCTCCGCCGACGCCGGACTCCTTCTTCTTCGCGAAGAAGCCCATCCAAGGCACCGCGAGCGTGAGCGGAATCGATGCGGCCTCGTCGACGCTAACGTCGTCGGGTATCTTCGCCGCGAACTCGGCGGTAACAAGGGAGTACTGCTGGAAGGTCCCGCGTCCCTTCTGTACCGATCCCGGAAATAATCTGGGGGAAAGAGCAGAGTGCGTTTCAGCTGGCGCTCATTAACACGGGCTGTGCCTACATGCATTTTGTCTCCCTTCTTGAAATGGGTGACACCTTCGCCGAGTTCTTCGACCACGCCAGCGCCATCGAAGCCGAGCAACCCAGGATATTTTATCCAGTCATGCAACATGTACTTAATCATCCAGTCAACAGGGTTGAGAGCGACGGCGTCGATCCTCGCGAGGATCTCGCCGGCACCGGGGGTAGGGACCGGCGCAGTTTGAACGGCGAATTCGCCGCCCTTGATCATGAGGAAGAGACCCTTCTGTTCTGTAGGCGCCATTATACGAGATAATGCGATGGATGGAAAGGAAAGCGCGAAGGTTTGGTGCACTGGCTAGATTGCATTGGGTATTTGAGGATCGTCTTCATATTTCGAGCGATCGAGTGCTCTATCAGATCCCAAGCCCGGGGTATGTGGGTACCCCTTAGAGGTATGGGTACTCTCTTCAATTGGAGGCGGGATTCGCAGTTGACCGTGCCTCAATGGGCTCCCGTCGTGGCATAGGGGCTTCCTTCGAGGTGGGTAGCGAGTGGGTAGCGAGTGGGTAGCGAGTGGGTAGCAAGTGGGTGTACGGAAGGACATGCGAACCACCGGACACAGATATATCTCCTTCAAGGCACGTTGAATGCGAGGGTTGCTTGGCTGACCGGCATTGGAAGGCTTGGTGAACGACTCTAAATAACGAGTAGGCGCCAGCACAGCATGCTACATATACGCAGCGCCACACAATCCGATCATAAGTAATTTGCTCCATGTACTGATGTTGGACGTTAGCGATAATGCTGTTAGCATCGTAGGCTTGCGTGCAGTGATTGCCCAAGCTAGTATAATGGTCAGGTATCCGCATCGCCTTCAGTACAGAATGAATACACGTAGGACGAAGGACTATTCAGCTCGAGCAAGAATTCGTGTCAACAAGCTTCGGTGCCGCCAGGAAGCTTTGCCGTGTTGCGCAAGTTATAATTATGAACTCATGAAAAGCGACGCGGACTCAGGTCGTGTGCCCAAGCCCCATAGGGATATGCTTCATCGTTGGAGCTCGAGCACGTGCGTTGAAGATGTCTGTCAGGTTCGACACCCCATACACACGCATCCACGCATTACTACAGAAAAACGAACGCCGAGCTGTCAAGGATGGAGGGCATGATGATTGGATGTTCATGCAGTCTCCTGAGGACGAACAACGAGCTTGTTGCCGCTGACTTGCTCCTGACGCATCAGGTCCAAGCCGTGGGGAATACCCGCGAGTCCTTCAGGTAGCAATTGCACGCGGTTCGGCTACAGGGGTCTGCGTCAGACTCGACCAGTAACGGAACTGATTGAAATAGCTCACCTTGATTGAGCCATCTGCGAGTAGCTGACTCAACGTCGCATAAAGCTCTCTTCCAATCTCTACCTGGCCAGGGTATCCAACGTTCCCAACCACATTCACTACACCCTTCCCATCCTGACCGCTCACGATACCCTCAGCAGGCGGCAGCACGAGGACGAGCTGACCACCAGGCGCGAGGAGAGACCAGCCGGGCTTTTGTGTACTTGCGTGACTGACCGCGTCGTACACAACCTCAACGGGCTGAGAGGTAATGCTACGAATCTCGGCGATCAGAGCATCATCAGGTAGAGTGCGCGAAAGAACGTGTGTTGCGCCTAGTGATTTGAGAAACTCTGTGTGTTTGACGGAGGCTGTCGCGATAATCGGGGAGAAGCCTGACAATCGAGCGAACTGTATAGCTTCAAGTAGAGCGTTCATGAGCAAAGGTTAACCGCAAGGACACAGCAAATGTCTCACCGTATTGACCGACAGATGTGGCACCTCCGAGCACGACAATCGGAGAGCCTTCATGGGCCTTCGTGGATTTGTAGTACGGGATCAGGCCGGCGCCGCCGCCCTGACCATCCTTCTTCTCGTTGTACAAGCCCAAGAAGGCCGTTGCGAGGCCGAGCGGAACTGACGCCGCCTCATCGACACTGACGCTGTCAGGAAGCTTGGCGACGTGGTAGGCGGTCGCCAGAGTGTACTGCTGAAACGTTGCCCTATCGTTCGTGAACATCCCCTGCCACAAGCTGCGATGTTCGCGTGAATTCGGGAACACGATGGACATAACGTGAATAAACACACATCCTATCGCCCTTTTGGAGATGAGTGACACCCTCGCCAACCTCCTCGACAACGCCAGCCCCATCTGTTCCAAGAATACCGGGATACTGAATGATGTCCGGGGCATGCCGATGGATCTTCCAGTCGACCGGGTTCAGCGCCGTGGCGTCCACCCTAGCCAATATCTCGCCAGCCCCAGGAGATGGGACGGACCTGCTTCTGACAGCGAACTCGCCGCCCGGGGTGAGGAGAAAGAGGGCCTTCTGTTCTGTAGGGGGCATGATCGGATATTGTGAAGTTGAAAGGACCGGTTCGGGGATGGGGTGGGGATATAAGTACCGGGATCTCCAGTCAAGGGGCGACTGCTATGCCATGACAAAGCTGGCTGCTATGTGATGAGTAACACTTGGTCAGCGCTTCAGCTTTCAAATCACAACGAAGGCGTATTGGAGTCTGAGAGTGAAAAGACAACGACGTCGTGGCAGGGTTGTCCACGGATATACGTGGATCGGCGTTTTCTGACCGTGCTTCTAGATTGACTCGCGTCACTTTGTCGCAATACAAGTAATTTCCCACAGTCAGAGAGAGGCTTATCCACGGATATCCGTGGACAACCCTGATCGCGCGGCCGGCGGCCGCCCTGGTCAATCATCCATAGCATTACACTTCTTCTCCTATTTCAGCCTGGCGACGTTCAGCGAGCGCATTAACGCAACAGAACAAAGCACCGGTCGGACTGATATAACCCCTTCTTTTAGGGCATGGATAACAAAGATGGTAAAAATGTTTACAGCGGCTTGTACGCTACTCACGTTGGCGTTGCAAGCTTAGTATACATATCCCGGTATACGTCCTCGAGGCGAGAGCAAATGCGAGAGCAGGCATTGAGAAGGAATGAGACCGATGCTCATGTGGTTTCTTGGGGATGCGCAACCAGTTTGGTGCCGCTAACCTTTCCCTTACGCAACAGGTCCAACCCATCGGGGATCCCCGCCAGACCGTTAGGCACAACCTGCACATAATTAGGCTAGGCAACAAAAATATTAGTCTGTGGGAAGCCGCAGCTACAGGATCAGCTTACCTTGATCGAGCCGCTCTCCAGGAGCTGGGTCAGACGCGCGTAAAGCTCGCGGCCGAGTACGTCCTGGCCAGGGGAGTTGACGTTACCTCCCACGTGCGCAACCGACTTGCCGTCCTGCCCCCGGACGATGCCCTCAGCAACCGGCAGCGTAATGATAAGCGTACCGCCGGACGCAAGCAGGGACCAACCGGTCTTCTGCGTGTCTGCGAGGCTGACAGTATCATACACGTATTTGATGGGCTGCGAGGTGATTTTGCTAATCTCAGTGCTGATGGCGTCCGCGGGCAGGTCGCGAGATAAGACATGGGTAGCGCCCAAAGATTTGAGGTAGTCCGCGTGCTTCACGGAGGCCGTCGTAATGATGGGGGAGAAGCCCGACAAACGGGCGAGTTGTATGGCTACAGCCAGAGGTGAGGAGTCACTGCGATGCAATGGGCAGACAATCCTTACCGTATTGGCCGACAGAGGTGGCACCTCCTAAGAGAACGAAAGGTTGACCAGCGTAGGCGTTGGGGGAGGTGTAAAAGGGAGCGAGAGCCGCACCACCGCCCTGCCCGTCCTTGCCCGCCTGATACAATCCAAGAAATGCAGTAGCGAGCGTAACGGGGAGAGAGGCAGCTTCATCGAGGCTGATGTTGTTCGGTATCTTGGCGGCAAGGTCAGCCCTCAATGTGCCATATTGTTGAAAGGTCGCCCCGTCGTTCGTGAACGAGCCCTGCCACAAGCTGAAGTGATCTAACTTTAGCACGGAGATTCGAAGGCGGTGAAGGTATGGAAAAACATACATCTTGTCTCCCTTCTTGAGGTTTGTAACACCCTCACCGACTTCCACCACCACGCCAGCTCCGTCAGTGCCGAGGATTCCAGGATATGAGATGAAGGGCAATGCCCAATCCTTGATCTTGTAGTCGACCGGGTTCAAGGCGGCAGACTCGATCCTAGCTAGGACCTTGCCGGGGCCGACAGTAGGCACTGAGGTGGTTTGAACGGAGAAGTCGCCGCCCTTGGCGAGGAGAAATAGAGCTTTCTGTTCGGTCGGGGCCATGTGTGGTCTGTCGAAAGCACATTCCGAGCTCGAGGTATTAAATCCTGGTATGCATGGTGTCTATTCTAGCACCAGATGGCGCGGCTGACAGAGCGACTTGCTCGACCGAGACCATGATGGGTTGGTGATAGGTCAGTGCCGATCGGCGGTAGGTCAGCATGGGTCGCGTCGAGTATCACGGCGTTGACGACGTCGATTGGTCTTGCGTTCGTTAAGATTGCGCGATGTCGCGATTCAGCGCTGAGCGTGGCACCGCGTTCCTCCCGGCCGCGGCCGAGACGCCATCCGGCCAGGTAGGTAGGTAGGTATATTTCCGGCGCGGTCCCAATAGCGGAACAACCGGTTGCCGCACCGCACGTCAATACGCACGGCTTGGCGCACACAGTGAATCCACGGCCCCCGTGAGCTGTTTTACAGCCGACACGCCGGTTTCGTTTTCCAATAATTATTGCGATCCGGTATTGAGATCCGGGCCAGAGCTTAGGGAGTTTGCGGGTGGGAAAGTATTGGGTTTCCCAATAATTATTGGAACGAAACGTCTCTATTAGGACCCCGTTAATACGGGGTTAATGTTAGAATATTCCGACGACATTTTGGGCCCTGAAAGGGGCCTTACGTAGGAATATTTGCCGACAAAAGCACGTCTGAGGGCGCCGCAGGCCGGAATGATCTTGACGACATCTGTTCGGAGCAACAAACCAAGGTCAGAATATTTCGTCGACAAAAGGATCGAACCATCGAGGGCCCCGGAGAGGAACAGCCCAGATCGTAGTTGCTTGGTTGACAGACTGGTTCAAGATTTTTATGGCAGGATTTTTTTTTACGAAAGTCTTAACAGAGACAAACAATTAGGGGGCCTCAAAGTTGGCGATTATGGGACAGATTACGGAGTGGATTCGAAAGTCGATTATGGTCGCGGATTATGGTCGAACCGAGTGTAGCGGCTCCAGAGCCGCTACACTCGATTCGACCCATAATCCGATTCTGCTACGACTCTCGCTACATCGGAGTTTGGAATCCTTCCCACCGGGTCTGGGATGTCCACTCGCCTCTTCGTCCTGACCAACCCCGCCGCATCGTCGTTTCTTCCGTCCTCTCTCCGGTTTTTATCAACGTATAGTTCTGGCCCTGACCATCCACGTCGTATTGACGTTCTTCGTCCTCTTCATGGTTCTCATCGGCGTATAAGGAACTCCATGGATGGCAGGGAATCATTCAATGCGGACCTGGCGGGACGGCACGTTTTCCTGTGGGTACAACACCACCTACGTTGTCGCGCGAACTGTAGTGCTAGTATATAGTCACACAGTTGCCTAGGGTCCCGGTCTATCTAAGTCGGGGATGACCTAGTTGAATCAGGAGAAAGAAATGGGCCGCTTGAATGTATTTACTTAAACAGAGAACTACGCTCTGTCCTTTTGTCTGTACTGGAAATCCGTTCCCACGCTTATAGGGAAGTTACTGAGTATGTCGTCGGTCTTCTGGAAGCGTCTTGTCGCTTCAATGTATCCTATTTCCTATCTTCTGGAAGCGTCTTGTCGCTTCGGCGTATCCTAATTCCTATGTCGTATGTCCTGGAGTGATACTTAGATCTATTGCCTAAGTCAACACTCAAATATCTTCCTAATTCCTATGTCGTATGTCCTGGAGTGATACTTAGATCTATTGCCTAAGTCAACACTCAAAAGCGTCTTGTCGCTTTATCGTATCCTATTTCCTATATCGTATGTCCTGGA